ACATGAACTATTAGTCATAAAAAGGACTAAAGTACTGATGCATTATACAACATAGACGAACCTGAAAAATACTGTTAGCCCTGGCTGGCGTGGCTTCATTGGTTGGAATATCATCCGCACACAATTTATGTTTATTTCTCACATTGATATTCACCCCCCTTTTCTTCCTCTGTCCTTTCCTTTGTGTAAAATAGATTTTTTAAAAAATGTTTTAAAAAATAAAAATATAAGGACCGGTTTGGCTCAATGGATAGAGCGTCGGCTTGGGGACTGAAAGGTCCCGGGTTCGATTCCAGTCAAGGGCATGTACCTTGGCTGCGGGCATATCCCCAGTAGGGGGTGTGCAAGAGGCAGCTGATCGATGACTCTCTCTCATCGATGTTTCTGACTATCTCTCTCCCTTCCTCTCTGTACAAAATCAATAAAATATATTAAAAATAAATAAATAAATAAATAAATAAAAATATACATGTTAAGTGAAAGAAGCAAGTCACAAAAGATCACATGCTATGTGATTCCATTTATGTGAAACATACAGAATAGGCAAACTCATAGAGATAGCATGTAGGGCTGTGAGGAGGAGGGAAAAGGACAGAATGGGAGTGAGTTTGTTTTTTGGAGCGATGAAATGGTTTTGGGGTGATGGAAATGTTCTGGAGTTGGACAACTTTGTGATTTGCAGTACACTTTAAAAGGTACATTTTTATGGCTTGTAAATTACATCCTTTTTTTACGTGTTGCAGGAACCAGGGCAGTTACAGTACATTTTGTAGGTGAAGAAAATGATGACAAGTTTAATACATTTACTCAAGTTCTAGGCCAGAAGCAAGGGTCAAATCCACTCTTCTGTGGTGTTGGTAGTTATCCCATGCTTAGAGCATATAGGATTCAGCAGTTATCCCCTATATCAGTTTATCCCATATCACTAACTCTACAGCACTCATCCATTGCTGTAGTATAGATAAACAGCAAATTTATTGAGTGTTTTTACAATTACTTGTTTTTAGAGAAAGAGGAAGGCTGAGAAAGAGAGAGAGAGAAACACATCAATTTGTTCTTCCACTTAATTATGCATTCACCAGTTGATCCTTTTTTATTTTTATTTTTTATTTTTTATCCTCACCCAAGGAGTGAGTGAGGACATATTTGCCATTGATTTTTAGAGAGAGAGTGGAAGAGAGGGAGAAGGGGAAAAGAGCAAGAGAGAAATGTTGATGTAAGAGAGACACATGGAGCCGGGCCCAGAGCAGCCGGGTCGGGTACGGCCAGGCCTGGAGCAGCAGCTGCCAGGCTTGGAGCGGCCAGGCCCGGAGCAGCAGCAGCCACACCCGAAGCAGCCAAGTCGGGAACGGCAGTGGCCAGGCCTGGAGCAGCTGGTTGTGGAACAGACCAGAGCAACAGAGGCCAGGCCCGGAGCAACCAGGCCGGAACAGCTCACTCCTCGCCTGCCTCCACCCCAAGGCTGCCTCTCAGACATGGCTGGAAACTTTTGGGGGAACTTGAGGGTCTGCTGAATCAAATGAGGAAGGCTTAGATCTGGATGTGTGGAGTTAGTATAGCGCTGGGGTGTTGATCTGTGAGTGCCTTGTGTGGGGCCTGGATGAGGTTGGTTGATCTATTTGGAAATGTCTTTTGTGTGAAGTGTATCCTTGGGCATGTGGAGGTATTATTGATTTGAGAAAATGCTAAGTATTATCTGAAAAATTTAAAGTTTTGGAAGTTTAAAAAAGAGAGAGAGAGAGAGAGAGAGAGAGAGAGAGAGAGAGAGAGAGAGAGACATGGATTGGTTGCCTCCAATTCCCTACCTGAGGTCTGTGCCTTTGACTGGGAATCAAACCCATGACCATTTGGTCTGAAGGCTGAAGCTCTAACCACTGAGAAAACCAGCCAGGGCTCCAGTTGATTCCTGTATGTTCCTTGACTGAGGATGAAACCCACAATATTGGTATATGGGGATGACACTAACCAACTGAGCTACCTGGCCATGGCATGAGTACTTATTTTGTGTCTGGTACTTGACACATATCATCTCTTATCCTTCACAACAATTCAGGGAGGACACTGAGGATCAAATAAATAAAGCACTTGTCCAGGCTCACAGAGCCAGTAAGGGATAGAAGCAGGATTCAAACCCAGCTTTTCCCATTGTGACACACCTGTCTCTTTATCTCCTGTGTATTCCTTAATATTTATTGAGCACTTACAGTATTCCAAGCATTACCCTAAATCATTCACCCAGATTATCTCATTTAATCCTCACAAGAATTCAGGGAGGTAGGAACTATTAATATTTTTATTTTACAGGTGGGAAAACCAAAGTGCAAAGAGGAAAACTAATCTACCACACATCTCAGGGCAAGAAACTATCAAAGCTAGAATCGGAATAAAGGCTGCTCAGCTTCAGACTCTGTGTCCTTCACCACTGCACAATGCATTCTCCTCCTCATTTCAAATCTGCCAGCGGTGGCTTTCCAGTAGCAAAGCTTCCATGTTTTGAAACTTTGCATGTCTAAAAGGATATATGTCAAACCGCATTGTTCACTTTGTTATAAAAAGCACATTTCCCCCCAAAAAAGATGAACAAGTTCTTAATTTTTTAAAAAAGTAAAAATCACTCAGCCAGCATGGCTCAGCCGGTTGAGCATCACCCTGTGCACGAGGACATTGCTGGTTCAATTCCTGCTCAGGGTTCGTGCCTGGGTTGCAGGTTTGGTCCCCAGTCCAGGCAAGTATGGAAGACAAATTTTCTCTCTCACATCAATGTCTCTCTCCCTTCATTTTTCAAAAAAAATTATATCTATATCTATATCTAGATAGATAGATAGATAGATAGATAGATAGATAGATTTCAGAGAGGAAGGGAAAGAGGGAGAGAGAGAAACATCAATGACAAGAGAATCATTGATTTGCTGCCTCCTGCACATGTGCCCTTGACCAGTGTGACTCAGCGGAAGAGCCACATTCAAGGGGCCAAAGAGCCGCATGTGGCTTGAGAGCCGCAGTTTGCCAACCACGGCTCTAACCAACTGAGCTATCTATCTAGCAAGTGCTCATTTTCCTTTTTAAAACCACTTTGACACTTTCCTCTGCAGGTATTCAGGGTCAAATTTCCAATCTTTTTTTTGTTATTTCTCTCTCTCTGACTCCCAAAAGTAACTATGGCTATAGTTCTGAAATATTTGTTCCTTACATCTTCATTCACTCATTCCTTCACCCACCCAATTAGTACCTTTAAAGCACCTAATTTATGCAATGCACTGTTCTATAAAGGTATTAAAATTAATTAGACACAGACCCTGCCCTAAAGAAGCTGTTTTCTCTACGAATAAAAATACAGACACCACATTAAATTAGAATCTCAGATAAATAATAAGTAATTTGTTAGTATAAGTATGTCCTATGCAATGGGATACGATGCATGGGAAGGACTGTAATGAAATATAAATGCTAAAGAAAACGTACCAAGAATCGTGGGACTATTCCTTAAAAACTTGGCTTAAATTCTCATTGGACCAACTTATGAGGAAATGTATTGGGTCGGCAAGTAAGTAATTGCGGATTTTTTAAAGAAAATCAAAGACAATTTTTTCATGGAACTAAATAACTTTATTCTGTAATGTATTGCCCATTTTGATCAATGACCTTTTGCCATCTTTCAGGCAGCATCATAATCCCACGTTCAAAAAACTTCTGGTTTTTATTAGCAAAAAACTGAATCAGGTACGATTTGACATCATCATCATTATTGAAATTTTTACCATTCAAGGAGTTTTGTAAAGATCGAAACAAAAAGTAATCAGATGGTGCAAGGTCAGGACTATATGGTGGATGTGGCAAAACATCCCAACCAAGCTCCATTAATTTTTGCCGAGTGACCAAAGATGTGTGTGGCCTTGCATTGTCATGATGGAATACAACACCTTTTCGATTTGTCAATTTGGGCCGCTTTTCTTCAACTGCATTGTTTAATTTCATTAGTTGTTCAATGTAGACATCAGAATTGATCGTTCGGTTGGGTGGTAAGAGTTCAAAGTAGACAATTCCTTTGTAATCCCACCAAACTGATAACAAAACCTTCTTTTGATGAATATCAGCTTTTGATGTTGTTTGAGTTGGTTCACCTGGCCTGCTCCACGATCTTTTCCGCTTGATATTGTTGTAAACAACCCATTTTTCATCACCAGTTATCAGTCGTTTTAAAATGGATCATTTTCATTACGTTTCTTTAGCAAATCGCAGCTGCTAATGCGTTGCGTTAACTGTGATTCTTTCAGTTCGTGAGGAACCCATGTATCGAGTTTTTGAACATAGCCAAGTTGTTTTAAGTGATTTTCAATGCATGTATGTGATACATGAAGCTTCTCTGCAATCTCACGTGTTGTACTGTGACAGTCCGAATTGATTATTGCTTTGATTAGGGCGTCATCAACTTCAACTGGACAACCAGAGCGTTTTTCATCTTTGAGTGAAAAATCACCAGAACGAAATTTGGCAAACCAATTTTGACACTGCCGTTCTTTTAAGGCTTCGTCACCATAAACAGCCCATAACTTTTATGAGCTTGCGATGCGTTTTTCCCTTTGTGGAAATAAAAAATCAAAATATGACGAAAATGTTCCTTTTGATTTTCCATTTTTCAACGAACGCCAAACGAAAACTACAAAACAGATCAAAAAACTTTTTTTACTGATTAACAGCTGAATAGCCAACTATCAAATAACAAAATGTGTTTTACATTTTTACTACGTCTGCAAACCTAAAAATTCAACTGAAGCCATATATGTGTGAAACCCGCAATTACTTACTTGCCGACCCAATATTTCCAGATGGAAAAGCCAACTCTAGGAACCTATCCTCACCCGCCTTCCCACCCGGGACCACAGGGTGTCACTACGGGCGCCTCTCTTGAAACCATAGACGCAGGTGCCGCGGGCGCCTAGAGCGGCTGTTTCCCAGCCGGTCCCGGTCCTCCGCGGGCCGAGCTGGGACGCGCCCGGCTGGAGAGAAGGTCTCGCGAGAGTGGAAGCAAGTCCCGCGAGTTTTAAGAGTTGCTTGTTTTTGCCTAGCGACCGGCCGCGGACCACAGGCGGGTCTCTCGGAGTGGAGCCCCTGGAGCGGCCTGGTGAGGGTTGGAGAGACCCCAGCCGCAGGCCGGGGTTCCTTCCAGACAGAGGAGACGGATTCAGCGGGGCTCCAGGTAACCAGGCCGCCGGAGGCTGCCTGCCTCCCTCCCTCCCGGGAGGAATTAGGGGGACGCCCCTTCCCTCCTTCCAGTAACCCCTCAATTCCGTTCCAACTGCTCCTGACTCCCTTCTCTCAGCCACTCACTACCATCCTGCTTCTTTTACTCCCCAAAACTTAGGGGGGTTCGAGAGGGGGGTGGAGATGGGCTGATGCTCTCAGATTAGTGGATGGGACTGAGAGACTGAGTGCCCCTGTCGTCCGGTAGACGAGGGAACCCCAGAGACATCTCGTCCCAGAGCCGGGGCACCTCCCTGGGAGCCTCCACAGCCTCGGGAGCGGTGGGAGGCGGGGAGAGAGCCGCCACCCACCGAGGAAAACTTAGGCCCCGCAGTGGGTGTAACCGTTTGGGGAGTGGGCAGAAGGCTGCTGTTCTCTCCAGGCCGCTCCGTGCTCAGCCAGCCTGTCCGCAGCTCCTATGGGGCTGCAGCAGATGACAGCTGCCTGACCTCGGGCCGAGGAGCCTGACGGAGGGTGTGAATGGGGGCGGAAGTGGGTGCTTGGGTAAGGAAGAGGATCAGTGCACCTCTCCAGGGCGTGTGGTGTCCGGTCATAGGAGCTCTAACCATGCCTCCTTTTGCTTAGACCAAGATTGTTGAAAACCAGACATATGATGAGCGTCTAGAGATTAACGACTCTGAAGAGGTTGCAAGTATTTATACTCCAACCCCAAGATACAGAGGTGAGAGAGGAATGCAGAGGAAAGGGGGAAAATGGTCCTCAGAACAAAGAGCAGATGGATTGATGATTTGTCTCCAAGAAGTTTCTGTTTTGTAATAGCAAATGTCCCCTCTCAGAGTTAGGTTACTTCACTTACCTTTGTTTCTTTTTCTTTTTTCTTTTTCTTTTTATATATTTTATTGATTTTTTACAGAGAGGAAGAGAGAGGGATAGAGAGTTAGAAACATCGATGAGAGAGAATCATTGATCAGCTGCCTCTTGCACACCCCCTACTGGGGATGTGCCGGCAACCAAGGTACATGCCCTTGACCGGAATTGAACCCGGGACCCTTCAGTCCGCAATCTGACGCTCCATTGAGCCAAACTGGTTTCAGCTGCCTTTGTTTCTGTGTTGTAACTAGTGAAGAGGGAAGAAAACACAGCTCCCCCAACCCCCCCCCCCTCCCCGTTTCAGGGTCTTCCTCCAGCCTGATCAGTATTCCCAACTGCCATTTCCTCTATGTTACTGCTCTGCTCACAGTTCATGGTGTGTATGTGTTTTAACTTATTAAAACTGTTTTGCTCATTTTTGAAGATGCTTCAATAACCTGCCCTTAACCTGCAGTCTCAAAAATATCAATGGGATATGTTAAGAGTATCTGACACTGTCATTTATTCAACAATGCATTTTATATATTGATTTTAGAGAAGAAGGGAGAGGGAGAGAGAGATAGAAACATCCATTATGAAAGAGAATCATGGATGGGCTGCCTCCTGCAGGTCCCTTACTGGGGATCAAGTCCACAACCCCGGCACGCACCCTTGACCAGAATCGAACCTGGGACCTTTCAGTTTGCAGGCTGACACTCTATCCGGTGAGCCAGACCGGCTAGGGCCAACAATGCAGTTTTGAATGCATACCTGTGCATCAGCATTGTGCTTGGCACTGCACATACAGGTTTTAAAAGACATTGATTCTGCCATCCTGAGGCTTGTAATCATGGGAGACATGACAAATGAATAAACGAACATACAAATGTGGTAAATGCATTGATGGAGGCAAAGAGCTTGATGTTAGGAAGAATAATGGTGAGGAGTGGGATCTGTTTTTTAAAAAAATATATTTTTATTGATTTCAGAGAGGAAAGGAGAGAGAGAGAGAGAGAGAAACATCAATGATGAGAGAATCATTGATCAGCTGCTTTTTGCACGCCCTCTCCTGGGAATTAAGCCTGCAACCCGGGCATGTGCCCTTGACCAGAATTGAACCCAGGACCCTTCAGGCCACAGGCTGATGCTCTATCCACTGAGCCATATAAGCCAGGGCGGGGATCTACTTTCGATAGGGTATCAGGGATGGCCTAATGAGGTGACATTTGAGACTGAAAGATAGGGAGGAGGAGGAGGGATCCAGACAGTGAGGAAAAATAGGCCAGGAAAAGAGAACAGCAAATGAAATGTGAAAAGGCGCTGATCCCAGAAAGAATTTGAGTTTGGGGACTTGAAAGGGACCAGCCTGTGGTGGGAGGGAGTGATGTCAGAACAAACAAGCAGGCGGAGGCGGAGGGAGGCAGCGGCAGAAAGCAGAGCCTGGAGATTGCTGCTGCCCTGGGATGGGTGGAACGGTGAAAGGAGGGAGCAGCTGGAAGGACTGTTGCAGTGGCTGAGTTGAGGTGATAGTGGCTTGTACGTCGTGAGGAAACAGAATAAAGAGAAGAAAAATCACTAAAACTTATCTGGCCGGTGTGCTCAGTGGTTGAGCATCAGCCCATGAGTCGTGAGGTCAGGTTCATTCCCAGAAGGACACAGGCCTGATGTGCGAGCTCCATCCCCAGTGTGGGCCGTGCAGGAGGCAGCCGATCAATGATCCTCTCTCCCTCTCCCTGCCTCTCTGAAATCAATAAAAATATTTTAAAAATCGCTAAGACTTGATTATGGATTGGATTTGGCTTTTGAGTTAGGAACAAAGGGTGACATTAGGGTTGTTTGTTTCTTGGGGTAAATATACCTATATAGAGGCTCGATGCATGAAATTTGTGCAAGGGCCTTGGCCCTGGCCCCTGCCTGCCTCTGCTGCCTCTGCCTTGGCCCCTGCCTACTGTGGCTTTGGAAGGATGTCCAGAAGGATGTCTGGTCTAATTAGCATATTATGCTTTTATTATTATAGATATAAAATTTACCATTTTAATCCCATTTTAAGTATACAATTCAGAGGCATTAAGTAAATTTATATTGCATAACTATCTCACTATTTCCAGAACTTTTGCCCCATCCTAAACAGAAACTGTACACATTAAATAATAACTCCCCATCCCCCTCCTCCTCCCAGCTCCTGGTAGCCTCTATTCTACATTGTCTTTATGAATTTGCCTACTCTAGGTGCCGGGTCTTATCCTCATCTACTAGGGTTCAGGAATCTGGAGAAAGGGCTGTGACACAAATTAATAAAGAGACTAGACATGAAATATAAATTTGGAAGGCATTGTGGGAGAGCCAGAGGAGGCTCGGCTTTAGTAACTAAGCTCTCTGAATCTCTGAACCCAGGGCTTTTTATTCACACATTTTGTTCTATAGCAAAGCAGATATACATATCAAAGGTAAGGCTTAGTAAACAGTAAAAGAGGATCAGGTTGGGGGAACTGCCTTCAGCTCTCTGGCAGCAGGCAATAATACATATAGATCTCCAGCCCTGCTGAAGCCCCAAGGTTCATCAGCCTTTTGATGTATTTATTGCATTTTATTATGCCTTGCTGGAATTTGCTTCCAGCATCTAGGTACACAAAAGAACAATATTTGTTCTTTTGCGTCTGGCTTATTTCACTTAGCATAATGTTTTTATAATGTTTTCATGCTGTAGCATGTGTTAGAATATCCTTATTTTTTATGGCTGAATAATATTCCATTGTCTATATAAACACATTTTGTTTATCTATCTGTTGTTAGACATTAATGTTATTTACATCTTTGGCTTTTGTGAATTTGTGAATATGCTGTAATGAATATTAGCGTACATATATCTGAGTCATTGCTTTTAATTTTTTGGATATATATATAATGTATATATAAGTATATACATTTTATATAAATATAGATATAAAGTGTATATAATATATATACATACCTAGGTTCCCAGGTTTTTGACTCAACTATATATTTTTTTAATTTTTTTATTTATTTAAAAAATATATATTTTATTGATTTTGTACAGAGAGGAAAGGAGAGAGATAGAGAGTTAGAAACATTGATGAGAGAGAGTCATCGATCAACTGCCTCTTACACACCCCCCACTGGGGATATGCCCGCAACTAAGGTACATGCCCTTGCCCGGAATCGATCCCGGGACCCTTCAGTCCCCAAGCCGATGCTCTATCCATTGAGGCAAACCGGTTTCGGCTCAACTATGTTTTTTTTTTCTTAATATATTTTATTGATTTTACATAGAGAGGATTTGAGAGGGACAGAGAGTTAGAAACATCAATGAGAGAGAAACATCGACCAGCTGCCTCCTGCACACTCCCGACTGGGGATGTGCCCGCAACCAAGGTACATGCCCTTGACCGGAATCGAACCCGGGACCCTTCAGTCCGCAGGCCCACGCTCTATCCACTGAGCTAAACCAGTCCCAGCTCAACTATGTTTTTAATCATGCTAGCTGTGGGCATGATAATTCATTTTCATTTTGGGTGATTTAGTAAGCTGGAAAATGATGATTAATAGCCATTTATTTGATTTAGAAATCATGCCAGCTAATATTTTACATCTGGTTAATTGTTCAGAATATTCAATGAACAGGGCACTTATTCAGATTTATTTTTTGAAATAGCTTTTTACTGATTTTTAGAAAGAGAGGAAGGGAGAGAGAGAGAGATAGAAACATCAATGATAAGAGAGAATCATTGATCAGCTGCCTCGTCCACACCCCCTACTGGGGATCGAGCCCACAACCTGGGCATGTGCCCTGACCAGACATCAAACCGTGACCTCTTGGTTCATAGATCGACACTCAACCACTGACCCACACTGGCCAGAGCTGATTCAGATTTATATTTGTGACTGATGTTTGACAGGAGCTGGGTCTTTTTCTTCCATCTACGTTCTTTCATTTGGTCCTTTCAGCAGTTCTGGGTGAGAGGTGCTATGGGCTCTGTCAGAGGTAGGAGTGCAGAGACCCAGAGGAGTGTCATTTTTCCCAAGTGACAGAATTATCCTTCAAGCTCAGTGTCTTGAATATGAATCCAGTACTCTTTTCACTTTATTTATTTATTTATTTTTTTAATATATTTTATTGATTTTGTACAGAGAGGAAGGGAGAGAGATAGAGAGTTAGAAACATCGATGAGAGAGAGTCATCGATCAGCTGCCTCTTGCACACCCCCTACATGCCCTTGACCGGAATCGAACCCGGGACCCTTCAGTCCCCAAGCCGATGCTCCATCCATTGAGCCAAACCGGTCCCGGCTCTTTTCACTTTATTAATTACTAACTTCATGTTGTCAATGTGTATGTAAATTAACAGCAGATTTTATACTATTGACATAACAGCAAATAGTCAGTATAATGTCTGACCCGGTGCCTGAAGCACAGGAATGCTGAGTAAATACATGTTTGAATTGAACTGACAGAGCCATGGCTAGGGTTCAGTCTTCTATCTTGTAGCTAGATGCTCATCTAAATTGTGGCCAGATTAGAAAATATCATAAACTAAAAATTATTTGTCTTTCACAATTCTTTTAACAATAACCTAAAGGGAAACTTCTCTCCTAAGGACCTCCTCGTTCTGCCCGTCTTCCAAACAAGACGATGGCCGACAACAGCAGCGACGAGTACGAAGAGGAGAACAACAAGGTGCGGTATGGCCCACTTCTGGGGAGCTGTGCTTTGCCTGGCCAGTACTTGCCATTGACACCAGGCCAGTAGTGAGCATTCGGTGGTCTGGCACCTTGGAACTCATGGAGGATAATCGGGAAGAAAAAACATTAAGATTTTTGAGTCTCCTTTAGGAATAAAGACTGACTTTTTAAAAAAGATTTTTAGAAATTGAGTTTTAGACAGAAAGGAAGGGAGAGAGAGAAACATGGGTGTGAAAGGTCTATCGGCTGCCTCCTGCACTCCCCCTGCTGGGAATCTAGCAGGTAACCCTGGGGATGTGCCCTGATGGGGAATCAAAGCTGCAACCTTTTCAGCGCCCACCAACTGAGCCACATCAGCCTGGGCTGCCGCTGACTTTCTAGTGAGGAATTTCATATCATAGGCCAGTGTTTTGCAAACTTTACTGATCATAAAAATCAACTGGAGACACTTAATTTTTAAAACGCAGATTCCCAGTCCCCATCTAGAACTCCCAAATCAGAGTCTTAAAGGTAAAAGCATGAGGGTTTATATTCAATATTTTTAGCAAGCACTCCAAGTAATTTTCTTTCTTTTCTTTTTCTTTTTTTTTGGGGGGGGGGGTGTATATTTTTATTGATTTCAGAGAGGAAGGGAAGAGGGAGCAAGAGAGAAAATATCAATGATGAGAGAGAATCATTGATCAGCTGCCTCCTGTGTACCACACTGAGGATCAAGCCCACAACCCGGGAATTGGCCCATGACCTCCTGGTTCATAGGTCGATGTTCAACCACTGAGCCACGCCAGCCGGGGCCAAGTAATTTTCTTTATAAAGCAAGTTTGGAGTCATTGTTTTAGGCATTTGTTTATCGTTAAGATTTTGTGAAAGAGACTTTAATTTTGACGTCTTAAGACCCAAATGTCACTTTATTGTTCTATGAGCTGTTTCTGAGAGAAAGGCAGAAAGATGCCTACAGCTCTAAGCCGGGTGAGCTCAAGCTTAAGGTTGCATGCGTGCTCTTTTAGCACCACTGTGTTCAGCCTCAGTCCGTGGCCCGCTGGTCACACACGGCCCGCTGAGGAGCAGGAGCCTTCACCGCTCTGGGAGGGAGAACACTGAAGCAGCACAGAAAGCTTTGGTGATACAGACTGATTTCGTAAAAGGCCCAAGAGGTGCCGTTTTAAGGTAGCCTCATTTAAAGTGAGTAGTGTGCTGTTTTGCTAGGTTAATATCTAACCCACAGAGTCATTTTTCCGGCATTTGTATAATGCTATGTTATAAAAAAATACCCAAGGCTATGTATAATAAATCTGTGTTGTGCTGTGACCAAAAGCAGTTTGTGTGTGTGTGTGTGTGTGTGTGTGTTTAAATAAATGTTTATTGAGCCGAAGCCGGTTTGACTCAGTGGATAGAGCATCGGTCTGCGGACTGAAAGGTTGAAACGTCCCAGGTTTGATTTCGGTCTAGGGCATGTATATTGGTTGCGGACACATCCCTGGTAGGGGGTGTACAGGAGGCAGCTGGTTGATGTTTCTGGCTTTCTATCCCTCTCCTTTCCTCTCTGAAGTAAATCAATAAAATATACTTTAAATAAATGAATAAATGTTTATTGATTTCAGAGAGGAAGGGAGATGGAGAGATAGGAACATCAATGAGAGAATCATTGATCAACTGCCTCCTCCATGCCCCACACTTATGATCGATTCCATAACCCAGCATGTGCCTTGAGTGGGAATTGAACTGTGACTTCCTGGTTCATAGGTTGATGCTCAATCACTGATACATGCCGGCTGGGCCCAAAAACAATTTTTGATGTTATTTATTTATTTATTTTAATAAATCTTTATTGTTCAGATTATTACAGTTGTTCCTCTTTTTCCCCCATAACTCCCCTCCACCCAATTTCCACCCCACCCCATGCTCTTACCCCCCTCCACTGTCATCCATAGATGCATGATATTTGTCCAGTCTCTTCCCGCACCCGCTCCCCCACACTCCTTATTCCCCGAGGATTGTCAGTCCACTCCCTTTCTATGCCCCTGATTCTATTATATTCACCAGTTTATTCTGTTCATCAGATTTTTAAAAATATATTTTATTGGTAGAATCCAAGATGGTGGCATAGGGTAGACACCCGAATGCAGCCTACCTCAACAAATTTGAATTTAGAACTGGAAAACAGAGAAGGCATTGCCCTGAAGCACCAGACAGCTAGCTGAGAGGAGGCTCGCTGATCCTCAGAAACTGTGAAGGTACAGAGAACTGTGCGCGCGAAAGCGCTGGCATACTCCCAGCGCGCAGAGAAGTAGGGCCGGACAGAGATTGCTGCTGGCCGACTCCTGGTGCACGAAGAGAGTTCGCTGAGTTCGCTGCTGGCTTACTTCCGGAGAGCGGAGAGGGCAGACAGCTATTGCATGGCTGGCTTTCTTGTTCGAGAGGAAAACAGAATCACCCTATTGCTCTGATAGACAGCCCCATACAGGTAGAGGCCAGACTGTCAGGCAGCGGGCAGAGATCTCTCAGAGGTGTGTGAAGCCAGAGGCCATTACTGCGGGACTTGGGGAGGAGCCGAAGGGAAAACAAAGCTTGTCTGCACCAACCCGAGACTCCACCCCATCCAAGCTGAGCACAGAAGCTCTCCCAGAGGCTGGCTTTCTCTAAGGAGGGACTGGCCAGAATCCAAAGCTTGTCTGCGCCTTTACCAAAGAGGTGTGCGCGCCTGCAACCAATCTTCCGAAACTCACCGCGAACAGGACTTTTCTAAGGCAAGACTGACAGGGAACCAAAGATTTTCTGCGTCACCCCAAGATCCAGCCCCATCCAAGCGGAGTACAGAAGCCCTCCTAGCTGAGACACTGCTGATCCTCACAGCCAATTGGCTTGGAGATCAACGCTTCCCAGTGATACCAACAATAAGCAAGGCTTAACAACAAGACTGCACACACAGCCCACAAAGGGCTACACCAAGACTGTCCACTGCAGGTAACTGGGAAGGCTGTGCTACTGGGCTCTACCAGAACACCTAGAACACAAAACTATTCCATCAAATCAGGGAAACAACTAAAATGCAGACAAGAGGCAGGACACAAAGGAAGGAGATGGAGGAAAAGAAAAGATTGGACATTGAGTTCAAAACTATAGTTATAAGGTTATTCAAGAATATCCTAAAAAAGGCCGATAAAATAAATGAGACCTATGAGGATATGAAAAGGGAGCAACTAGAAATAATAAGGGATCAACTAGAAATGAAGAAAACATTGTCTGAAATAAAAAATATTACACAGAGTCCTAAAAACAGACCGAAAGATTGCAAGAATCAAGACAAAGATGTAGCACACAAAGAGCCAAGCGCCAGCTGGTCCCCATGGCTGCTTCGCCGGAGCTCTCGGAGCCCAGGCAGCAGAAGGTAGAATTAGAAGATCATGCGATGTTGGAGTAGGAGGATTTATTGTTGTGACTTTAGGATACTGGCTCCATTGTAGGTATAATTATGCAAAGCAAAGAATCCAGGAAAGAATCACCAGAGAAGGAATTAAAAATAAGATTTTATATGAAAGTACCCACCTTGATCCTGAAAGAAAACAAACCAAGAGCAGCAGCAACAGCACCTGAACAGTCTTGAGTATAGAACCCAAATACAACTCATGTCAGTGTGAACCGAGATCAACTATGTAAAACACTGCATGTACCATACAGTTTTCAATCAAGTAAATAAAGCATGTGTAAGCTGTAACAAAAAAACAAACAAACAAAAAAGAACACAAAGAGCCAGAGGACACTCCTCCACAGAAGCAGGAAGATAAGAGAATCCAGAAAGTTGAAGATAGTGTAAGAAACCTCTGGGACAATTTCAAGCGAACCAACATCAGAATTATGGGGGTCCCAGAAGAAGAGAGAGAGCAAGATACCGAAACAATACTGGAAGAAATAGTGACAGAAAACTTCCCCCACCTGGGGAAAGAAATAGACTTACAAGTCCAGGAAGCGTGCAGAACCCTAAACAAAAGGAATCCAAAGAGGACCACACCAAGACACATCATAATTAAAATTCCAAGAGCAAAAGACAAAGAGAGAATATTAAAAGCAGCAAGAGCAAAGCAGGTAGTTATCTATAAAGGAGCATCCATACGATTATCAGCTGATTTCTCAACAGAAACCATGCAGGCCAGACAGGAATGGCAAGAAATATTCAAGGTGATGAATAGTAAGAACCTTCAGCCAAAAATACTCTACCCAGCAAAGTTATCACTCAGAATCGAAGGCCAGAAAAAGAGCTTCACAAATAAAAAAAAGCTAGAGGAGTTCATCACCACCAAACCAGGATTATATGAATTGCTGAAAGGGGTTCTTTAGGAAGAGGAAGAAGATAAAGATAAAAATTATGAACAACAAATATGTAACTATCAACAAGTGAAACTAAAAACCAAGGGAATTAAAAAATCTAATGAACAATATTAACTGGTGAATATAATAGAATCAGAGGTATGGAAGGGGAGTGGACTGATGATTCTCGGGGAAAAGGGGAGTGGTGGATGTGGGAAGAGACTGAACAAAAACTGTGCACCTATGGATGAGGACAATGGGGGGTGGGGAAAGGACAGAGGGTGGGGTGGGAACCTGGTGGAGGGGAGTAGTTGAGGGAAGGGGAAGAGGAACACATTTGTAATAATTGAACAATAAAGATTAAAAAATAAAATTAAAAAAGAATATATTTTATTGATTTTTTTCACAGAGAGGAAGGGAGAGGGATAGACAACCAGAAACATCGATGAGTGAGAAACATCGATCAGCTGCCTCCTGCACACCCCCCACCAGGGATGTGCCTGCAACCAAGGTACATGCCCTTGACCGGAATTGAACCTGGGACCCTTCAGTCCACAGGCCGACGCTAAACCAGTTTCGGCTCATCAGATTTTTTATTCACTTAATTTTTAGATTCACTTGTTGATAGACATGTATTTGTTGTTCATAATTTTTATCTTTACTTTTTCTTATTCTTCCTCTTCTTAAAGAATACCCTTCAGCATTTCATATAATACTGGTTTGGCAATGAACTTCTTTAGCTCTTTCTTATCTGTTAAGCTCTTTATCTGACCTTCAATTCCTTTTCTTTTAAAATATATTTTATTGATTTTTTACAGAGAGGAAGAGAGAGGGATAGAGAGTTAGAAACATCGATGAGAGAGAATCATCGATCAGCTGCCTCTTGCACACCCCGTAGTGCCTGCAACCAAGGTGCATGCCCTTGACCGGAATCGAACCTGGGTCCTTTCAGTCTGCAGGCCGACGCTCTATCCACTGAACCAAACCGGTTTCGGCTGACCTTCAATTCTGAATGATAGTTTTGCTGGGTAGAGCAATCTTGGTTTTAGGTTCTTGGTATTTATAACCTTGTATATTTCTTGCCACTCCCTCTGGCTTGCATAGTTTCTGTTGAGAAATCAGTTGACAGTTGTATGGGTACTCCCTTGTAGGTAACTGTTTTTTCTTGCTGCTTTAAAAAAAATTTTTTTTAAATATATTTTATTTATTTTTTTATAGAGAGGAAGGGAGAGGGATAGAGAGCTAGAAACGTCAATGAGAGAGAAACATCAACCAGCTGACTCTTGCACACCCCCTACCGGGGATGTGCCGCAACCAAGGTACATGCCCTTGACCGGAATTGAATCCGGGACCCTTCAGTCTGCAGGCCAACGCTCTACCACTGAGCCAAACCGGTTTCGGCTTTTGCTGCTTTTAATATTCTCTCTTTGTCTTTTGCCCTTGGCATTTTAATTATGATGTGTCTTGGTGTGGTCCTCTTTGGATTCCTTTTTTTTTTTTTTTTTTTTTTTTTTGGTTCTCTGTACCTCCTAGTCTTGTAAGTCTATTTCTTTCACCAGGTGGGGGAAGTTTTCTGTCATTATTTCTTCAAATAGGTTTTCAATATCTTGCTCTCTCTCTTCTTCTGGCACCCCCATAATTCTGATGTTGGTATGCTTGAAGTTGTCCCAGAGGCTCCTTTCACTGTCTTTTTGGATCCTTTTTTCTTTTTGTTTTTCTGATTGGGTGTTTTTTGCTTCTTTGTTTTTCAAATCTTTGACTTGATTCTTACGATCCTCTAGTCTGCTGTTGGATCTCTGTATATTATTTTTTATTTCAGTCAGTGTATGGTTAATTTCTAGTTGGTCCTTTTTCATATCCCCGAGGGTCTCACTAAATTTATGGGCTGTTTCTAGAAAATTCTTGAAAAACCTTATAACCATGGTTTTGAACTCTATATCCTGTAGTTTGCTTTCCTCCATTTCTTTGTGACCTGTTTCTTTGTCTCTGTATTTGGCTGCTTCCTTATGTTGAAAGAGTGGCTTTGTGTGCTAGGTGTCCTATACGGCCTCCCCAGTTACCTGAGGTGGACACTCTTGGTGCACCCCTTTGTGGGCTGTGTGCACAGTCTTATTGTAGTTAAGCCTTGATTGTTGTTGGTATCCCTGGGAGGAATTGACCTCTAGGCCAATTGGCTATGAGGATCAGCTGTGTCTACAATGGGAGAACTTTTGTGCTGGAGACACCCTTATGAGGCAAGACTTGCTTCAGTGGGGCTTTGGTGCTCACTGAGTCTGCCCCCTGAGTGTGTCCCTTATGGATCTGAGGAGTGGTAATCTGGATGGTCCTACTCTGACCCTACACTGGCTCTTGGATCTCTAAGGAGATGCTAATTTAGCCTCTGCCTGAGGTCACCCAGCTACGGAGAGATCTGCAGATTCCTTTTCTGTGTTTGGGGTTTGGAGGTGCCCAGATGAGGCCCAACTGTGAAGCAACGCAAGCTGCTACGGAGTCTTGGGCCTTCTTTTGGATGTTCTGGGTCTGTGACTCAGCTGAGGTTTGGTAAATTTTCGATTTCAAAGGACCAGGCCATTCATATGCAAAAGCCTCTGCACACACGTGGGTGGGGTGGGGTCTCAGAGTGGAGCAAACAGCAATGGCTTCCTGTCAGCCCTGTCCTGAGAGGCCCCGGATCTCTGTGTCCCTTTCTCCAAAAGTTCCCAAGTTTTAGGGTAGAATCTACTGGGTAGTTTATGCTGAGGTCTCAGGGTCTCCTAAGTAACAGGTCAGATAGATAGATATTGGATAAAATTGATGCCTGAACCTCACGCAGAGAACTAGAACATGGCTGTGGAAAGTGGGGACCATTGTAGTCAGCAGGAGCAGAGGCCCCTCGGGGCTGCTGCCTTCCCTCTGATGTGGCGTCAGGAGGGAGGGACGGGTTCAAGTCCTGGGAGAAAACAACTCAAGTTCACTCAGTTTCCTTGCTGGGTGTCTCTCACCCGCTCTGCCCTCTTCCAGGAGAAGAAGAAGACCTTGCAGCTGACGCCTCAGCAAGGCTTTAGTGAAAACGACGACGATGATGATGACTCATCAGAAACGGATTCAGATGAAGATGATGACGATGAAGAGCACGGAGCCCCCCTAGAAGGGTGAGGAAAGCACCTTCTTCAAAACATGGACTAGGAGGGAGGGTATCAGTTAAAAGTGAAGCCCCAGCATCTCTTTTGATCTCTACTTAGGATCTCTATTGTCTCAGAAACAGGCAGAATGAGTTTTCAGGCTTTTCTGACCCACTGCCTCACCAAGTCTCATGATGTCTCGTGCACTGTCTGAAACATTGGTGGACTCGGGTCGTGTGGATTTGCTGAGTAAATCCAAAGGATGGTCCCTGACTTCAGGGAGTACATTCTGGGGTAAAATGAATTTACGTACACACCAAAGCGTTTCTATTTAGCGAGGAAAATGCATGCACGGGAGTAGAAAACTAAGCTCAGATCCTTAATGGACAGGTTCTTCAGGGGCCCACACGAGGCAAACGTTCCTGAATGATGCTAAAGTACAAAACCTCTCGCCCTGTTCCAAACCCTGTTAGTCATGACCCATTCCTATAGGTTTTATTCAGAGTGGATTCTAAGACCCATCCATGTAAAATTTAATTACTGGTTAAATAAATGATGGTATAACCAGTCAGTAGAACTTTATCTAGCCATGGTAAACAATGAGCAGCACTCTTGCACCGGTTAAGAACAATCTCCAAGCCCTTGCTGGTTTGGCTCAGTGGCTAGAGCATCAGCCTGTGGACTGAAGAGTCCCAGGTTTGATTCCAGCCAAGGTCACATACCTCAGTTGCAAGCTCGATCCACGGCCCAGTTTGGGCGGGTACGGGAGGCAACCAGTTGAAGTGTCTCTCTCACGTCCATGCTTCTCTCTCTCTGTCTTTTCCCCTCCCTTCCATTCTAAAAACAATTGGAAAAATATCCTCAGGTGAGGATTAACAAAACAAAAACAACAATAACAACAAAGAACAATCTTCAAGAGATACTATTAAATTTTTAAAAGGTATAGACGTGTTCATGCTTTACTACCATGTGTATAAAACAGACATTACATAGACTGTGTAGTATACACTAGAAATTAATAATAGTGGTTCCTCTTGGAAGGAGGACTTGGTAGCAAGTGGACAGGTGTGGAAGGGAGACATAACTTTTCATTGTGGGCATTTTGTACCTTTTATTTTGTATCATATGTATGCACCATTTATTAAAGTAGTTAAATAAAAATAGTTAACTTACCTTTGCATTGTCCACCTGCAGGTTGACATTAATTAAATGAGGCAAATGTTTAATACCATACTGACTTTTCATGCTTCCCAACTTCCCTAATTATAATTAGGGAAATGTAAACTTTAAGTCATTAATCTACTTGGTTTTTTATTAAGCAACTCAAGTTTCTTTTTTAAAAAAATATATATTTTATTGACTTTTTACAGAGAGGAAGAGAGAGGGATAGAGAGTTAGAAACATCGATGAGAGAGAATCATTGATCAGCTGCCTCTTGCACACCCCGTACTGGGGATGTGCCCGCAACCAAGGTGCATGCCCTTGACTGGAATCGAACCCGGGACCTTTCAGTCCGCAGACCGACGCTCTATCCACTGAGCCAAACCGGTTTTGGCAGCAACTTTCAACTTTCAAAGTTATTTGTATGCTTTGTCAATGTTCATTGCATTTTACTTAATTATAATTAATATATATTCTATTTTTTATTTGTATACATTTCATGTGTCAATACAAATACTTTGTTGTTGTTAATTCTCACCTGAGGATGTTTTTCCATTGATTTTCAGAGAGTGGAAAAAGAGGGGGTGGGACAGAGAGAAACATGGATCTGAGAGAGAACATCGATTGGTTGCCTTCTGCATGTGCCTCAGTTAAGGCTGAGATCCAGTCTGCATGTGCCCCAGTTAAGGCTGGGATCCGATCAAGGTTCGTGCCCTTGATCGGAATTAAACCTGGGACCTTTTAGTCTGAGGGCTGACGCTCTATCCACTAATCCAACTAGAGCCAAGTATTTTTAGTAACCATGCAATATTCAACTTGAACATACCTAACCATTACTCAATTGTTGGGTATTTTGTTTCTAATTTTTACTTCTATAAATAATACTGTGAAAACCATCTTTGTAAAAATAACTTATTTTCTTGAGGCAAATTATTTTCATGCCAGAAATTAAAATCTCATTCTATCTTTTCTCTTCATCCCTTTCATTCAAAAAAGGGGAGGCCCAGCTGATGTGGCTCAGTGGTTGAGCATCAAACTATGAACCAGGAGGTGACAGTTTGATTCCTGTTCAGGGCACATGCCCAGGTTGTAGGCTTGATTCCCAGTAGGGGGCATTCAGGAGGCAGCTGATCAATGATTCTCTCTCATGAGTGATGTTTCTGCTATATTTTAAAATGTTTAAAAGTTATTTTTTGGATTTTCTGCAGCTCTGTTCTTTATTGTCAGAGATAACAGCTAATTTTAATAAATTTTATTTAAAAAATATATTTTTATTGATTTCAGAGAGGAAGGAAGTGGGAGAGAGAGACAGAAACATCAATGATGAGAGAGAATCACTGATTGGCTGCTTCCTACACGCCCCGCACTGAGGATCAAACCCATAACTTAGGCATGTGCCCCTGACTGGAATTAAACCCAGTATGCCGGCCAGCTCTCTGCCTCTGAGTCAAAATATCTAGGGCTGATTTTAATAAATTTTAAATTTGCCTTGCAAACCACCCAGGAAAGGCAGATGTGGGCGGAGCCTAACCTGGGTCCCGAGTCCTGTGCCCAGTGAGTGCAGCAGCAGCGGCTGCTCCTCTGGTGGAATCCCGTCTTTCTTTCCCCAGGGCCTACGATCCTGCAGACTACGAGCATCTGCCAGTTTCTGCCGAGGTGAAAGAACTCTTCCAGTATATAAGTAGGTGAGTGTTAGGTCTTCTTTCCGTAACCCTGGCCCCATGCCCTTTCCTGCCTCTAGTCTGAAACAAGGCCATTCTCTTTGGATTTTTTAAACCTGGATAGTGAAGTCAGTTTCTGATTCCATCTTCCCTGGGCATTACCTCCTAGGTATACACCTCAGCTGATTGACCTGGATCACAAACTGAAACCTTTCATTCCTGATTTTATCCCAGCTGTTGGGGATATTGATGCATTCTTAAAGGTACAGTCAGAACATCCTAAAAATGACTCCAGAGCTTTTCTTCTGACATCTCTATTACTCTACCAGTTCCACTAATTTTCTTGACAAGCACTGGCTACCTTGATATGTACCCTTCGTTTCATTAGAGTTCTTAACCTTGCTCTCTACTCTGTGTTATAATGATCGCTGTTAGGTAATACTTGATTATCTCATTATTTGTTATAAATCGTCATATAATTGCCGCCTAATTATCCATGACTTCAGCTTTCTATGTAAGGCCTGTAGGTCATGTATGTTTTCCATAGGATTTCAGCGCTGTGTGGCAGACAGGCATGCTTTTTGATACTATAATAGTAACGGGATGAAGCAGAAGAGTTCTTCCTCGCCAGCTTACTGGGACAGGATGCACGGCCTTTTATGTCCCTCTCATTTTTTCCCTTTTCTCCTTTTCTCTTAACCAGGTCCCACGTCCTGATGGGAAGCCTGACAACCTTGGCCTGTTGGTATTAGATGAGCCGTCTACAAAGCAGTCAGACCCTACAGTGCTCTCCCTCTGGTTAACGGAGAATTCCAAACAGCACAACATCACAGTAAGATGCCAGTAGAGTTCAGGCCAGTGGGAGAGGGCCAGAGTGGAGGCTTGTTGGTGTGTTTGAGTTTGATTTACTGCCTACTAAAAGTGATGGCTGTGGTTTCAGGACCGTCCTATTTTTTATATAACATTTTTATTGAGATAAAATTTATGTACCATAAAATTCACCCTTTAAAATTGTACAGTTCAGTGATTTTTATATAGTATATTCACAGAACTATAGAAGCATCATCATCTAAGAACATTTTCATCATTCCAGAAAGAAACTGAGTACCCATTAGTAGTCACTCCTCATTTCCCCCTGCTCCAACGACTCCATTTTTTTAATGGCGGAACACAGTTCCATTGTGTGGAAGCACCACATTTTGTTTATCCACTCACCAATTGTTTCCACTTTTCTTAATTATGCTGCCATGAAGATGGTCAAGTACCTGCATGGACACATGTTGTTATTTCTCTTGGACATACATGTAGGAGCGGGATCACTAGGCCATATGGTATCTGTTTAATATTTTGAGGAACTGCCAAACTGTTTTCCAAAGTGGCCGAATCATTTCCAATGCTACCAGTGATGAATGAAAGTTACCATTGTCCATGTTCTCATCAGCACTTGCTGCTCTCTTTTTACTGTAGCCATCGCAGTAGGTGTGAACTGATATGTCAGTATGGTCAGCCCTATCTTACTGACCTCCTCCTGTCCCAGGGCACTAGAAAATTTTATCGGGGTTCCTATAATCTCCCTCTGGCTGCCGGAGGCCTCCCTTTTCATCAGCTACTTTGTGTGTGAAAGAGCAGCAGCACGTGACAGTCACTCTGTGAAAATGAGAGGACTTCAGTGCCATGAGTCAGGCTTTGCCCTTGATTTTCTAGCAACACGTGAAAGTAAAGAGCCTGGACGATGCAGAGAAGAATCCCAAAGCCATTGACACATGGATTGGGAGCATCTCTGAGTTACATCGCTCTAAGCCCCCTGCCACTGTCCACTATACCAGGTAAGGAATGCTGCTGCTTCGCCCCTGGAACCCTGGCAGCCTTCACCGTGGGGAAACCCGTTGCTTTTGAGAAGAGGCCCAAAGGCTGGGACATATTGGGCCGAGCTGAGGTCCTGTGGATCATGGCAGCTGCTGGCTGAAATCACAGACACAGAAATTGTGGGTTTTGTGGTATCACTTAGCCAGCTTCTTCAAACCCCAGGTCCAGGGAAGGTTTGATTTTCCCAGTCTGTGTTCTCCTGAAATCCTAACCTGCCAGATCGAGGACCTCCCTTCGTCCTAAATACACTGGCCCAGAGGTTACTGACGTCATCTGTCCATGTTTCTTGTTCATCTCTCTCTCCTCTAGACCCATGCCTGATATTGACACGCTGATGCAGGAATGGTCCCCAGAGTTTGAGGAGCTTTTGGGCAAGGTGAGTGGAAGATAGCAGGAGCTAAGAAAGTATGGCAACCAGAATTCCCTCATGCTCAGATGTCCCAACATAATCACTATCCTGATTTTTTTCTCTCTTTCGTCTTTGTTTTTTTGTTTTTTCTCTCCCCTCCCCCCCCTAATTTCTAATACCATAGATTAGGTTTGTCTATTTTGTATTTTATCTAAATGTAATTTTTGTGTCCTATTTCTTTTGCTCATCTGTGTTGTTCATCCATGTGGAAATTCATCAATATTATTTCCTATATTGTTGTCCTTTTTTTCACATTACTGCGTGATATTACACTGTTTGAATATGTGACAATTTACTTACCCCTTCTATGGTAGCCATTTGGATAGTTTCCAGTTTTGGGTTATTACAAATGAAATATTACTATAATATTATGGTACTATTTCTATGAACATTGTAACATATACCTATTGGTAAGCATGTGTATATATTTAGACTCTACTTTTCCACAGAGATATTTATGCTATTTTTAAGTACCCCAAATTTCAAAAATACAAGAATAGAACAATCAGACTGCAGGCAGAGGCAGATCTCTGGAGGCTTTGTGTCTTTGCCTGACTCCTTCTGGGCCCAAGGCTAGGAAAAGCAGAGCCTGGTGCACATCTTGGTCCTTTCCAAAGGCACCCAGCCCCAGCAGAGGGAGCCACAAGCTGTGGATTGCTGATGGCTCCAAACAGGGGACTCAGGGCTGCTCAGAAACAGTGTCTGACATTGTTCTGGACTAGAGGTTGGGCATTGTAGCAGACTTAATTAATACATAGACACAGATCCAGACAGACAACCAAAATGGGGAGACAAAAAACACACCCTCAAATGAAAGAACAAAAGAATTCTCCAGGAGAAGCGCTAAATGAAATGAAGATAAGAAACTTATCAGATTAAGAGTTCAGAATAATAATGGTAAAAATGCTCAACAGCATGAGAAAAGGTATAGCAACTGTGAAAAAAAAAAAAAAACCCAAAAAAACCCAGAGGTCCTTAACCTGGCATACTAGGATTTCAGGAGAACACAGACTGGGCAAACAAAACTTACACAGGGCCTTGGTAATAAAGAATGAGCTAGACTAATAGCACATTGGAGCCCAGCCAGCATGGCTCAGTGGCTGAGTGTCGACCTATGAACTAGGAGATCACATTTTGATTCCTGGTCAGGGTACATGCCCAGGTTGCAGGCTCGATTCCCAGTAGGGGGTGTGCAGGAGGCTGCTGATCAATGATGTTTCTATCTTCTGCCCTCTCTGAAATCAATAAAAAAATATATATATTTTTTAAAAGAACACATTGGAAGGAATATACAACAGATTGGAAATTGAGGATTGGATCAGTGAATTAGAAGACAGGTTAGAAAAAAATGATTCAGAGAACCAAAAAGAGAAAATCATTAAAAAAATAGGAGGACAGCTTAAGAGAGCTGTGGGACAGCATGAAACATAAAAATCTTTAGTAATAAAAGTGTAATATGCCAGCCGAAACTGATTTGGCTCAGTGGTAGAGTGTCGGTCTGCGGACTGAAAGGTCCCGGGTTCGATTCCGGTCAGGGGCATGTACGTTGGTTGCGGGCACATCCCCGGTAGGGGGTGTGCAAGAGGCAGCTGGTTGATGTTTCTCTCTCATTGACGTTTCTAGCTCTCTATCTTTCTCCCTTCCTCTCTGTAAAAAATCAATTAAAAAAAAAAAAGTGTAATATGCCAATTAGATCTGACAGCCAAACGACTTTCTGGACGTCCTTCTAAATGAAGCTCCCTTGACAGGGGCTGAGGCAGAGGTAGTTAGGGGCAATCAAGCAGGAAGGCAGGCAGGGGCAATCAGGGGCAATGAGGCAGGCAGGCGAGTGGTTAAGGGCGATGAGGTAGGCAGATGAGCAGTTAGGGGCGATGAGGCAGGAAGGCAGGCAATCGGTTAGGAATCAGCAGTCCCAGATTGTGAGAGGGATTCTGACTACTGGTTTACGCCCTGTGGGATTGGGCCTAAACTGGAAGTCAGACATCCTCTGAGGGGTCCCAGATTGTGAGAGAGTGTAGACCAGGCTGAGGAACCCTCCCTCCCCCATGCACGAATTTCATGCACCGGGCCTCTAGTATTCATATAATATTGTGCCAGGAGGCGAGGAAAGTGAGCAAGAGTTAAAGAATGTGTTTGAAAAAATAATGGCAGAAAACGTCCCTAACATGGTGAAGGAAAAAGTCACACAAGTTTAGGAGGCACAGAGAATCCTAAGCAAGAAGAATCCAAACAGACCCATGCCCAGACACATCATAATTAAAATTCCAAAAATTAAAGACAGAGTATCTTAAAGGCAGCAAGAGAAAAGTAATGTGTTATCTACAAAGGAGCTCCCATAAGGCTGTCAGCTGATTTGTCATCAGACACTCTAGGCCAGAAGGGACTGGAAGGAAGTACTCAAGGTAATGAAAAGCAAGGATCTGAAACCAAGATTATTATATCCAGCAAGGCTATCATTCAAAAACAGATGGTGAAATAAGAGTTTCCCAGACAAAAAAACGCTAAAGGAGTTTTTTACCACTAAACTAGCACTGCAAGAAATGCTAAAGGGACCGCTGTAATGAGAAGAAGAAATAGAGCCAGTGTGGCTCAGTGGATAGAGCATCAGCCTATGGACCTAAGGGTCCCATGTTCATTTCTAGTCAAGGGCACATACCTCAGTTGCAAGCTCCTCCTGGCCCTGGTTGGGGCATGTGCAGGAGGCAACCAATGAAATGTGTTTCTCCAACATTGATTATTTTTCTCTTTCTCTCTCTCTTCCACTAAAAGTCAATGGAAAAATATCCTCAGGTGAGGATTAGCAAAATAAATAAAATAGAATCTTAAAAAAAAAAAGAGAGAGAGAGATAGAGGAAGATATAAACAAGTGGAAGAATATACTGTGTTCATAGATTGAAAGAATTAGCATAATTAAAATGTCTATACTACCCAAAGCAATCTACAGATTCAACACAATCCCTATTAAAATACCAATGGCATACTTCACAGACCTAGAACAAATATTCCAAAAATTTATATGGAACCATAAAAGACCATATATAGCTGCAGCAATCTTAAAGAAGAATGAAGTAGGAGGGATCACAATACCAGATACCAAATTATATTACAAAGCCATTATAACCAAAACAGCCTGGTACTGGCACAAGAATGGTCATATAGACAAATAGATCAGAACAGAGACCACAGATATTGACCCACACCATTATGGTCAACTAATATTTGACAAAGGAGGCAAGAACAAACAATGGAGTAAAGACAGTCTCTTCAAAAAATTGTTCTGAGCCGAGACCGGTTTAGCTCAATGGATAAAGCGTCGGCTTGGGGACTGAAGGGACCCGGGTTCGATTCCGGTCAAGGGCATGTACCTTGGTTGCGGGCATATCCCCAGTACAGGGTGTGCAAGAGGCAACTGATTGATGACTCTCTCTCATCGATGTTTCTAACTATCTCTCTCCCTTCCTCTCTGTACAAAATCAATAAAATATATTAAAAAAAAATTGTTCTGAGAAAAGTGGGCAGACACATGCAAAAAATGAAACTAGACCACCATCTTGCACCATACACAAGAATAAACTCAAGTGTATAAAAGACAAATGTATGGCATGAAACCATAAAAATCTTAGAAAATATAGGCAGACATCTCACATAGCAGTATTTTTATAGATACAACTCCTAGGGCAGCAGTTGCCAACCAGTGTTCCGTGCGATCCGAAAGGTTGGTGACCGCCGTCCCAGGGCAAAGGAAACTAAGAAAAAAAATAAACAAATGGGACTACATCAAAATAAAAAGTTGCTGCACAGCAAAAAAAATCCACAAACCATTAAATTGAAAAGGGAACCCACTGAATGGGAGAACATATTTGTCAGTGATATATCTGATAAAGAGTTAATATTCAAAATATATGAAGTATTCATACAACTCAACAAAAAGAAGACAATCAATTAAACAATGGGCAGGAGACCTGAATAGAGAGATTTCTCCAAAGAGGATTTCTCCAAGAGACACATGAAAAAAATGCTCAAAGTCTCTAATCATAAGAGAAATGGAAATGAAAACTGCAATGAGATGCCACCTCACACCGGTCAGAATGGCTACCATAAAAAAATTAATAAGTGCTGGCAAGGATGTGGAGAAAAGTAATGTGTTATCTAGTGTTCACCAGTTCATAGCTGGTGGGAATACAGATGGGTACAGCCACTATGGAAAACAGTACGGAGTTTCCAAAAAAATTTAAAAATGGAACCCCATTTTTAATTTGATCCAGTGATTCTAATTCTGGGAATATTTCCTAAAAACCACAAAACACCAATCAGAAAGAACGTAGGCACCCCTGTGTTCATAGCACAATTTACAATAGCTAAGATCTGGAATCAGTCCGAGTGCCCATGAGCAGATGACTGGATAGGGAAGGTGTGGGACATCACACTATGGAATACTGTGCAGCTGTAAAGAGGAATCTCTTGCCCTTGGGGACAGCATGGATGGACCTGCAAATATGCTAAGCAGATATGTCAATCTGAGAAAGACATATCACATCTCACTTATTTGTGGAATCGAATGAACAAAATTGACCAACAAAATAAGACCTGAAGCAAGGAGGCGTGGAACAGGCTCGATGTGGGGTGGGGGGAGAAGGGAGAAAGAACGTACACCTATATGCACAGTCCATGGACATGGGCAATAGGGTGGTGAAGACCTAGGGGTGGGTACGGGCTGGAAGGAGGAGGGGAAGGGGGGAAATATGGGAGACATTAGTAATACTGTTAACAATTAAAAATATATTTAAAAAACCTGCAGCCCAGGTACGTGCATTTGACCAGGAATTGAACCTGAGACCCTTTCCTGCGAGGGCCAGTGCTCCAGCTACTGAGCCTGCCGGCCTGGGCTAACTCCTTCATCTTAGGTTTCCAGCCTCCAAACCGAGGAAATACATTTATCTTTTTTAAGCCACCCAGTTTGTGATATTTTGTAATGGCAACCCTAACACACTAATACAGCACCAAGGATTTAAATGACCAAGTATTTTTAACCCACAGATAAATGCCCACCAATAAGAATAGAAGCCCTTCCCTGACCGGTGTGGCTCAGTGGATAGAGCATCGGCCTGCAGATTGAAAGGTCCCAGGTTCGATTCCGGTCAAGGGCATGTACCTTGGTTGCGGGCACATCCCCGGTGGATGGTGTGCAGGAGGCAGCTGATCGATGTTTCTAACTCTTCCTTCCTCTGTAAAAAATCAATAAAATGTATTTAAAAAGAAGAAAAAAAAGACTATCTCCAATACAGTCATGTTCTAAGGTGCTGGGGGGTTAGTACTTCAACATATGGATTTGAGGGGGTCACCTTTTAGCCTATAACACATGTGACTTACGGCAGCAGCTCTTTTCTCTTCGGAGAGAGTCAGCTTTTGACCTGGGCCCTCCCTACCCTCCCAGGTGAGCCTGCCCACGGCAGAGATCGACTGCAGCCTGGCAGCGTACATCGACATGATCTGCGGTAAGCGCTCCCAGCCCTCTGACCCCGTCCCCGTCCCCGTCCCCGTCCCCGTCCCTGTCCCAGTCCCGGAAAAAGGCACTGAAGGGTGGTGTCTGGGCTTGTGCCACTACCTGCTGATGTTTAACCCCAAAGCCATGGAGCACATCCCGCCTGGGAGGGGATTGGCTCCTAACAGGTCCCCAGAAGCCCTAGGTTTTGTTTGGTTCTGCTCATGGGGGGGTCTTGCTGTCAGCCATCCTAGACATTCCTATCTACAAGAGTCGGATCCAGTCTCTCCACCTGCTCTTTTCCCTCTACTCGGAATTCAAGAACTCGCAGGTAGGTCCAGCGCAGGTGGGCCTTGTAGAGGGGGTTGCCGCGATCTCCCTGGCTGAGTCCCCTCAGAATGCAGCCTGGGACCAGCAGCGTTTGCCCAGGCCCTTCCCCCCACAGGCAGCGGGAGGGAGGAGCGCCTTCGCTGAGGGTGCAGAGGATTCGCATTCTCACAGGGCAGCCCAGTGGCCTGTGGAGCAGAAGCAGGAAGGAGAGGAAAAGGGTTTCATAGGAAGCAGGACAAAGTTCTAGCTGTTCTTCAAAGACAACACCAAGGAATTGTTTTGAAAGTACAGTTGGGAGAAAATTGGAGCTTAAAGGGTTATAAAGAGGTTAGTTCTTGCTGAAATGTAGCAACTAGCATATTCCAAACACTCCATGTTCCCTCTCTCCTCACAGCATTTTAAAGCTCTAGCTGAAGGCAAGAAAGCGTTCACCCCTCCATCCAAGTCCACCTCCCAGGCCGGAGACGCAGAGACAATAACCTTCAGCTGAGGCACCGCCCCACTTGGTCTCAAGGCTGAGCCGCTCCTCCAGCCCAGCGGAGGGCGCTGTTGTCAGCCCCCTGTCTCCTGGCCTGTGCCACCTGGGCTGGGGCCTGCGCCCTGCCACCCTCCCTGGCAGAAAGCCCTGCACACACTCGCTTCCTTCCTGTGGGATGCTTGTACCTCTACCACCAGCGGGGTTTGATTAGACAGACGGCCATTTCTGGGACCCTGAGATGCTCAGGTTAGAAGAAAAGTTTAAAAGATGTTCTTACAGCAATCAAATCATTCTCTTTCATTCTTAAGTGAGTTGGCAAAGATTTTGCAAATAAAATGCTCTTATCTTTCAGGTTATCCTGCTGTTCTATCTATAAGATGAGAAAGAAAAGGCAGACTGAGCATAAAGCAGAGGGATAAAGAATTTGGCTTCCTGACAGGCTTTCAGTGAATAATAGTTTAAGCAAAACAACTTTGTGGAATAAAAGCAGACACCAGTCTTCCAAGCGTGGCAGTGAGGGGGGCCCCATTTTCCTCCCAGAACTCATTTTTCTGTGGGTCTCTCTCCAGGGACTGCGCTGCCCGGGCCCGCCTGCCTGTCGGGCTCCGGGCCTGCGGCTGTGCCGGAGCCCCGCTGAGCCGGAGCCCAGGGAGAGCGCTTGCCTGGAGTTAGGGTGGAGCTGTGGCATAGTGCCTGGGTAGATTTGGGAAATATTTGGGGGTTATATCCCCCAAGCTCCAGCCTGGAAGTCAGAAAACATGCTAGTTACTTCCAACAAAGGGTGTTAAATATGGGAAATTGGTTACAAAAGTATTGGAAAGGCTGAAGGAACAAAAGGGAGGGTAGAGGGTGCTGAAGGGATTCAGGTTAAAGGGATTCAGTGCCCAGTGTCTGCAGTGGCAGTGGAGGAGCCACACGGGAGCATGGCTGATGCGCAGACCTCGTCCCACTGCTGCAGAGAGCAATGGCTGCCTGACTTCCTCCATCTTCTCACACCTTGCCAGGGCTCCCATTGCGAGAAATTAAGAGCTGGCAGGAACATCCAGCATATAGAGCATAGTATAGAGGGGAGAGTGTAGGGGCTGAGGCAACAAATAACCAGGAGAGGTGGAACCAACAAAATGTGGTGATAGATTGGATGAGGGAGGTGAAAGGAAAGAATCAAGGACGACTCCCAGGTCTTTGGGCTTGAGGAACTGGATAGTGAAGGGGAAGGTGGGGCAAAATTGATTGCAGCCAAAACCGGTTTGGCTCAGTGGATAGAGTGTTGGACTGCAGACTGAGGGGTCCCGGGTTCGATTCCGGTCAAGGGCATGTACCTTGGTTGCGGGCACATCCCCAGTGGGGAGTGTGCAAGAGGCAGCTGGTCGATGTTTCTCTCTCATCGATGTTCCTGGCTTTCTATCCCTCTCCCTTCCTCTCTGTAGAAAATCAATTAAAAATATATATATTAAAAAAAAAAAGAATTGATTGTGGGAAAATTACATTAAAATGCTACACTGTTAGCCTAACATACATGATAAACACGTAGAAAGGAGGGGAGTCATTTCTTAGACTTAAACTGTGATGCCTGAATGTGAGGAGCGGGAGCTTTCGAGCTCAGGCCCAGGCGCTGTGCTCTGAGAGGAGTCAGGCATGCTCACCTGTAACTCGGGAGAAGAGAAGCAGAATGTGATGGGAGCTCAGGTTCTCCACCAGGCTCTTACGTAACCATCAGATCGGCTTCTTTGACTAGAGCTGAGGGAGACTCAGTACTGATAGGTACAGTTGCTTTCTGTTGTTCATGGTAGTTCTGTAAGTTACCATGAACACTGAGTTAAATACTGAACCATCGCTGCTGGGGAACCCGGGGTGAGGTTCCTTTGTGCCTCTGGTCACAGCATTTCATCTGCTGGCCATTGTTCATTGAGCTCAGCCATCAGCACTGTCCAGCGACATTTGTCTCACACTCTCCACTGGCACATCACATCCTTCTGACTCTTAGGAACGCTGGACAGCCAGGAACCATGCCTGGGGCCATCTCAAACAGTCAAATCACCAAGCAAAGTTGTGCAGTGGACAGACCTCGAAAAGGGCCCTGCTCACCGTGTGAGCTGGGGCCAGGGCAGCTTTTAACTTTCACTGCTGTGAGCATGTTTGCAGGCAACCACAAAAACTCTGCACACGTGGGCTTTGGGATTGGAAATAAAGTACAGCGAGTGCGTGAATCCACAAATACGGAATCTTCACAGAATGAGGACAGGTGTACCTCTCCCTAACTTACCGGTTCCCAGGTAGGCCTAGCTTTCTCCCGGCTTCAGTACACCCACCACAGCTCTCCGTGATCACCTTCAGACAATGTTTTCATCCTCCTCCTCTTTCCTCTAACTGTCTGTGGTTACTCCCTTTTGGCTTGTTCTGTGGCCTGGGGGAAGTCAGTTTAACTTCTGTGCTTCAGTTAATCTAGTTATGAACCAGTTACAACAAACACTAACAATTCTTAGGCTTGTCCTGTGAATAAAAAACATGAAAACATTACGTGCCACAAAATGTAAGATAAAATAATCCTATTACTAAGTATACAGTTTCAACTTGGCCTTTTAGACTTGCCCTGGCTAGTCCCTATGCCCCGAAGTCGTCACACCCCATAAACCCCGGCACTGGCCATGACTTATTAGTTCCCATCTCTAGCCTCTATGACAGTGGGCCACGACCCACAGGCTGAGAACTGTTAGCAGGGTCACATAAGACCTTTGGAAAACACAGATGTTTACATTACAATTCATAACAGTAGCAAAGTTAACAGTTATGAAGTAGCAACGAAAATGATTTGATGGTTGGGGTCACCACAACATGAACTGAATTAAAGGGTCGCGGCATTAGAAAAGTTGAGAACCACTGCTCTATGCAGGCTCTGTTTCTGACTTAAAGTGTCCCTCACCTCTGCACATCCTAGTTCCCAGCACTTCCAAGTAAACAAACATAAGACACAAATATTTACATCTTCCTCCTTTCACCTTATTTATTAAAAAGACAATACAGGAATAAAAAATCCCAAACAAGGACAAATAGTTAAGAAAAAAAATGGCAGCAGACAAAACAATTTTTAAAGCTTTTTTAAAATGTTTCAATTGCAGTTAGTATACATTATTATTATTAGTTTCAGGTGTATTAGCCATTACATAACCTAGTAAGTGATCATTCCAAAAAATCTCCACACATAATAATGAGAATATTATTGACTATATCTCCTATGCTGTATTTTATTTCCCCATGACTATTCTGTAACAACTAATTTGTACTCCTTAATCCTGTCACCTTTTTTTACCCAGCCTTCCAACCCCCCATCTCATCTGGCAACCCTCAAAATGTTCTCTGTGTCCATGAGTCTGTTTCTGTTCTGTTTGTTTTTTAGATTCAGTATAGATACCAGTTTTTTTTTTTTTGTATTTTTGTGTGTGTGTTTTTTTTTGTTGCCATTTTTATTGTTCATATTTTTTTATCTTTTTCTTCTTAAAGACGACCCCTTAGCATTTTTAGTAATACTTGTTTGGTGGTGGTGAACTCCTTTAGATTTTCCCCCTTCTCTGGGAAACTCTTTATCTGATCTTTGAATCTAAATGAGAACTTTGCTGGGTAGAGAAATGTTGGTTGTAGGTCTTTGCTTCTCATCACTTTGAACATTTCTTGCCAATCCCTTTGGCCTGGAAAGTTTATTGAGAAATCAGCTGGCAGTCTTATGGGAGCTCCCTGATAGGTAAGGAACTGCTTTTCTCTTGCTGCCTTTAAGATTTTTTTGTCTTTAATCTTTGACATTCTAATTATTATGATGTGTCTTGGTGTGGGCCTCTTTAGTTCATCTTGTTTGGGACTTTCTATGCTCCCTGGTCTTGTATGTCTATTTCCTTCACCAAGTTAGGGGAAATTTTCTGTCATTATTTCTTCAAATTGGTTTTCAATTTCTTGCTCTCCTCATTCTGGTACCCCATGATGTGAATGAAGTTTTGAAATTTCCCCAGAGGCTCCTTATACCACCTCATTTTTTTTGGATTCTTTTTCTTTTTGCTGTTCTGAATGATTTTTGCTTCCTTATAATCCAAATTGCTGATTTGATTCTTAGCTTCATCTACTCTGTTGATTCCCTGTAAATTAGTTTTTATTTCAGTTCATGTACCCTTCACTTCTGACTGGTCCTTTCCCATGCCATTTTAGGTTCTCACTATGTTCATTGCTCATCTTTATAACCCACTGGAGGCCTGATGTATGCAGTTCATACAGCCCTGGCTACCTTGGCCCTTGTGGCCCGGCTGCTGTCACACTCTGCGTGGCGATAGATCACAGAACCTCGCTCCCCCATCCATCACCCGGCAGCCCTGTGGCCACGGCCCCTGCCCACTGGTCATTCCGGAAGATGGTTCTGCCATCTGGTCTAATTAGCACATTCGCTCTTTATTATATAACTGGCAGGATGTTATGAACTCTGCATCTGGTAGGTTATTTGTCTCCACTTTGTTCTTTTTCTGGAGTTCTGTCCTTTCATTTGGGACATGTTTCTTTGTCTCCTCATTTTGGCAGCCATCCTGTGTTTATTTCTATGGAATTAGGTAGAGCTGCTATGTCTCCTGGGCTTGGTAGAGTGGCCTGTACAATAGTAGGTGTTCTGTAGGGTCCAGTGGCACAGCCTTCCCTATCACCCCAGCTGGACACTTGAGTGTGCCCCCCATGTGGTCTGTGTACCCCTTCTCTTATAGTTGAGCTTTGATTGTTGTTGGCATGTCAGTGGAATTTATCGTGAGGCCACTTAGTGAGAAGGATGGGGCATGCCCAGGCCAGATGCTGCTTATTTGAAAGTTTTAGAAAAATCTGAAGCATGAGCCAAGACAGGCCGGTAGAATGGAAAAGCCACTGGAAACAGCTTGGATGGGCCTGAAAGTTGGGTGGGTGGGATCTCAGGAAATCACCAGGACAGGGCTAACAGTGTGAGCCGATATGGGGGAGGGCTCAGCAAAGGAACAATGGCCTCTGCCAGCAACTCTGTCTGGGAGAAAGCTGACCCCCAGCTCTCACCCTGATGCCAAACAATTCAGTTCCTCTTTGTATGCCTCTGGCGCCTTTCAAGCTGCTGCCCCTGTGCTGCAGCTAGAGGGTCTGAGTAAAGATATGTATGGCCCTTTAAGAGGAATGCCTAGGACTTGAGCAGCCTCTGTCTCCCTCAGCATCAGTCCCCCTTTTTTTAAATATATATATTTTATTAACTTTTTACAGAGAGGAAGAGAGAGGGATAGAGAGCTAGAAACATCGATGAGAGAGAAGCATCGATCAGCCTCCTCTTGCACCCCCCCCCCCCAATGGGGATGTGCCTGCAACCAAGGTTACATGCCCTTGACCGGAATCGAACCTGGGACCCTTTAGTCCGCAGGCCAACGCTCTATCCACTGAGCCAAACCGGTTTTGGCAGTCCCGTTTTTTACAGCCAGAAATTATGGGGAGCCTGGTGTGGGGCTGGTATTCCTTTCTCCTTAGGGGGAACTCCCCAGCCGAGATATCCCTCCCAATTTTTATCTGTCACACAGGACCTTGTCTCCACCCCTCCTACCAGTCTCAATGTGGCTTCTTCAGCTTTAACTCCTCAGTTGTAGGACTCCATTTGGCTAGATTTCATGGGTTCTGAACCATGGTTGTTCTGTACATTAGTTGTAGTTCTGAGATGGTTGTGGGAGGAGGTGAATAACACATTTATCTATGCTGCCATCTTGACCTTCAAAAGTCTAGCAACACAATTTGGAAGACGGACAAGTGAGAGCCGATTCTGTAGCAGGATGGAGCAAAGCCGGCACGTGACTGCCTGTGAGGAGAGGGACAGAGAAACTAAGAAGTAAGCCATCTGACACTGCAGAACCCTGTGAAGGATCAGGAATTAAAAGTGGGGAGAGCCCTGACTAGTTTGGCTCAGTGGATAGAGCGTCGGTCTGCGGACTGAAAGGTCCCAGATTCGATTCCAGTCAAGGGCATGTATCTTGGCTGCGAGCACATCCCCAGTAGGAGGTGTGCAGGAGGCAGCTGATCGATGTTTCTCTCTCATCGATGTTTCCAACTCTCTATCCCTCTCCCTTCCTCTCTGTAAAAAATCAGTAAAATGTATTAAAAAAAAAAAAAAAAAAAGTGGGGAGAGTCTGCCCAGTGATAGTGACTTGGTCACTCAGTGGAGCTCTGATCACAACCTGGCACTCCGGAAACTGAACTCCATCATTGCCGCTGGAAACAGTGCAGTTAGAGAAATATACCTTATTTATCTTAGGAATGGGGAGAGGAAGAGAGAAACATCAATTTGCTGTTCCACTTATCTACTAGTATGCATTCATCTGTTGATTCTTGTACGCGCCCTATTGGAGATTGAACCCACAACCTTGGTGTATCGGGATGATACCCTAACCAACTTAGCTATCTAGCCAGGACAATATCATTTATTTATTTAAAAAATAAAAGATTGGGCCCTAGCCAAAACCGGTTTGGCTCAGTGGTAGAGCGTCGGTCTGCGGACTGAAAGGTCCCAGATTCGATTCCAGTCAAGGGCATGTATCTTGGCTGCGAGCACATCCCCAGTAGGAGGTGTGCAGGAGGCAGCTGATCGATGTTTCTCTCTCATCGATGTTTCCAACTCTCTATGCCTCTCCCTTCCTCTCTGTAAAAAATCAGTAAAATGTATTAAAAAAAAAAAAAAAAGTGGGGAGAGTCTGCCCAGTGATAGTGACTTGGTCACTCAGTGGAGCTCTGATCACAACCTGGCACTCCGGAAACTGAACTCCATCATTGCCGCTGGAAACAGTGCAGTTAGAGAAATATACCTTATTTATCTTAGGAATGGGGAGAGGAAGAGAGAAACATCAATTTGCTGTTCCACTTATCTACTAGTATGCATTCATCTGTTGATTCTTGTACGCGCCCTATTGGAGATTGAACCCACAACCTTGGTGTATCGGGATGATACCCTAACCAACTTAGCTATCTAGCCAGGACAATATCATTTATTTATTTAAAAAATAAAAGATTGGGCCCTAGCCAAAACCGGTTTGGCTCAGTGGTAGAGCGTCGGTCTGCGGACTGAAAGGTCCCGGGTTCGATTCCAGTCAAGGGCATGTACCTTGGTTACGGGCACATCCCCGGTAGGGGGTGTGCAAGAGGCAGCTGGTCGGATTCTCTCTCATCGACGTTTCTAGCTCTCTCTCTCTCTCCTTTCCTCTCTGTAAAAAATCAATAAAAAAAATATTAAAAAATAATTTAAAAAAAAACAAACCCAAGATTGGGCCCTAGCTGGTGTGGCTAGTGGAGAGAGCATTAGTCTGTGGACTAAAGGATCCTGGGTTCAATTCCAGTCAGGGCACATGCCTGTGTTGTGGGCTCAGTCCCCAGTGGACCATGCAGGAGGCAGCTGATCCATGATTCTCTCTCATCACTGACGTTTCTATCTCTCTGTCCTTCTCCCTTCCTCTCTGAAATCAAGGAAAAATATATTTAAAATAAATAAATATAAGTAAAAGATTGGGAGCAAATAAAGTAGGTTAAGATTCAACAGTATGGTAGGTACATAGGTTTTGCTGAATTTTCTCAACTGTGATTTAAAGATCTCATTAAGGCCGAAACCGGTTTGGCTCAGTGGATAGAGCGTCGGCCTGCGGACTGAAAGGTCCCGGGTTCGATTCCGGTCAAGGGCATGTACATTGGTTGCAGCACATCCCCAGTCGGGGGTGGGCAAGAGGCAGCTAGTCGATGTTTCTCTCTCATCGACGTTTCTAACTCGCTATCCCTCTCAATTCCTCTCTGTGTAAAATCAATAAAAAATATATTAAAAATAAATAAAAAATAAAGATCTCATTAAGAAACCTACTTGAAAGAATGAAACACATGTAACATTCACTCAGTCAAGTTTATTGAATTATCGTGTGCTCAGACTAAATTACAAAAGATAAGGGAGATACTCTGCACTCTTGATTTGCAGGCATTTCCATGTTGCTTTGTAAAGTGTCCTTAGGTTGCTTTGGGGTATGTGGTCTCCTCTTTCTCCATGTCCCCCAAAAGCTTCCAGAGCTGTTGAAGTATGTGCCACTGTGGACGCCCCTGAAGAACAGGGGTGGGACTGGAAGGTGGCCTCTGGCTGATGGGTCAGAGCTGAGCTCCCCTGAAGGGGAGATGTGTTGAGGGAAACTGACCCTGGCGGGGGGAGGGGTTTCAGGGTCCTCAGTGAATCACAGGAAGGCCAATGTGGGGGAGCCACAGAGAGGCCCTGGGACCCGCACTCCCCCTCCCAGGAGGAGTGCTGGAAGTGCTAGACTGTAAGAAAAAGATGCACAGCTACATGCTGTCCTGGGTGCCGCCAGGCTCCTCCCCTCCTCCTGATGGTGCTAACACCAGGCACTGGCACCACCAGAGCCAATGGGGGAGTCTAGACCCCAGTGAAGCAGGGGTAAAGGTCCAGTGCATAACCTATGATGCTCAAGAGGAGGAGGGACAGGGGGACAGAGCTACCAGCAGAAGGGACTGGTCTGCGCTTGGCCGACGCCCTGGGCCGGGCGTTTTATTTCTATGCAATGAGCAGGGCTCTAAGTGTTCAGAGTGAGCGAAGCTGCACAGCACGGGAAGGAAGCCCAAGACATGCAGGCCTTCCTGGCCCCACACCAGCATGTCCTGTGCTGTGTGCCAGGCGCTGAGGAACTGGTGAAGGCACAGAGCAGGCCCGTCACCAGGGCCATGCCACACTTCGATGCCAGATGGCATCAGAACACACAGGCAACAGCTCTATCCTCTTGGCACAGGCATCCCATGCAGGCCCCCAGCCTGAATAAGAACAAGGGCAACCTGTCCCTCAGGCTCAGAGCCCTCCTGTGGATGACAGAAGCACCCCAGCCAGGGATGCAAGCACAAGTGGAAGTGGCATCTCACTGGCAACATGGCCAGGCAGAGGATGCCGTGGAGGGGAGGGTGCCCAGGGGCATGGGCACCTTCCGTCTCACCCTCATCTCAGAGCCAGATCTCCTCACTGCTCACACTGGACACCCGGTAGATGTAGCCCAGCATTGGGAGACGGATGAAGCCTGCCGGTCAGAGATGCCCAGGAGTCCCGGTGACACGCATTCTTGGAAGTCAGGAGGCCCCTCCCTGCCCCAGGGACTCAGAGGCATAAGTACAGGCTGAGGAGCAGGGAGGGTGGTACCTCGGCTGGTGAGGAGGCCGCCGGGCTCTGGATCCAGAAGCTCTGGCTCTGGCCGGCTGCTGTTCCAAGCTGTCGGTCGGTCCGCTGGTTTCTCTATTGGGGACAAAGGGGGTGGGGCCAGGATAAGGAGTGCGCCTGATGGGGCCTTGCCCCTCCTAAGTACCAAGGTCTCTTTTTCTCTTAGAGGCATCTCTGAAGCTCACTTGATTAGAGCATCATTCTGATACACCAAGGTTGCTGGTTCTATCCCCGGTCAGGGCACATGTAAGAATCAGCCAATGAATGTATAAATAAGCAACAAATAAGCAAATGGATGTTTCTCTCTCTCCCGCCCCCCTCTGAAGATAAAACGGGTCCAGAGGGCCAGCAGGTACCTCTGGAGCCGGGAGTGAGGTCGTTGAGCTGCAGGTTGGAGGGGAGGGACATGTTCTCGCGGGGCAGGCGCACGTTGTTGAGCTTCAGGTTGTTGGAGTCACTGCAGGTGGACGGGCCTGGGATGTGCCCTGGCCCAGCAGGCTGCGTCCTGCTTTGGGTCCAGTTCTAGGTCTGCCCCGTTCCCTTCAGCCCCGTTCCCAGCCCCGGGGGCAGTTACCTGGAGAGCAGAGACGGGCGCCGGGAGGGGCCTGAGGAGAGAAGCCATGCTATCACTTCAGTGTGCCCACCCACCTGGCCTTTGCCCCCCAAGCAAGGGGGTCTCTCAGATGCAGCCCTGGCTCTGGGACCAGAAACGTTGTTCCTAGTGCCTGGCCCTGCCACTAGATGCCTGTGGTTACCATGGCCACACCCCCGGGACACCAGTCCTGCCACTTGTCAGATGGCTGGTTCTGCCCGCCTGCTTTCTGCTCTGCTGCTCACCCTGCCCTCATCTCCACTCCACAGCCACCCTTCCCCACCACCGTGGCCCTACCTTTGGCCGTCTTCTCTTTCCTGCAGACCAGGCAGGCCACTAAGGTGCTGAATGCCACCAGGGTGCCCAGCGATAGCCCTCCGGCCACAATGATGCCCAGCAGTGGCACTTCCACCCGCGTGGCCAGGAGTCCTGCAGGTGGTCCTTGGGTTAGGTTCTAAGAAGGCAGAGCCCCCAACTCTGAGATGCCACAGGTCCGACTGTCCTCCTTGCCCACGGTGCTGGGCCCGCTCACTCCCAGCCTCATCCAAAGGGCAGCAGGTCCTCCCGCTTCGGTACTGGCGGCCCACGCTCACCTGGGGCTGGGAGCGAGGCACTGGTGACCCCCACGTCGTTGGCGGCGACCACAGAGAGGTTGTGCGCCAGGTGGCGGAGCCGCAGCTGCACCGTGTGGTTGGTGAGCCGGGGGTAGCTCCTGGCATCCAGCACCAGGAAGTCTGAGGTGTTGACAGTCAACGGCCCGTCCTGATCGATCCAGGTCACATTGGCAGGTGGGTTGGCACGGACCAGGGCAAAAAGAACCACCAGGAGGCCCTGGCCCCGAGCTTCCTGGTAGTTGGCCCCGACCTGGGCAATCTCCGGTTTAACTGGGGCAAAGCAGAGGCCACGTGTTCTCCCCACAACTGCCATACTCCTGCCCTTTCCGCCCACACCCAGAGGGCCTTCTCCTCCGGGACACTAGGAAATGGAAGGCTGTGTCCACCGCACAGGCAGCATTTTGTAGCATTTATCAAGAGTATAAACACAATACCGGCCAGGGTGGTTCAGAGACTGAGCACAACTTATGAACCAGGAGGTCACAGGTTCGATATCAGGTCAAGGCACATGCCAGCGCTAGAGGGACTCGGTTTCCCCAGTAGGAGCGTGCAGGAGACAGCTGATCAATGAGTCTCATCGCTGATGTTTCTATCTCTCCCTCTCCCTTCCTCTCTCTCTAAAAAGTCAATAAAAACATATTTTTAAAAAGAGTCAAAACGTATGGATCTGAACACTGGCCGTGCTTCTTACCAGCTAGATGTGTGATCTCTGCCAGATTACTTAACTTCGCTGTGCTGTTTTCTTTTTTGTAAAGTGGAGATAACAATAGGAATTCGCTCATGGGATTATTTGTGAGGACTAAAGCTAGTTGGTATTTGCAAAGCGCTTAACTGTGTGTGAAATGTCCCATCAGACCATCTGCTATGTGGCTGCTGGGGTCCCTGGGCCCAGGGACACTCACATTGCACATTGAGGATGACGGAGGCGTTGGCTGCGGGGCCGCTGCCTGGGTCCTGCAGGGAGCAGTTGAGCTCATGCTGGGACCGCTGGGCAGTGACGGTGAGGGTGCTGGTGCCTCCAGAGAAGGCCTCCCCGCCCACACGCAGCAGCCGTGAGGTGCTGGCCTCCTGCAGCTGCCCGTCCAGGTACCAGGCCAATCGGGGGGTGCCAGACACCCCTGCCACTCGGCAGGTGAAGGGGTGGCGTTCATTCTCCCGAAGTGCCAGCTCAGCCCAGGCCTGGCCATTGATTTGCGGTGCCAACTCCCCCCAACCTGGAACACGACAGAATGTTCTGGGTCGGGAGGGTACTGCTCTGGGACCAAGATGAGGTCCAGTTAGAGGGGCGGCAGGCGCAGAGCCTCCACAGGGAGTGGCTGCATCGTGAGTAGGTGGGTTGGGGAAACCCAGCGCTGCAGCCCAGGGCCTGAAGGTCGAGGCAGGCAAGGAGGGAGAGGAGACGGCGTGTACCTGAGAGGAGAGTGTCTGAGGCGGGGTGTACCTGAGCTCAGGAGGGCTGGCAGCAGCAGCAGAGTGTGCGGGAGGGTGGCTGGGCCTGCGGGCAACGCCATGGTGGCCGCGGCCTGGCTGCCAGAAGAAGGGGCGGGCCTCGACATTAGCCAGGTGGTAGCGGGCGAATTTATTCCTCCAGGAATTAGCTCTCCAGAAACAAAATAAACCGGCCCACAGGGCGGAAGGCGAGGAGGCGAACTGGCCCAGCTCCGCAGAGGCGAACGCCCGGCCGCGCAGCCCGCCCCTGGCGCAGGACCCCCTCCGGCAAGGGGTGTCTGCTCGGACCCCGACTCACCCCGCCCCCGCCCCCTTCCTTCCGGCTGCGGAGGCGCGGGCGGGCTGAGGAGAAGGTGGTCCCGCAGGCGGGGGTCGCGAAGAGCACCCACCCCGCCCCCCGGCCCTCACCTCGCCAGCGGCCCAGCGCAGTCCCAGCGGTGACGGGAGCCTGCCGGGCGGCGCCGCGCTGGGCTGGACCAATCAGCGCCGGGGCCGTAGCCTTCTGCCCCGCCCCCGGCCCCTCCCGCGCAGGCGCCTCCCGCCCAGGGCGCCTTAGCCCCGCCCCTGTCCCTGCCGCACGCTCCGCCCCGGCCCTCCGGCGCGGGCGCCTCCCGCCCAGGGCGCCTTAGCCCCGCCCCTGTCCCTGACGCACGCTCCGCCCCGGCCCTCCGGCGCGGGCGCCTCCCGGCGGCGCAGAAACCAGAGCAGAGCAGGCTGCGGCCGGCAGCTTTATTGGTGGGGGCGCCCCTCCCGCCGCGGGCTCAGCGCGTGGTGCGCTCCCCGCGCAGCTGCCCCATCACGTCGGCCAGCATGCGGTTGCACAGCGCGGCGTACGGGTTCATCAGCACCAGCTGGCGCCGCGCGAAGGGGCTGCCCAGCCGCGCCGCCCGCTCGAAGTCCCGGCGGGCGTCGTCGTCCCGGCCCTGCAGCCGCGCCAGCAGCCCGCGCTGCACGAAGCTCTGGCGGGCAGCGCGGCCCCGGCCGCCGCTCAGCTTCACGGCGCGCTCCAGGTCCTCCAGGGCCCCTGCGGACAGCGAGCACAGCCCGGCTCAGGCCCGGCCTGGGCGCGGGGCCTGGCGGCGGCGGCCGCTGTTGCATCACACAGATGGGCCCGAGAGCCGGAGGCTCGCCCTGGCTCCTGGCTGCGGCCAGCGGCTGGCAGAGCCCTCGCCCGTTTCTCCCCCCCCCCCCCCCCCCCGCACACACGCACGCACACACACACACAAGTGCTGGGAGCTTTCTGAACAGTCACCGTGCTCAGGAGTCTGGCCCGTGGTGGCCTGAAGCAGGCAGCTTATTCCCCATGGACCTGGTCCCCATCTGCCACTTGCCAGGTGACTGAGTCCCAGAGCCCCAGATAATGACAGTTTCTTACAAATACAGGCAAGCTCAGGTCTCTTACTTTTTCCTTTTGAGGGCTTTTCTCTCCTTTTTCCCATTGTGTGACTTTTTTAACAATGAGGGTTCTCCTTCCTTAGTGCCTTTTTTTTTTTTTTTTAATTGGTTTTTAGAGACAGGATGGGAGAGAAAGAGGGAAATGTCGGCTGCCTCCTCACAGCCCCTACTGGGATGGCACCTGCGGGCGGCACCTACCGGGCATTGAACCTGGCAGTCTTTCCGTGCTGAGCTACGGGCGGGGCTCCATTGTGTGATTTTTTAACTTTTTCCACTGACTGTCTTTCCTCATTCTTTATTTCCATAGTCTTCACTATTTTGTGTCTAATTTTCTTTGAAGGGGGTCTTGGAGCCGGAGCCAGCCGGCCTCATTTTACTTTCATTGTCTGTCCTCACAAAATACTGGGCGAGGCACGTGAACTCGCCCGGGAGCCTGCTGCAGGGCCCGTGAGCTGCATTTCTTGTGCGTTCTCTCACTTTGCTCTTGCCCTCCAGGGTCCGGACGAGAGACCCGCCCGACGGTTGGGAGCTCCGTCCTAGGAGGCTGAGCTGCCCTCGGCTGTTTCGGTCCCCGGAGCGCAGCGAGGGCTCTGGCCCTGGGCCTTTGAGCAGCTCTGTGATGGCAGCACTTCTCGGTCTGGAGGAACGGAAAGCCGCCTGCGGGCGCGGCCTCTGGCCCTCTCGGGTTCTGGTCTGCAGGCTGTGCCCAGCCGCAGGGACCAGCCAGGCCAGCCAGCCTGAAGGAGGCTCTCCGCTGTCCCATGGTGGAGTCCAGACCCCAGCCTGGCAGGGCTGGTCGCAGGAGCACCCCCACCACCAGGAGCCTTAACCATCTGCGAGACTTCTGTGACCACCTGCACTCTGGTTCCTACCCCTGCCCCGTCCCACCGCCCCCACTCGGCTGGGATGACCTAAATGCGGCAAGTCTGATCCAGCCACTCCCGGTTAAAACGCTTCAGTGATTCCTGCTTACTTCCAGGCCCTGTTCCATCCTCCCCCCACTCCCTGGCTGGGCTTGTGATGTTCCCTGTACCTTTCTTTACGCCTTCTGGACCTCTACAGGCTGGGCCTTCTCCGCTTCCTCCCCTCCATCCAGCAAACTACTCATCCTTCCAAACCCACTCAGGAGCAGATCTTTCTCAGCCTGTGATGGTGGTATCATAATTATGTCTGCCCTGGCCCCTAGCCTGGAAGCTTCTTGAGAAGCAGTATCACTCTGGAGCCCTGACACCTGGCTCCAATCCCAGTGCTGCTATTCTCAGCTGTGTGGCGCAGCATGCCCCTCACCTCCCGTCTGTGTGGTCATCTGTAAGACAGGATGAGGCCACACTTCCAGGCTGTGAGGATTGAAGCAGCTGCTGCAGCTTACACGGCAAGTGCTCAGTGGCTGGCACATCGTAGTTGCTGTGTCTTTTATCTTTGTGTCCTCAGCACCTGGCCCATTGCAGTAGTAGATTCTCATGAAATGTTAAACAAATGGAATGCAATCTAGTCTGACTTTCACAATAGCCCCAAGAGGTTAACAGGGACCATACCTCTCTTATAGGTAGGAATGCAGGTTCCAGGGCAGTTGAATGACTCCCCTCCCCCACAACCACTTCACCTCAGGTCTGTGTGCCCCAGGACCCCTCCCCTCACCTGCCACATCTCCCTGGAGCCGCCGGGCCTGGGCTCGGTTGTTGTAGGCTGACGCCCTCTCGGGCAGCAGGTTGATGGCTTGGCCAAACCTCTCCAGCGCTGTGCTGAGGTCGCCGGCCTCTGCTGCCGTCACCCCCTGCAGCTCCAGGGCCTTGGACTGCTCCAGCTGTGCTTGCGGGAAGACTCCGCCTGTGCCAGAGAGGGAGCGGGAGGGGGAGGTGTGCAGTCGGGAGCAAGGACTGGCTTTGGACACGTGAGCCAGAACTGACTGGGCTGAGGGGAGGGTCACAGCTGGAGAAGGTGCGGTATTTGGCATGGGGAGTGGGAGGGAGCCGAGGTCCCCCAAGCTGAGAGAGTGCTGGCACTGCCTAAGCCCCAGAGGAACCTGGGAAGGAAGAGAATGAAGCTCATGCTCCTGAGCCCGCAGCTAAAAAGACTTGCTCGAGCCCAAAGGCCTGAGTTGCACAGCTTGCATTTGAACCTGGGTCCTTTCCTGAGCTTGCCCCCTTTGCTCAACTACACTGCCTCCAACACAAGGCCTGTGACACCCCCCCAGGTCACAAAATCCCTCCCCTCAGACCCCCAGCTTTTCAGCCTTAAGTCTCAGTAAGGCTTAGGCGTCACCCCTTTAGAAACAAGGACATAAAAACCTCAATGGGCCATAGATGGTTTGGCTCAGTGGATACAGCGTCAGCCTGCGGATTCAAGGGTCCCAAGTTTGATTCCGGTCAAGGGCATGTACCTTGGTTGCGGGCACATCCCCTGCCCTCTGCGGTCTTTGTGGTGATATTGTTAAGACGGTGATGTGAGTTTAATAGCACCCTCCTACCCCCGCACAGGGAAGCCTGGGTCATGGGGAGGATTGAGTGGTGAGGTCCATTCAGAGGTGTGAGGGCTGAAGGACTGACAGGCCCCAGCCCTTTCCCCTCGGCAGTGACTTGTCAAATGCCCATCCGTGTACAAGGGACCCGCAGATCTTTAAGGCAATCTCGGTCATTGCCCAAGGGTCTGGAACAAACACGAGGTTTTACAAGACCACCTACTGTGCCTCCCCAGGAAGGCCTGCAGACCAGCCAATGTAGAGAGCTATCCTCCAAGGTCAAATACTCACCTTCATCTTCTTCCTCAGCTTCCTCTCCCAGGTCCAACCCAACAACATCTCCAAATGGGGTGTCGGGGTTGAAGATGGCCTGCAAAACCGCCTGATCGTTTAGAGTCCCCATGGCGCTCAACTCCAAACTCCAAAAAGGCGACTCAGGATGAGCGGAGGGAGGGAGAAGCGGAGGGTGGGGTCTGAGCTTTGCAGCCATTGGATCTGAGGGAGGTTGAGGACCAACCCCATGCAGAGGAGTGTCTCCCACTCTTTTGGTTACAGTGTAAACTGGATGCCCTTTGGCCCTGGGCTGTGACCCTGGCTTGGCAGAACATTTACAGCTATTTCTCAACTACCTCCCATGGGCACCCCTGTCCCAGGAGGAACAGTAAATAAATACAAGGTCAGGCTAAGGTGGAGTGGAGCAAAGAGCTGTGCTCACATCCAGGTGCTCCTTTGCATGCTTTTATTATATTCAGATCAGGAAGAAACCAGCAGAAGCCAGGGCTGGCCTACCCATGGATAAGGGAGGGAGTATGCAGGCAGTAAAGGAACTATTTCTTTGCTTTCTTGAACCTTTTTTTAAATTCAGGATTAGGTACTGAGCACACATCACTGATAAGAAAGGAAACTGTGGAGAGAGCGTGTGTAAGGCAGGGGACCACGGAAGGCATCCTGTGCCCACCCCCCCAGCCCTCCGCCCAGCCAAAGCCAAAAGAAAGCTCCACCACGTGCAGCAATAAACTTGACATGTTTATTAATTAAACTATCACTTAAATAAAAAAAAGTGCATAGAAAATAAACATGTTTAAAAACTCCTTTTTTTTTTTTTACAACTATGTACACTTTTTACTTTTACATTCAGTCTTTCGTAGAGAGCTTTCAGCATTATTATCTTTTGAACTATTAAAGTTATTTTCCTTCGTCCCTGTCACAGGGAGTTAACACTGATGGACTTTAGACACATTTTTTTCCCTTTTTTTTCTTCTCTTTTTTCTCTAACCAGAAGCTTGGAAGAACACAAGGAAAGAAAAAACACAAACCAACCAACTGAAAGATCTGTTATACATGATAAAGGTATAAAGAAGTGTCATTTTTAGAAAAGAAGCTTGTCATCTGTTGAGCTTCTGAAACAATTATTCAACTACCTGTATTTACTAAAGAGACTGTTAAAAGTTCAGTGAAAGAAACACCACGAGTCTATTTTCTTGGTTGAAGACAGAACGAGAGTACCTGGAGCAAGATACCAGGAAAGCACAGAACACAATATCCCCTAAATGCGGTGGTGACCCCAACATTCATAACCGAAGATAGAGCAACGAGGAGCACAGACACTGCCCGCACCCCCCGGCGGGACAGCAGCCGGGAGGCTCCCGCGTCTCTGCCCACTGGGACGTGCGCCCGTCCGGCTCCCCACTCCCGAGCATCAGCGGCCCGCGGCCTTCCCCCGCCCCAGGACTGCGGCGCCCCTACCGATAGTGTTAGTGAAAGCCATGGGCTGCAGAGGCCTGTTACGCGGTGCGTTACTATGTGAGTTCCTATATAGATCATATTTATACTTGTTTGAAAACCAAAACACAAAAGTTGCAAGTTTTCAGAGAGTGAGTCTTGATTGGTGTTCGTGATTCGGCATAAAACCATCTGCTCAATCACTTGTATTGCTTTAAATGAAGGAGACGAAACAAAACCACACCCAGCCCTTTGCAATGACCCGCTTTTCCTTAAAAAAAAAAAAAAAAGAAAAAGAAAAAAGGAAAAATTTTAACTTAAAGTATCCCAAATCAAACGTAAAAGTTATCTGACACGGTTTGGACCTTTAGTAGTTTCGGATATTTGATTGAACGTCAGTCCTTTAGAAAGATACATTCATGAGAGACTTGTGTTGTGTGAAACCCAGGGAGCCGCATGGCCTCCCCGCGTGGCCAGGTCTGCAGGGCCGGCAGGTGGGGCCTGGGCGGGCACACAGGCCAGGGCTTCCCCGAACTCGCCCTGGGTCGGAGGCCAGGGGGGCTGTGCTGAAGGCGGCGACAGGAAAGGGGGGACTGGGTTCTGGCCAAAGGCAGCGCCAGCAGCTGTCCCGGTGACAGAGGGGCGGCCACAGCAGCAGAGCTGGGCGGTGCCAGCGCTCACAGAACCAACCAGGCCGCAGCCTGCACTCCCCGGGGACTTGGGGTGCCCCTTGGGAGTGGCCATGGCGGCCCCTGCCTGCCCTTCTGTGAGGAGGCTCCTCCGCTCACTTTCAAAACAAATGTGGGCGCTTTGGAGGCAGCTGTCCCCCCTCTGCCTGCAGCTCCCTCCCCGTCCCTGGCAGGGTGGCGGAAGTTTGGCAATGAACTCAAGGCTGAGCTGTGGGAGGGACCTGTTTCCGTGGTTATAACCAGGGAGGGCAAGGCCGGGCAGACCACCCGCAGCCACAGGAGTCGGTCTGGGACAGAGAAGAGGGGCTCACAGTACGCGGCCTCGCAGACCAGACTGGGTCCGCTCAGCTGAGTGACCCCACCCCAGACTGGCCTTTGGTGAAGTCATGACCCATCAGTGCATTAATCATTCCAGTAACAAATGCAGCTTAAGGTTTTCTTCTAAATAAAAAACAACAACATTAAAGGATTTACAAAACCTCACACAGTGCAACAACAAAGGAAACCAGACAGCAGCGAGCCCTGGACCATGTCTTGTTCCCGGGCAAGAGGAAGGCGGGGGGTCTGGGTGGAGCCTTCTCCGCGCCCGGCCGGTGCTGGGACAGGCATGTCCCCGCAGAGCCGCCACACGGGGCGCGTGAGGTCCCGGAGCCCAGGGCCCGGCGCCGGGGAGGGACCGCGGCGGAGGCAGAGCAGCAGACGCGCGTGGGGAGTGGCCGGCCCACCTCGGCCAGCGGGGTCCCTGCAGGAGTGAGGGCTCGGGCGCGGAGGAGCACGGTGACCTACGAGGAGGCGGTGACGGCGATGGCAGTGCCATCCACTCGGCCAGTCCGAAGCGGGCACGGCTCGGAGCCGGGGCCAGGCAGGGACAGCGGGGAAGAAGGAGCGGCCCCGTGGGCGGGTGACCTTCCTTTCCTTTTACTGTCGAAGAGCAAACCAGGAAACATTTATGTCAACGGCACAAACAAACTAACACGGACAACAGAACTTCCAGGGAGCGGGGCAGGAAAAGCCAGACTTTGCATGTACAGCTGAATAGTTCTTTAACTTCATCCTATGAAAATAAAAACTTATTTAAAACCGATCTTTTAAATTAGGATAATACCGCGGTTTAAAAAATAGCCTTGTCATAAGTGCTTCTCCCTATGAAGTGCTTCTCATAGAAAAATATACAAAATATATTTACATTTATAAAACCTTAAATAGTAAACTGTAAACAGAACAGAGTAAAATCTGATGACTTAATTTAATAGGTCGGGACTGTCGGGGAGGGAGGGAGCAGTGGGCGCGGGGCAGTAGTGTCATGACCTCACTTGGCCGTGGGGTTTGCATAGGTGCCATCCCCTCCATGCAAGGTGCTCAGCCCCCAGGGCTTGGGCCTGGAAATCTGATTAGTGTTGTGCCTTCCACTGGACATGGACCTTAAAGATCGTCTTCCTGTGTCGTCACAAAGGGAAACGGTCACCACGGCCTAGGGATGGGCCCAGAGGCCCCGGCCCGACGCTCTGGTTGCTGCACGGCTCAACTATTGGAACTGCCTCCCCCTCATCTCAAGACCGGGCATTTCTCCAAACTCTCAGCGGAGCTTTGTGAAAATGCCTCATTCTGTCTGGTCCAGCCAAAGCCTCCTGCCCACCTCCCACCGGGAGTGCCTCCGGGCTCGGGACGTCCGGAGGTGCACAGTATGCCCACAGGAGTGTCCTTGAGCAGAGTCAGTCTCCTCACCCAGCGAGAATGGAAAGCAGCGGAGGCCGAGCAGGGGAAACGCGGGCAGTGAGTGGAGAGGATGAGGAGGAAGCTGCTCCGACTGCCAGGGAAGGTCCTGGCTGAGATAAGGCTCACGGGGACGCACTCCCCCTACAGCCGCAGGCTCGGCGCCTAGTAATTAATTGGCACAATCCAACACAGCCTTCGATACCGAAGGTGCCGAGCCTCCTCCTCCCGCCCAGACCGAGTCTCTCTGGGAAGACCAGGAAACGCTCCCGACGGCTCCAGGTGGGCCGGCGGCGGGCGGCCAGGGACCAAACCCCGACCCTGGGCCTGGCCGCCTGGCCGCAGCGTGGGAAACGGCAGAGGGGCGGCCGCCTCTGAGGAGAGGTTCAGCCCGACCTCCCAATGCCGCCGACCCGGAGCTCCTTCCAGCACATCCACCGGCCCGTTCCACAGCCATAACCAGGCCCGCGGGGCTCCCGGGGCTGCGGCCACAGGGACAATGCGGGCCGGAGCGGGCCCCGCCCGCGGTGGGGAGCAGCCTCAGTTGAGGAACTTGCGGCATTTCTTGGCGCCACAGTTGCAGGGCAGCTTGTTGCTGGCGTCCTCGATGGGGAACTTGTAGTCGTAGGTGAGCTCCTCCCCGCGGTAGATCTTGCGCATCGCGAAGATGACGATGTGCTTCTGCCCGTCGATGTTGATGACGCGCGAGTAGCAGTTGGGCTCGCACGAGTGGTTGATGAAGCGGGCGGCGTTGCCGTGCATGGTGGCGTCCACCACCTCCGAGTCGTCGATGCGGAACATGTAGCAGCCGATGCCCTGGCGGAGGATGGAGCCTGCGGTTAGCACGGCTCGGATCGGCGTGTCCCCACCTTTTCCTTTCTTTTTTTAACTGAGGAATATGTGTTTAAAACTTTTTAACCTTCACTGAGGATATTTTCCCATTGCTTTTTAGGGAGAATGGGAGGGAAGGGAGGATCAAAGAGAGAAACACTGATGTGAGAGAAATACATCAGCTGGCTGCAACCAACAGGACCTGATCTGAGACCTTCCATCTGGGGGCTGATGCTCTATCCACTGAGCCACACCGAAGGCCCAACCTTTCCCTATGTGACTCATAGCTGCCGCTGAACAACATCTCTCCTGGCGTAATCTCCAGCCCGCAATCTTTCCGGGCGGGGATGACGCCCGCCCACCGAGCTGCAGGGCCCGGGGAACGCTGCTTGCTTTTTGGTCTAGAGATGTTTATAGTGGGAGGTCACTTTCTCTAACAAAACCAGAGAAGAGGAGAGAGGAGTGTGAGACGCACCTTGCTGTCATAGTACTTCTCTCTCTTGTCAGTCTGGATGGAGCGGATGACATTGCCAGCGTACTCGATCACCATCTCACCCGCGTCAATGTTTCTCTTACAAAAGAGACCCCGGCCGTGGATGGGAGACCTGGGACAGGACAAGGGACAAGCGGTCGCCATACAGCCCGCGATGAGGCTGGCTGTGAGTAACACGTCTACACGAACTAATGACAGAATCCCGGTAGTCCCCAAGGAGGACACACTGGGGGAAAGGAACATGCCCCCCCCCCCCCCGAGGACGGGCCTCCTGACCCGCCCAGGGCGGAGTGCTCCCGCTGCGCACACAGCCACTGACGCAGCGCAGGAGGCTGTGCCGGTGACCGCTGTTCAGTGTGAGAGCCGCAGGCTCCAGGCCCCAGGCTCAGTGGATTCCACCTAAACCCAGCTTTCTGCGGGGCACGCACTCCAGCTCGGGTCCACTCGGCTTTGGGACCCTTGCCCGCTCCCTGGCACTCTCTCCAGAAGGGCGGCCATACCTGTAGACGCCAACAGCCTCCTTAGACGTCTTCTTCAGGTGCCGGAAGCGCATGGGCATGGGCAGGTCCATGCTGGTCGCCCTCCTGTGAGACAAGGACGGAGCCGTGAACTCCACTCAGTTCTAAGTCTCAGACCAAAGGTCCTGGAGGAGAAGACTCAGAGTTCTCTCCGCTCAGTGCCAAGCAAACAAATACCTTATAAAATTAGGACCCTTTTAAATACTTTCTTTTGTTAAATCCTCCCCTGAGGATATTTTCCCGTTGATTTTAGAGAGTGGAATACAGAGAAAAAAAAAGAGAGAAATATCATTGTGTGAGAAACACGTGGTTGGTTCCCTCCTGCACACCCCCTCCCCTCCAACCAGTGCCCAAGCTGGGAGGAGCCTGCAACCGAGGTACGTGCCCTTGACTGGAATTGAACCCGGGACCCTTTAGTCTCCAGGCAGGTACTCCAGCCACTGAGCCCAACGGGCCAGGGCTAAAGCCTATAGTGTCTTCTCACCAGGTACTCCAGATGCAGCCAGAGTGCACGACAGCCGAAGAGAGAATGGACACCTTAGAGTTACCCGGTTTCTCCTCTCACACGCCGTCTCTGCGGCTGGCGCCCGCCGCCTCCCCGCATGGCCGCTCAGCTGGCTCAGCTGCTGGGGAGTCGGGAGGCCGGTGTGCGGAGGAGCCAGCGGAGGAGGCAGAGGAGCCAGCGGCGGAGGCGGAGAGCAGTGCGCCCTCGGACTCACCGGGCTGACTTGAGCTGCACCTCCTCCTCCTCCTCGTCGTGGGGGTTGTACTCAGGGGGCTGCCGGTGCTTGGAAGCCAGGAAGTTAAACATGTCAAATGCCGACTTCCTGGAGCCAAGGGAGGAGACATTTAGAGAAACGAATCAATCAAAGCAATGCCTCTGTTATCAGAGCGCGAACACGGAACATCTGGTTACGTGGAAATAGTCCCAAACTGCTTCCGGAAAGGAGGGACTTGCCTCAGGTGCACCTCGGCCCGGGCTGAGCCGTGCGGGTTCAGGGGCGGCTCGTTGGCCTCCTCCGGCTTGTGGAAGCGGAACTTGTAATTCCTGCAGTGCTTGGCGCCCGGCAGCTGCTCGGTCAGGAACACGACTGCGTCATGGAGGATGCCCAGCATCCGCAAGCCGCTCACACCTGCGGGCGAGGTGGGTGAGGGGCGGAGCAGGTGCGGACACAGCCCGGCCAGCAAGCAGCTGAGGCTGCTCACGGGCGAACTGGAGACCAGCCAGGAATTCCCATCGGACGGCCATCGGAGGGCGAGGGCACGCCCTGGCCAGCGGGCTCAGTTGGCTGAGATCGTCCCATGCACCGAGATGTCACGGCTCCATCTCCAGTCAGGGTGCCTGCCCGGCTTGTGGGCTCGATCCCAAGTAGGGGGTGTGCAGGAGGCAGCTGATCGGTTTCTCTCTCTCTCCCTCTCCTGCCCCCTCCCTAAAATTAATTAAACATATTTTTAAATAAAGTTATGCGAATAGAGATCTATCAATGTGGACAACATAAGTGAAAAGAGCAAATGAGAACTACGGTCTATTACCTCCACTCTGCGCGCACCGAGACATCTACAGCCCAGCTTCCCTTTTAGTCCCAGTGGCCACAGGCCGGCGTCCTGGCTTCAGCTCCAGGGAAGTAAGCCGAGGCCCGAGAGAGAACACCCACACCGCCCCAGGCCACGCAGCTGGCACGGCAGAATCTGAGCTGCGGATGGTGTTACTCCGCTGACTCCCTTCCTTCCTTTTTTAAAATATGTTTTTATTGATCTCAGAGAGGAAGGGAGCGTTAGAGAGAGAGAAACATCAATGGCAAATCAGCTTCCTATTTAAATCAGTCAAGAGTTGGGGCTTCTGTCACCTGAGGCCAAAAGCATTCTCAGGGATAACGGATGACATAGGTATACAGAAGGGCGGTCACAGAAGGCGGAAGTCTGGAAGGGCTGTGCTGGGTCTTGATGGAAGGCCATCGCGGAGGGTGCGCTAATGCAGAAGATTCTGTAAGCCACGAGAATGCCGTGGGTACATGCTGACAATTCAGCTTTCGCGTCCCTAATCCCAGAGGTTGTGGTTCATGAGCTGGGGGGTGGGAGCGGCCGGGGAGAGGTGAATAGGGGAAAAGGAGACTCGTGTAATACTTTAAACAATAAAGAATTTAAGTTAAAAAAATGCTGCAATCAAAAGACATAGGGTTGCCCTAGCCAGTTTGGCTCAGTGAATAGTGTCAGTCTGTGGACTGAAGGGTCCCAGGTTCAATTCCAGGCAAGAGCACATGCCTGGGTTGTGGGTTCGATCCCCAGTGGGGGGTGTGCAGGAGACAGCGATCAATGATTCCCTCTCATCATTGGTATTTATATTTTATCTCCCTTCTTCTCTGAAATCAATAAAAATATGTATTAAAAAAAAAGACTTAGGGTAGCTGAATGGATAAAAAATCATGACCCAATTATATGCTGTCTACAAGAGATCCACCTCAGAACAAAAGACTCACACAGGATGAGAGTGAAAGGACGGAAAAAACGTTCCATGTAAATGGGGAAAAAAAAAAAAAGCTGGGATACCAATACTCATACCTGATGAAACAGACTTCAAAATGAAGGCCATCATGAGAGACAATAAAGGTCATTACATAATACTAAAGAGATCAATCCAACAAGAAGTTATAACTCTGGGAAACAGATATGCACGCAATGTAGGAGCACCTAATTATATACAGATGGATTTAAGTGACCTTTATAGAACATTTCACCCCAAAGCTGCAGTGCACAGGGGTCATTCACAAAGACAGACCACATGTTAGGACACAAACAAGTCTCCACAAGTTTAAGAAGAACGAAATCATATCAAGCATCTTCTCAGATCACAGTGGAATGAAATTAAAAATCAACTATAGTAAAAACACCCAAAAACATTCAAACACATGGAGGCTAAATAGCATGTTATTAAACAACTAGAGGCCCGGTGAATGAAATCCATGCATGGAGAGGGGTGTCCCTCAACCCAGCCTGCACTCTCTCCAATCTGGGATCCCTCTCACAATCCAGGACTGCTGGCTCCCAAATGCTCGCCTGCCTGCCTTCCTGATTACCCCGAATGGCTTCTGCCTGCCAGCCTGATTGATGCCTAACTGCTTCCCTGCCAACCTGATTGCCCCAACTACCCTCCCCTGCAGGCCTGGTCCCTCCCAACTGCTCTCCCCTGATGGCCAACTTGTGGCGGCCATTTTGTGTCCACATGGGGATAGCCATATCATGTGTTGGAGTGATGGTCAATTTGCATATTACTCTTCTATTAGATAGGATAGAGGCCTGTTGCATGAATGGGGTCAGCTGGTTTGCAGGCCAGCCACGCCTCCTGGCAACCCAGGCTGAGGCCCCAGGTATCTGGGATTTATTTATCTTCTATAATTGAAACTTTGTAGCTTTGAGAGGAGGCCAGAGCAGGCCAGGGTGGGCAGAAAGCTTGGCTTCCTCCATCACTGGGGCAACCCAAGCCTCCTGCTCTCTCCAGCTCCATGGCCGCTGCCATCTTGGTTGGGTTAATTTGCATACTTGCTCCTGATTGACTGGTGGGCGTAGTGGAGGCACTGTCAATTTGCATATTACCTTTATTAGATAGGAGGATGAATGGGTTTCCAATGAGATCAAGAGGGGAAAAAAAAAAACTTCATTGAAAGAAATGAAAATGAGCACACAACAACCCAAAATCTCTGAGATAGCAAAAGCAGTCCTGAAAGCAAAGTTCATAGCACTAGAGGCCCTCTTCCAAAAACAAGAAAAATGAATAACAAGCTATTTAATTCTACAATTTAAAGAACTAGAAAGAGAACAAGAAAATCCTAGCGTAAGTAGGAGGAAGGAAATAATAAAAATCAGAGCAGAAATAAATTTACTGAGATTAAAAAAAAACAATACAAATAAATCAATAAAACCAAGAGCTGGTTCTTTGAAAGGATAAACAAGATTGAGGAGCCATTAGCTAGACTCATCAAAAAACAAAGAGAGAGGACCCAAATTAATAAAATCAGAAACAAAAGCTGAGAAGTAACAAATGACACCACAGGGCCAAAACCGGTTTGGCTCAGTGGATAGAGCGTCAGCCTGTGGACTGAAAGGTCCTGGGTTCGATTCCGGTCAAGAGCATGTACCTTGGTTGCGGGCACGTCCCCAGTAGGGGGTGTGCAAGATCAATGATTCTCTCTCATCAATGTTTCTGACTGTCTATCCCTCTCTCTTCCTCTCTGTAAAAAAATCAATAAAATATATTTAAAAAAAAATTATGGGGGTCCCAGAAGAAGAGAGAGAGCAAGATATCGAAAACATATTGGAAGAAATAGTAAGAGAAAACTTCCCCCACCTGGGGAAAGAAATAGACTTACAAGTCCAGGAAGCGCACAGAAGCCCAAACAAGAGGAATCCAAAGAGGACCACACCAAGACACATTATAATTAAAATTCCAAGAGCAAAAGACAAAGAGAGAATATTAAAAGCAGCAAGAGAAAAGCAGGTAGTTACCTATAAAGGAGCACCATACAATTGTCAGCTGATTTCTCAACAGAAACCATGCAGGCCAGACAGGAATGGCAAGAAATATTCAAGGTGATGAATAGCAAGAACCTACAGCCAAAAATACTCTACCCAGCAAAGCTATCACTCAGAATCGAAGGCCAGTTAAAGAGCTTCACACATAAAAAAAAGCTAAAAGAGTTTAACACCGCCAAATCAGAATTATATGAACTGCTTAAAGGAGGTTCTTTAGGAAGAGGCAGAAAATAGATAAAAATTATGAACAATACGTAACTATCAACAAGTGAATCTAAAAACCAAGGGAATTAAAAAATCTGAACAATATTAACTGGTAAATATAATAGAATCAGAGGTATGGAAGGGGAGTGGACTGAAAAGGGGAGTGGGGGATGCAGGAAGAGACTGAACATAAACTGTGCACCTATGGATGAGGACAATGGGGAGTGGTGAAAGGGCAAAGGGTGGGGTGGGAATCTGGCGGAGGGGAGCAATGGAGGGGAAAAAATGAGAAACATTTATAATATGAATAAAGATTTATTAAAAAAAAACTCAGCAAAGTGGGAATATAGTGATAATATCTCAACATAATAAAGGCCATATATGACAAATATGCAGCCAACATCATACTTGATGGGAAAAAATGAAAACAATTTCCACTAAAACTAGGAACAAGTCAGGGATGTCCACTTTCACCACTCTTTTTTTTTTTTTAAAAAATATATATTTTATTGATTTTTTACAGAGAGGAAGGGAGAGAGAGATACAGAGTAGAGAGTTAGAAACATCGATGAGAGAGTCATCGATCAGCTACCGCCCCCTACTGGGGATGTGCATGCAACCAAGGTACATGCCCTTGACAGGAATCGAACCTGGGACCTTTCAGTCCACAGGCCGACGCTCTATCCACTGAGCCAAACCGGTTTCGGCTACTTTCACCACTCTTATTCAACATAGTACTGGAAGTCCTAGCCACAGCGATCAGACAAGAAGAAATAAAGGCATCCAAATTGGAAAGGGGAAAGTAAAACTCTCACTATTTGCATATGACATGATATTGTACATAGAAAAGACTCCACTAAAAAACTATTAGATTTAATAAGTGAGCTTGGCAATGTAGGAGGATATAAAATCAATCTATATATTTTTATAGATTGCAATCTATATATTTTTTTGTACATTAATATTAATTTTCAGGAAGAGAAACTAAATAAACAATCCCATTTACCACTGCAACAACAAAAAAAATTAAGATACTTAAGAATAAAATTAACCAAGGCAGTAAAATACTTGTACTCTAAAAACTACAATTAATATTCGATAAAGGAGGCAAGAATATACAATGGAGTCAAGAGAGTTTCTTCAATGAATGGTGTTGGGAAAATTGGGCAGAGACATGCAAAAAATTGGAAATAGAGACACCAACTTACACAATACACAAGAATAAACTCAAAATAGATAAAAAAGACTTAAATGTAAGTCATGAAACCAGAAATATCCTAGAAAAAACCAAAGGCAGCAAAATCTCAAACATCTCTCGTAGCAATATATTTACCGATACATCTCTTAGGACAATGGAAATTGAGAAAATAAACAAATGGGACTATATAAAAATAATCCGCACAGCAAAAGGAATAATTGCCAAAACAAAAAGGGAGCCCGCCGTATGGGAGAACATATTTGGCGATGATACATCTGATAAAGGGCTAATACCCAAAATATGTAAGTAACTCATAAACTTAAAGTCAAATTTTGAAAATGGGGCAAAGGACCTAAACAGATACTTCTCCAAAGTAGACATACAGATGGCCAAGAAACATATGAAAAAATGTTCAAAGTCACTGAACATCAGAAAGATGCAAATTAAAACAACAATGAGATATTACCTCACACCTGTCAGAATTGCTATCATCAGCAAATCAACAAATGACAAGGGCCGATGAGGATGAGGAGAAAAGGGAACCCTCGTGCACTGCTGATGGGAATGCAAACTGGTGCAGCCACTGTGGGAAAACAGTATGGAATTTCCTCAAAAATTAAATATGGAACTGCCATGTGACCCAGTGATCGCAATTCTAGGAATATATCCTGGAAACCTGAAACACCAATCAGAAAGAATGCATGCATTGTGTATAGCAGTGCAATTTACGATATCTAAATGCCCATCAGTAGATGAGTGGGTAAAAAGCTGTGGTACATTTGCACCATGGAATACTGTGCAGCTATAAAAAAGAAGAATCTCTTACCCTTTAAGACAGCATGGAGGGACCTGCGGAGTATCATGCTAAGTGAAATAAGTCAGTCAGAGAAAGACAAGTATCATTGATCTCACTCATATGTGGAATCTAATGAACAAAATATATCCAGAGACAGTGAACAGAATGTGGAATCTTGGAGGGAAGGCGGGGAAGAGTGGATGGGTGGAAGGTAATCAACCATAGAAGTTGCGTGCATGCCTGTATAACCCATGGACACGGACAATATGGTGGTGAAGGCCTGGGGCAGAGATGGGCTAGAAGGGTTCAATGGGGAAAAGGGAGACATATGTAATACTTTCAATAATAAAGATTAAAAAAAGAGAAGATGCTATAAAAAGTTCCAGTATTCAATATTCCCCTAAATTCTGTTTTAAATACCTTCAGTCAGGATAATGTTCTTAATTGGGCACATTAGGTATATTAGGGTACATAAATCCATAGCTACATGTAAATGAATAGCTGCCAATAATGTCAAGTTCATTATTTTAATTAATCCTCACAAAGATCAAAAGTTGCATTAATGTTATCACGTTATAGATATGGAGATCCAGGCTCAAGGAAGTTAGTTAACTGCAAGCAATGGAATATCAATAGCAACAGGGCAGAAATAGAGGTCAAACTCTGTTCTAACTGCCTCCAGAGCACAGGGTTCTCAGCACTGCATACTGAGCACAGACACGGATGAAACAGACATCTGTGTCCCTGGGGAAAGAGAGGGCCGGCCATTCCGTCTGAGGAGAACTTTACACGTCACCAGAAACTAGTTCAGAACAACTAAGCACACATTTAATTAGTTACACCAGTGACAACCAGTTGGTCAGACCGGACCCATGAACCCTGTTTTCTTGCCCCCAAAATATCTCCCTCACCAATTTGCAAGAAACTGAGAGGACACTATCCATAGAGTAAAAAGTCAGCCCAAAGAATGAGAGCAATTGTTTGCAAACATGTATCTAATAAGGAATTAATATTTAAATAACCGAAGTGTCCATCGACAATCAATGGATCAATGGATAAGCAAAATGTAAAATACAGATACAGTAAAATATTATTCAGCCTTAAAAAGAAAGTAAATCCTGATATATACTACAACATGGATGAACTTTGAGGACATTATGGTAAATGAAATAAGCAAGTCACAAACTGTATCCTCTATAATAAAAGGGTAATATGCAAATAGTCCAAATGGCAGATCAACCAATCAAACTGTAATATGCTAATGATATGCTAAGGCTGCTCAACCACTCGCCATGACGTGCAAGATATCTAAATGCCCATCAGTAGACGAGTGGGGACCACGGAATACTGTGCAGGGGGCAGGTGCTCCAACCGATAGGTTAGCTTGCTGCCGGGGTCCGGCCAGATGAGACTGAGCTAGACGGGCTGGACACAACCTGGAGCCCTTCCGTGGTCCCTCCCCTGCCTGATCTGGCACTGGTGGGGTCCCTCAGCCTGGGCTGAACCCTCTCAAACCTGGGATCCCTTTGGGGATGTCGGAGAGCTGGTTTCAGCCTGACCTCACAGGTCACTCCTCTTGGGAGGGCACCAGATACAGGACTCCCAATTGGGACTGACTGGGCCGGAGCCCGTGGCTGGCACAGTGGGATTGGGATGAGTGGCAGGTAGGAGCTGTAGGCGGCATTGGACTGCGGGTTGGCCCGATCCCTGCAGGCCACCCAGAGGGACCCACCCAGTCACAAATTCATGCACCTCTAGTGATTGTATAAGGAGCTTAAAGTAATCCAGCTCACAAAGACAAACACTATAATGGTTGCCAGGGGCAGGGCGAGGAGAATGAAGAGTTATGGTGGTGATAGCTGTACAACAATGTGAATGTATTTAACTCCACTGAATTTCTACCCTTCAAAATGGTTAAGATGGTAAATTTTATGTGTATTTTGCCAAACTTCATTTGTTAAAAAAAAAGGGGCCGGGAGTACTGAGGCCACGTTATAGCAGAGCATGGTATTAAATAAGAAGCCAGCCCCGGAGGACCACGTTGTACGATTCCTTTTTTTGCACTGGATGAGCTACAATTAAACTTGTCCATAGTCGTTCTGGACTGGTTACTGGTAATGTGCAAAATCCCCCTCCAGCTGAACGGCCGAGCCCGGTCCCACGAAGGAAATACACAGCTAACCACCGGCACAGAGAGCAAACTCACGGTGGCCAGGACGGGAGCTTGACTGCTGATGGGCACGAGGTTGCTCTCAGCGATAACGAAAAGTGTCCTGGCATGATACAGACATAACGGTTGCTCTTTGTGAACATATTGAAAGCCTCTGAATTGTATGCTTCACAGGGGTGAATGGTATAGTCAAAGAATTATATCGCAATAAAGTTGTGAAATTTTATTTTTTTAAAAAGAATGTTGCTGTGTTTTGTTTTTGTTTTTAGAATCAACTCTATAATGCAGACCAACAAGCCACCAGCACATTCTGAGACCAGAGCACAATGAGCACGTAAGCCGTTACCTGCAAACGAGAGCTGCTTCAGCCGGGCATTGGATCGTGCTTCCTGGACTTTATCCGTCAGCGACTTCCAGGCATCTGTGAGGAGAGGAAACGTTCCAACAAGCGCTCGTGCCTGTGCAGCGAGCTCTGCTCGGAGTCCCGTGGGAAAGCGCCCTCCCGCCACACCAGGCCGTCTCGTCAGTCTCAGTCAGTGCGCGCCTGGGAAGCTGAGAGGGACTGTCTTTCTAGAGAAGGACAGAGGCAGGAAGGGCATCCGGACCGCCTGAAAGTGACCCGAGTCCCCAGGCACGGCCATCCCTTGATGGCACCTAGACCCAAACTTAATAAGCGTTTGGTGTTAATTCTATTCCCTACACCTTACCCAGGGCAATGACAATGAACATCTAACCAAGGCTGTGGGGACACCGGGCCTTCTCAGTTCCTTACAAGTACGGGTTGTACCTGGAAACCTGCACAGCTCCTCCCAGCCCTCCCCTACGATCCTACCAGCTCTCACTGTCACAGGAATAAGTGTAGAGTGGTGGGAAGAAATCCTCCATCTAGTTCTTTGTTTTTAATCCTCACTCAAGGATATTTTTCCATCGATTTTTAGGGAGAGTGGGAAAGACAGAGAGAAACACTGATGTCAGAGAAACACATCAATTATCGATTGATTGCCTCCTGTGAGCGCCATGAACAGGGCAAGGGCCAAGGAGGAACCTGCAACCAAGGTACATGCCTGCAACCAGAACAAACCCCTTGGTCCACAGGCCAGCAGCGAGGGCTTCCATGGTTTTTTTATAACTCTCACCAAACCACAGTGACCTTTCTTTCCTTCAAACTCCTCTAGTACCTATCGCCTACAGAACATTCACCAGTCCTTCAACAGCTAATGAACAGCTACATGTTAGGGGCACAAAAATCTATAATAATAAATGTGTAACATGCTAATTAGACAGGACAGCCGAATGACCTTTTGGACAAAGCTGCAGCAGTGGTGGCCGAGGCAGGGGAGGTTAAGGGAGATCAGGCAGGTAAGCGAGCGATTAGGGGTGATCAGGTAGGCAGGCGAGTGGTTAGGTGCAATCAGGCAGGCAGGCAGGAGAGCAGTTAGGAGCCAGCGGTCCCAGATTATGAGAGAGATGTCTGACTGCTGGTTTAGGCCCGATCCCTGGCATCCCTAAACTGGCAGTCGGACATCCCCCAAGGGGTCCAGGATTTGAGAGGGTGTAGGCCAGGCTGAGGGACCCCTTCCCCTTCACAAATTTCATGCACTGGGCCTCTAGTGTTAAATAAGAACAAGCCCTTATGGGAAGTTCCCTGTTGAGTAAGACATAAAAGTAAACAAATATTTATAGAACAAATTTTAAGCACAGTGGGAGAAATGTGTAAGAATCTGAAAGGCGTGGAAAAGAGGGGGTAGGACTGTGTACCTGCCTCAGAAGATCAGGGAAGACTTTCTAAGCTGAAGGTCAGCAGGTGAATGGGGTAGGTGGAGGAGGAGGGAGAGGGGAAGCATTCCAGGTGGAGGGAAGACATGCAGGAGGCACAGAGGTGAGGGAGAACAGCATTCAAGATGTACAGGAAGGCCCTGGTCGTTTGGCTCAGTGGATAGAGCGTTGGCTGTGAACTAAACGGTAACAGGTTTGATTGAGGTCAGGGCACATGCCTGGGTTGTGGGCTCAGTCCCCAGTAGGGGGCGTGCAGGAGGCAGCCAATCACGGTTCTCTTCTCTCATCACTGATGTTTCTCCCTCTCCCTCTCCTTCCTCTCTGAAATAAAAGAAAAAAAGAAACAACAAAACAGGAAGCGGTAGGAGAAAAGTGAGAGAGACAAGCAGAGGTCTCATGTGCTATGTAAGGTGTGTATAACCTTAAAAACATAATCTGTACCCCTAACTTCTCCCATAAACTATGGACTATTTCTCAAGAACACTAACTTCTTAAGGACAAATCAAATGTGCAAATCCTGCAGACACCTCCGTCACAGTGGCACAGGCCTGCCACCAAGCAGGACAGACAGGGCTGCTGCTCTGGCTGCCAGGCTGTGCTGTGGGCAGCCCGAGCAATCCACTCGCCTTCAATGCTCTCGGCGCAGATCTGGAAGCCATCGTCGCTGGAGATTTCAAACACCAGGCCTTTCTTGGGCTTTTTCTCAGTGATGCTTTCTTTGCGCTTCTGTTCCTGCTGCAGCCAGAGCATGAGCGGCGAGCTGAAGCCTCCATCTTCTTCCTCTGCCGCCTTCAGGTCTGCCGGGGAGAGCGCAGAGCGTCAGCGGCCGCAGCAGGAGGCCGGGGAGCAGGACTACGCACACCGCCGTGGAGCCAATGGCATCCAGAACTGGGATTATCTCCACTGACAGGCAGTGAGACGGAGTCTCACGGAGATGGGGCAGCTCACTACCCAGGTCTTCGCTACACACGACTACCAGTGAAACCAGGATGTTTTTAACATAAAGTCACGCTGTCTTTGTGGCAGAGTTCCTAGCATGACAATTTGATAGTTTTTCAATGACTGCCCCCTGTAGGGTTAAAGTAACATGGAACACTGCTAATGCATGAGGCAGTATGTACCGGGCACCCCCCTACTCTCTCAGTACGTTCCCTTGATAGTTACTCACACAGACCTCACACCAGTCCGACGAGCAGGTGAGGACACTGAGGTAGAGAGGTCAGGGAAGTGGTCCCGCAGGCCAGGTTCAGGCAGCCAATAGGTGGTCATGCCGGGCTCGAACTTCTGTGGCTCAGAGTCGCCTGGCCGGCCCTGCTGTCCTCCCTCCCAGAGACCTTCTCGAGGACCAGAAGGCCTCGCCCCAAAGCTGGCGTCCAAGCAGTGTCCCCCCGGCTCTCCTCTGGGAAGACAGGCCGTTAATGTTAACGGGCAAAGCCTGACCCTGAGCCCCCGATCGAAATCACATGACCTGCTGTTACTGACCACGTGCACCGGGAGACCGGGCCTCGGGAGGCGGATCTGTGTCCCAGCCGAATGTGGCTAGCTTACAGAACAAGAGCGCTTCTGGGTTTTCTTCAGGGACAACCGGGGGTGAATGAAGTCTGGTTATCACTAGCTATTTATTTATTTTTATTATTTTTTAATCCTCACCCAAGGTTATTTTTGCATTAATTTCAAAGAGAGGGAAAGACAGAAATATTGAAAGAAACACATTGATTGGCTACCTCCTGCATGAGCTGCGACCAAGGCCTGGGCTGGGGAGGAGCCTGCAACGGAGGTACGTGCCCTTAACCAGGATCAAACCTGAGACCCTTTGGTCTGCAGGCTGATGCTCTATCCATCTAGCAATACCGGCCAGGGCCATACTGCTATTAAAGCAAGCTAAGCAGGAGCAGAGTGAGAGGTTTCAGTCTGTGTCCTTGCCTGCAGCCAGCCGCAGGAGGTGCAGTGGGGAGCACAGCACTGAAGGAGATGGTGTGAGTCCGGCTATACTTCGCTCCATCACTGAACTTCTGAGCGATTTTTGGGGGGGAATTGTTTTCTTAACCCAGAAGGTAATGTAGGTGATTTTTACAGCACGTTTGGCTTTGAAACACTGATTCAGACCTGTTGCCCACCCACATACCTGTACTTTCTTGTTCATTTGCTGGATTTTGTGTTGTCTGAACCTCAGGAAGAACAGCCATTTGCCTAAAAAACACACACACACACAAAAAACAACAACACCCAAAACACAAACATGAGATGCATCAGCTAGTATTCCAGTTCAAAGCTAAAAGCTGTCAGTTACACAAAGCCACGGCCGGACCAGCCACGGAATGAGCACCACCCACAACCATGTGGCACCAACAGAAAGCCATCGTCTATGAGATTCCCCCCAAATACTGACATTAAATTTTTATGTTTTGTTAATACTCAACTGAGGATATTTTTCCATTGGTTTTTAGAGTAGAAGAGGGAGAGACAGAGAGAAATGTCGATGTGAGAGACAGCGACTGTTGCCTCCTGTATACACCCTCACTCAGGGTGGAGTAGCAGATAAACTTGGCTCCGCTAGCCGACTTCCTTCTTTATTTTTCATGCCTCTGCCTGCATTTTAACATTTGCTGTCTCTTCTGTTCTCGTTTGTATATCACTTAAATGTAGTAGCTGGACGGTTGGCTCCCAAATCAAGATGGGAATTAGTTAATGAAAATATGTCTGGTCTCCATCGCCAGTAGGGGGCATGGAGGAGGCAGTCGATCCATGTTTCTCTCATTGATGCTTCAATCTCTAATCACTCTTCCTTTCCAATCAATAAAAATGTATCTTAAAAAATGTCCCCATGGATGAAAACAAGTTATTTGAAATGTTAGCTCTAAGGAATAGACTGGGATGTGGTCAGGCAGGATTACAGGGCACCATTATCTGTTATTTAAGTAATGCTACACTACATTACTTCCACTGAAGTAACTGTGGCACCCTGACTGAATGGCTCAGTTGGTTGGAGCATTGTCCTGTGTACAAAAGGGTTGCAGGTTCGATTCCCAGTCAGGGCACGTGCCTGGGTTGCGGATTCAATGCGTGTGAGAGGCACCTGATCAATGTTTCCCACATGGATATTCTCTCTCTCTCATATCAATAAACACGTTCTCAGGAGAGGATTAGAACACCGGCCACACAGGTCTACACAGACAGGAAGAAGGATATTTTACGAGGACTTGGTCTGGGAGACCTTCCTCTGCTCACCCCGGGGGTTGCCCACACTCCGGGGCCGCCGGCTCCCCATCTGCTGTGTCCTGCTGCTCGGCCTCCGCGGCGGGGGCCCTGAAACAGAACCATCGGCACTTAGGCACCAGGTGTGCAGTCTGCAGAGATGACGCGGGCTCTGGCAAACCTCGTGAGCAGAGCGGCAGCCTGTGGCTGCAGGGGCTGCTGCCCTGCGGGGAGCTGACCACAGCACCAGGCGCCTCTGGAGCACCAGCGAGACTTCCTAGCTCCATCTGAACGGCGGCTCCCGACCACATATGTACGTAAAACTCACTGTGCACATCAGGTGAACAGCAATAACCGCCCTTCGCAGCCCTCGGCCTCAGCAGCGAGCAGCGGCACCGAGTTACACCAGAGCCAGGAGAGACCTGGTTCTCTGCGGAGACCACTGCTCACAGAGGGCGTTGAGGTTTGCTCTGTAAGCCACCACGGTGAAAACACAATCACCTGAAACCCGCAAAATACCCGACCACTGCAAAAGTGGACAGATGACCCCTGACCCAGCCTCTGCTCGGGGCCCGGACCCCACAGACTCAGCACGGCTGACACTGGCTCTCACCCTGTGGACGAGGTCAGGGAGGACGGGTGGGCATCCTGGTCCGGAACGTGTGCTTCTGAGGAGCTGGTCCGCAGGTGGGAGGCCTTGTGCTTCTTGCCACTGCCTTTGTCCGAAGGCAGCTGGAGACGCTTGCTTTTTGGTTTGGGCTGAGCAGGACCGGGCACCGAGGGGCTTGAGGACTGGGAGCCCGCAGGGGAGGTGGTGCGGGCCTGTCCGGCGGAGGCGGCCGCCTTCTTCGGCTCCAGCCCCCGGCTGCTGGGAGCATCCGCTGCCTGCGCAAAGCTGGGCCCCTGGGCCCCTGGAGCAGTGTCGGCGTCCCGCTGGGAAGGGAGGACTCCCACTTTGTTGGCTAGGAGCTGGCTCACATGCGGATGCTGATAGTGATCTTCCGTGTCCTTAGAGGGGGAGGCGGCCGCTAGGCCCCCCGTCTGCGTTGCGGGGAGGACGCAGACGCCGGATGCAGCCGTCATCGCCGAGGTAGAGGGGGTCTGCAGCGATCCCAGCTGGGGAAACATTCCCGAACTGGGCGGCAGAGCCCCGGGCCTGTCCTGGAGCCCCAGGCCCTGCTGGCTGGCTTTAATTAACAGGCTGCTTATGGGGCCGGTGTCCGGGGCACCCAGCAGCCGCGGGCTGGCCAATGTGACGTGTCCTGGAACCGACGCACTACTCGTAGGTGCTGTTGTCGTTTGCATGGATACGACATTCAAGACCGAGGAACCGGATGCCAAGCCGGCCATGGGCCCCGAAGCGAGATGGCCAGTGTCCTGGCTCCCAGTGGATGTGCCCGTCGCTGTGGCAGGTCCGCCCACCGTCTGCGGTAACAGGGGTGCCTGTTCAAAATACATGACGCCGGACTTAGACCTTTTTATGATGTTGGGGACAGTCCGGTGAGATGACGTGTTAAGTGACCCCAAATCTAACAGGTTGGGGTGATTTGGAAGCTGGGAGGGTGTGAAGTTAATCAGTGTCATGTTAGAAACCACATCGGAGGGGGCAATGCTGGAAGGGGTGCTAGAGGGAGCAAGCTTCTTATTCTTTCGGGTCTGCAGGCGAGATATGGGTCTTTTCTTGAGTCCAGAGGACGGAGTGACTACCGTGGTGCTGAGGTCTGTCCTCTGGCTGGCTTCGGACACCAGAAGTTGGGGATCTGGAGAAGGCTGCACCCCAATGAGCAGGCCGGGAGGAGAGCTGCTGATGGTGGGCGGGAAACTGCCCTGAGCAGCTGTGGGGAAGGGGTGTAAGTGCTGGTGGTGAGGCACGGGCAGCAAGCCTTTGCCAGCAGGAGGGAACAGAGGCTGAGGCGTCTGCAGGCCGGGGGTTAGCCCCGCGGTCAGCGCGAGGCCACCGCCCATGGGCCCCAGCACGGAAGTGTTTGCCTCCATCACACCGGGTGCAGAGCTAACGGAAGAGGTCAACTGGATTTTCTGGGTCACGCCGTTCGGCAGCGTCTGGAGCACGTAAAGTGGCTGCATGTTCTGGTTAACGACAATGAGCTTCTCGGTGGGCGGCTTCAGGTGGGGAGGCGTGGTCTGCACGGCCGCATTAGAGATCTGAGACGGGCCGGGGCTCTCGGCAGAGCTGGGCCCGTATTTCTGGCTCTGGCCGGGCACGGTAGGGGGAGCCGGTACCTGGAGGCTGGGGGTGCTGCTGCTCCTGGTTAAATCCTGGCTGCTGCCACGGCTCTGCTCCACTGCGCCGCACGGGGGGCTGGCGAGGTCGGCGTCCATGTGTCCCTGGATGAAGCGGTCGGGAGTCATGTGGCCTTCGGGTGCGGGGTCGACTCCCGGGCTCAGCAGCGCTGGGTCCTCCTCGGAGGCGGCCACGGGCTTCTCCGGGATGGCGACCCTCTCCTCCGCTGCGTCTGCGATGACGGCCAGCCGGCCGGGGTTCGGGCCGGGGACCGTGGGGCTCCGCGTGGTCAGCACCGAGAGGTCGGACGGCAGCTCCAGCGGCAGCTCGAACTGCTCTTCGGCGGAGATGGACGAAGAGACGCTGCTGTCCACAGGCTCCGCGGTCGGCAGCTGCTGGGAAAACACTTCAAACAGACCTATGTCCTTCTCGCGGTTGCTGTCGAGGCCCAGGCCCTCACCCAGGTTCAGGAGCTCCGAGGATGAGGACTCAGGGCTCTCCCCCAAGGCCTGCATGGAGGGCGTGTTCTTCAGGACGAAGTCCATGATGTCCGAGGGCAGGATGTTCCCGCAGTCGTCGCTGTTGTTGTTGTCCGAGTCCGACTTTAGCAGCTCGGGGTTGTAGGTGTCCAGCAAGGCCTTGTCCGAGGGGGCGCTCGCGTGGACCCTGCGGCTGGACTCCAAGGAGCTGAGCTGAGCCTCCAGGGAGTCCTGCCCCTGGCCCTTCCCTCGGCTCACAGGGTGGCAGTTCTCCGCCTTGGGCTCGCTCTTGTGGCCCCCAGAACTCTTGATGACATGCTCCTTTTCCCCGTCTTCAGGCCGGTCCAGCTTGAGGCTCTCCGTACCGTTCTCTTTCCCATTTCTTTTTGGAATCTGGCTGGTCTTCCTCGTGGTGGCCGTGACACTGGTGTCGCTCTCTGTCCCGTCGTCAATGCCGTCCAGCTGTGAGATTCTCGGGAGGTCACACTGCTCCTCCTCCCGGAACAGGCCGTGGGCCGCCAGCCGCTCCTCGGCGCCCGCCGCGATCACCGTGCGGGTGAAGTTGTAGTAGTACAGGTCGTCCTCGTCGGAGGTGCTCAGGTCGTCAGCCCCGTCCACCTGCCCCTCCGCTGACCTCTTGCCCCGTTTCTTCCCCGTGGAGCTGCTGTAGAACGGAAGGTCCTCCTCCCCGTAGGACCGGACCCCGTACAGGGGGGTGAGCCCGAAGAACATGTTGGAGCGGGCCCGCGCGCTGCGGCGGGGGTACCTCCTCTTGAAGGACCCGTCCTCTTGGGGCTTGGGCCCGTCGGGCAGCAGGAGGTTCCGGTCCTGCACAGGGAGAGGCTGGTAGCTGTTGCCTGGAGGCTCCTGGGAGGCGGTGCTGCCAGGGCTCGGCTGGGCCACGGGCCCGGCTCCCGGGCTTTCGGAGGTGGAGACAGTCTCCGAGGGGGAGGCGGACTCTGCCTGCAACGAGGAAGCAGGACTGTGCTCCTTCAGGGCGTTTCTGGACTGACTCTCACCTTCCATCTTCAGGGGTGTCAGTGTCACTTTGACGGTGCGTTTTCGGGGTGTCTGTAATTCCGTGGCAGGGCCTTCTCCTTGCATGGACGGAGCTTTGGGGACGCCAGGAGAAGCAAGGACCCTGTCCCCAATCTCATCAGAAGACACACTGTTACACGGCCGTGGCCCCGGAAACGCAGGAGGCAAAACCTCATCCGCAAACTCCGCCGTCAGGCTTCCTTCCTCCGCAGTGGCGACCTGGCCAGGCTCCAAGAAGGACTTACCGGAGCGCTTTTCTCTGGAAGTTTCCTTACCAGACTTCTTCCCCTTCGGCCTCCTGTCTCTGGAGCCCACGTGCTCGCCGAGGAGAGACGACCTGCCGCCCACTCCCGACAGCTTCAAGGCTCTGACTTCCGCAGTGCCCTCTGCGGGGGCGCTCCCCGCCGGGGTGGGGTCTGGCTGTAGGTCCCGGTCGTTCCTCTGCCCCCTCAGGTGCAGCGGTGGGAGCGGGAGGGCCTCTCTGGAGGAGAAGGGCACCGCGGAGAATTCCGCAAACGTGCCCATCTTACTGACGCTGGGTTCGCCCGACGGCAGACTGTGACCGTGACGCTGCGGGGCCGGCCGGGGGATCCCGGGGTGGGCCGCGCTGTGAGCAGCGCCCTCGGAGCCCTTGGAGCTCAGCAGCTTGGCCTTCTCTCCTTTCAGAGAGGAGCTGGCGGCCAGGTCTGACGCGCTGGGGTGCTTCGTTTCTGAAGTGGCAGAGCCATCCCCATGGCTGGCTTTGGCGGCGATCGTCACCACTGTCCTCTGCGAGCCGGGAGCGGTGGGAGCGTTTTGCCGTAAGTTAGTATTTGCGGTCAGCGGCCCCAGAACACGATCGGCTGCTTTGGCACTGGCCTCCAGGTCCACAGCGGTCCCCGGGGCGGAGGCGGAGGCGGAGGGGCCGCTGTTCTTGGAGTGAGTGCTCCCCGCTCTCACGGGGGACATCATGCGGAGCCTCGACGCCTGGGGTGCCGAGGACGGCGCGCTGTGCCGCCTGGAGCCGATGCTTCGGAGCCCCGAGGACAGCAGAGGGTCACCCACAGTGACGATTTCATGAGTGGTGGGAGTAGGACTTCCTAAAGGAGAGAGAGTGACAGACTATCACAGACGGGCAGATGTGGGAGTCATCATAGGTAACGAAAATCAACATTTCCAGTAAGCTTAAGTCACTAAAATAAAGTGGCCTGAAGAAAATCACAAATTCATGTCTGGGCTGACCTTGGAGTCAATGAAACCCTTTACCTGCAGAAGGCAGTGGCCGACAGCCAGGGGACCTCTGTGTTGGAGAATAACTGGGTGTTCGAATCCTAGGAACCTTTGAGATGACATGATAAAAACAGGATCCAGAGGTCTGCATATGAGGAGGTCGGTCTGGTGATGAAGGACTTACAAGTTCAGCTGCATTCTGACTTTCTTTAGATGACATTTCTGCGGTAGGATATAAAAACCCTTACTAAAAGCAGTCCAATTAAGGTATCCAACAAATGGCCCAATAAAAAGCCAGCTGTTGGGGAAATTCTCGAATGAGACCTCCCAACGAAGTGACATTCTCCCCATGCTTCCATCCCAGTGTTCCCAAAAGCACAATTCAGGTGACCCTGATTGAAGACCAACCTGCAGAAGACGTGGGGCTGTGGGCGACGGTCCGGTTTTCGTCGTGCTCCACGGTGCTGTTGATGTCGGGCTCCGCGGCAGGCGGGCGGCACGCCACGATCCTGCACGTGTACACGCAGCGCCTGCGGGCGTCCGTGGTGCTCCAGTACACCCGGGAGCACCTGGAAGGTTCGTAGACCAGCAGAGGTGAGGGCCCAGAAGCAAAGACCGACCTCTGTCAAAACCTCTCCTCATCCTAGATCCCCCGTCTCCATTTACAGAATTTCGCTTTATTTCCTGGACACTTACACATTTCCCAAATTAGGATGTTCCATGCTTTTTATTTTATTAAAAAATATTTTTATTGATTTCAGAAGAGAGGGAGAGCGAGACAGAAATATCAAGTATGAGAGAAAACCATTGATCAGCTGCTTCCTGCACGCCCCCTACTAGGGATCAGGCCCCCAACCTGACACATGCCCTTGATCGGAATAGAACCTGGGTCCCTTCAGTCTGCAGGCCAACTAAGCTCTATCCACTGAGCCAAACCAGCTAGGGCAGAATGTCCCAAACATTTTGAAAGACCTTGTTTTTTTTCTAGCTTCTCAGAAACTAATATCAAGTCTTTTTTTAAAAAAGTGTATTGTAAGCAGGCGGCAAAAATTGTAAAATATCTTAAAATGCAGATAAAAAATACTAACTCCTGCAGGAAACAGGTATTGGCCCCCACTACCCCACAATATGTACAAAATGAGGAAAGAGTGAACACGAGATGTTTCCATTGGGACAAGCGCCCCATGTGGCAGGGAAGTGTAACTGCTTCAGATTTGCTGGGTGCTGAGGGAGCTGTTCACCTAGAGCTGACAGCTAAGCAAGCAGTGCAAACTGTCGTCAGCACTGGGAGGTGGAATAAGTTAAAGGCTATGCAGCAAAATGAAACTAAAGGGGAGAGCTAGAAAGGGGATTTTGAATTTATATTGTCACTTGTTAGAAGTTTAAACAACTTGCTGCATATGGGAAAGATTATAAATTCCTACTAGAGAACCACCAGTGCACGAATCCCTCGAGATTCATCAGACTGTTCCATGTTTCCATGCCTGTGTGCTGAGTGTCTGCCCTCTGGTGGTCAGTGGCCATCATATTGCTTAGGCTTTTATGTATAGACTAGAGGCCCAATGCACAAAATCTGTGCATGGGGGTGGTGGTGGGGGTTCCTCAGCCCAGCCTGTATCCTCTCCACTCTGGGACATCTCTCTCACAATCCAGGACTACTGGCTCCAAACCGCTTGCCTGCCTGCCCGACTGCCCCTAACTGCTTCTGCCTGCTAGCCTGATCACCCCCTAACCACTCCCCTGCCAGCCTGATCATACCTAACTGCCCTTTGCTGGCCTGATTGCCCCTAACTGCCCTCCCTTGCCAGCTGGTCACCCCCCACTGTCATCCCCTGCAGGCCTGGTTCCCCCCAAATACTCTCCCCTCCTGGACTGTTCACCCCCAACTGTCCTCCCCTGCCAGCCCAGTCGCCCCAAACTGCTCTCCCCTGCAGTCCTGGTCCCCCGCAACTGCCCTCCTTTGCTGACCTGGTGACCCCAACTGCCTCCCCTGCTGGTCTGATTGCCCACAACTGCCCTTCCCTGCAGGCCACCTTATGTCCACATGGGGGCAGCCATCTTTGACCACATGGGGGCGACTATTGTGTTGGAGTGACAGTCAATTTACATATTACTCTTAATAGATAGGATTATTCTGGTTTTTTTTTTAAGTATAGTTAGTTGGTGTACAATATTATATGTTATATAGCGATTTAATTTTTTTAATTAAACATTTTTAACTTTATTTTATTGATTTTAGAGATACGAAGGGAGCGATAGAAAAACACTGTTTGGCTGTCCCACTTATTCATGAACTCACTGGTTGCTCCTGTGTGTGCCCTGACTGGGGCCTGAACCTGCACCCTTGGCGTATGGGGACAAAGCTCTAAGCAACTGAGCAACCGGACCAGGGCTGTGATTCAACATTTTATTCCTTACAATGGGAGCACCCCATTAGTTCTAGCGATCACCTGTCACCATGCAAACTTATCACAATATTATTCAATATTTTTCTTCCATAACTGAATTCAGCTGGCATAAAATGACACTTTAGTCCTCATCCACAACAAGTAGCAAAAAAGAAGTTAATTTTTAGTAGCAGTTAGAAGTAACTCACAAGAGTGGCTCTACACCTAACAATGTGACACTGACTGCGTCAGGGTGCTCAGGCTGTGGGAAGCTGTCTCCCCTGTGCGGCGGTACTTACTGGTATCCAACTGGAAACAGCTTGTCCTCACAGTCAGACAGATCGTTGAGAATTCCCAAGCAATCGATTGTCATGGAGCCTGGCCAAGGAGAGAACAGTGATTGGAGGAGATAATGGTACATCTATGTATATAACAGCCTAAGTGACCGTCCGACCATCTGACCAGTAGGTATGATGCACACTGACTACCAGGGGGCTGACGCTCAATGCAGGAGCTGCTGAGCTTGGTGACTTGGCAGCTGCGGTTCTTGGGTGATGCACCCGGAAGCAGAGAGGAGGAAGCTCGGTTCTAGGGTGCATCACCCGAGAGCCGCCTGGCTGCAATCTGGGATCCTTTGGGGGAGATGTTGGTGAGCCAGTTTTAGTCGGATCCCTGCAGGCCAGGCCGAGGGACCCCATCGATGCACAAATCCATGCACCGGGCCTCTAGTATAAAGTAATTTCATAACCAAAGACTAACAAGTCCCCCAATGCTACATCCAGCCTCCCCTACAACCGAGGCTCATGTCCTACCAATCATCATGTGAATATTTTCTGGTTCCAAGCCATTAAGGAACTTCCTCCTCAAGCTGATTCCTTCAAAGTCCACAAACACTCTTCTGAAGACTTCAAATCCATTCTCAGGAACCACCTAAAATGAAACCCAGAGGAGCTGTACGTGGCTGTCCCGTCATAGACTGCTCATGATGCCGCCTCTCAGAGGGACAGGGCACAGCTCTGATCACCAGTCCCACTAGGACTCCTGCATCTCGCTAAGGGGAGCAGGTGCTAGGAACACCGAGGAGAAGGTAAAGCCAAGTTGCATCCTGGCTTGCTATCAGCCACCTCTTTTCCCTGAATTCCCGGAGGATTAAAAGCCAGCGGCAGCTCTCACCTCGCCCTTGATCAGGTCCCGGTGCCGCTGGCAGTACACCTTCTTGTCGTCCAGGAACACGCAGCGCGTGGCCCGCGAGCACATGAAGTGGTAGTTGCTGGTGCAGGAGGTGAGGCAGCAGCCCACGGTGGCACCCGGCTTCTGGCAGAACTCGCATCGCTAGTAAACCAGAACGAACCGGCCCGAGTCAGAGGTTCAAATATCTCACGCCATTTCCCACCTCCCCATTCTAGCGTTTCCTAGATGTAATTTTGCTTATTGATAATCTGCTGGATCACACGGAAGGGATATGAGCCATACAGTCCTCTCCACAAACCTTTCTCTCCCACGGTCCAGGGGGTCCTATAACCAATCAAGTTTAATATTACAATTTGATTTAGAATTTGGACCAAAATAGTTTTTCTTCTAGGATGCAAGATTGGTTTAGAGAAGAGGAAACTTTGAAGATCAAGGCTAAAAACATCATCTTTCTAGAAAGCTATTCTATCCCAAAGAACTCCATTCTAGAAAGAGTATCCGAAATGTAAATGGTGTCCTAGTTACCAGGCTTAACAGACACACCTATCCGTGGCTGACATTCCCTGTCACTAGGCTGTGGCACCACCTTATTCCATCAGTCACCGTCAGGGCCCTTCTCCAGCGAGGGCACTGGTCCTTTTTCGCCTACACTCCCAGGGTCAGCAGAGCCAGCTGCTCTCCGTGGACACCAATACTGGGTCCTTGCTGGCCACCCCGAAAGCATAAGGGAAACAGCAGGAGGCAGCACCCAGCCACAGACAGCACATCTGGAAACAGAGGGAGCCTCTTGGATGGCATTCCCTGCTTCTTACCAGCTGCTTGCCCCGGATCACAGCCATGTGCACGTTCTTCAGGGACCCGTCATCGTCCTCAAACACTTCTGCCGACCACAGAGCGCAATTCACATGCGTCCACTCATTCTGGCCAATGTACAGCAAGCGGCCGGCATCCTGGAAACAAAGAGATTCCTTTTCTCTTTAAAGAATATTATGTCAGCCGGGACCGGTTTGGCTCAATGGATAGAGCGTCGGCTTGGGGACTGAAGGGTCCCGGGTTCGATTCCGGTCAAGGGCATGTACCTTGGTTGCGGGCATATCCCCAGTAGGGGGTGTGCAGGAGGCAGCTGATCGATGATTCTCTCTCATCGATGTTTCTAACTCTCTATCTCTCTCCCTTCCTCTCTGTACAAAAATCAATAAAATATATTAAAAAAAAAAAAAAAAAAGAATATTATGTCAAAGAAAGTTTTCCTTGGTATTTGCTTTACCTCAGTCAAGACAACTTCAATAACCTAATTAAAATTCTTTAAGTGCACACACACACAAAAAAAATCAGACTTCTTTTTCAGCGTTCCCGTTTCACTCCCGTCCTTTCTGATCGCCTCTTCCACAGACGGGAGAATCAGAGAAAAAGCAGACTGTGTGCCAGACCTTACACATCCCCTCCTCGGTCCTCAGAACCATTCTGAGGTAAGATTCTTCTGCTGCTCACTTCAAAGATGAAGTGGAGGGCCAGCAGCACAGAAACGGACCATAGCCATTCTGCTCCACTGCATCAACCCGCTAGCTAGCGCCAGCCTGTTTTGTCTTCTGGACAGAAAGTATAGTGTCCGTCACCGGTGACGGACTGGGCGCTTAGCATGTTAAATACAAATTATTTAATGTGCAACTTGGATTTTATTGACTTTCAAAAAATCTTTTTGAGAAGGTAGAAGTTACTAGACATCAGCAGGTTAAGTTAAGGCAAATCATCTTTTAAATATAGAAATAACCCTGAGTTCCACAACATCCAGGCATCAAGCTTAGACACAAAGGTCACACAGCTCACTCTGAGCACCCAGCAGGTGGGACCCCGGCCGAGTACTTACATTGGCACCGTCATCGCCGTAAGTCAGACATAACGCGCACTGTCTGTTGTCTTCTATGCCTGGGGGTGGGTTCAGTTCTGGACTATCTTCTCGACTCCTATCAGTACCTTGGAGCCCAAAGACACCCAATTAAAACTGGTGACTCTAATTTCGATTTCCAGGAAAAAGAAAACAATTCGGCTCAAACAGCTCATAACCTATAAAATGAACACTTTCAAAAAGTGTGCCAAGTTATGCTGTCCCGCCACTTACTAGAGTATTTCTATAAATTCCTTGTTAACATTCCAAGTGAAGCACAAAGAATCATTTTATTACATTTAAGGATCACCTGAAAGTTTCTAACGCGCAAGGATATCAAATTTAGATCGCCAGCCAACCCCGGGCATCCTTACTCAGAGCGGGCGGCGTGGGGGGATGCGGGGGCGTGGGCGAGTCTGGCTCTCCGGGCCCTTTGGGTTTGGGAGCCGGAATGATCTTCTTCATTAGCGGAGGCTGCTCAGTGCGGCCGCTGTCCTCTCGCTCCTGCCACTGAGCATAGTTATGGTCAAGTGAAGGCGGAAGCACTGCGTTGGGTAGCATCCCGCTGCTGGAAACAATCGATCGACAGACTTACTGACCCCATAGCGACCGAACTACACACAGTGACATCTTCGGCTCACCGGGGCTTGGCCTGGGCACGGCCAGTCCCAGACGTGAGCACAACCACAACCTGTAAACCGCCTCAGCACACGGGACTTGGTGTTACTTTAAAAGTGTAATCTCAATGTAGGACTCCTGATGAAACTTCCAGAAGCAAGTGATCACTTTCTCAGACTCAAAAGGATTCACCTGAATAAAAACTTAAGAATAAATATAGGGACTCGAGGTAGAGAGCACCATTTGAAATGAATAAAATAGGACCCAATTCTAACAACAGACTATAAATACACTGCTGTCTCTAAGCCAGCACTCAAAGAGCATTTCAACTGATTAAGTTTTTAATATTAAAGCCTACTCTTGAGAAACCTCAATCTAGAAATATAGCATAGGAGAAAAAAAAAATTTACTTACTTGCTTGATACTTTATTTGGTTCCCAAAATCTGGACTTTTTGACACTGAACCATGGAAAAACACGTTCCATTTGCTAACAGAAAAACAAACAAACAAACAAACAAACAGCATGTAAACCGGTGAACATTCATGTGGAAACCATATAAAATCCACATCACACAAGCGCCTGCAGATGCGAGGGAAAGACCATCCACTCCAAGGTCCCCCCCAAAGCCCCCAGGAGTCAGAGGAGTGAATACAACCAGATGCTGTATGTGGAGAGCAGAGCACAAGGCAGAAGAGACAAGATCCGGCCGAAGCCGGTTTGGCTCAGTGGAAGAGCATCGGTCTGTGGACTGAAAGGTCCCAGGTCCGATTCCGGTCAAGGTCATGTACATTGGTTGGGGGCACATCCCCGGTAGGGGGTGTGGAAGAGGCAGCTGGCCGATGTTTCTCTCTCATTGACGTTTCTAGCTCTCTACCTCTCTCTCTTCCTCTCTGTTAAAAATCAATAAAATATTAAAAAAAAAAAAAAAAAAAAAAAAAAAGGAAGAAGAAAAAAAGAAGAAGAGACAAGATCTGTTCTGTTCAGGGGCGGCGGGGGGTGGGGGTGGGGGGTCCCTGCAGACAGGCATTAAGAAGGTGGCTATTAACGTGTATTAATGTGGTTCACCCGAATGAAGAAGGACTTGACCATGCTGTTGGCTTTCTTAAGCTCCGGCTGCCCTCCATCTGCATTAATGGCCGCCTGGATGATCTTCACGATGTCATCACTGAACTCCAACTGCGGACAAAAGCGAAGTAGTCACTACTCATGACATGGTGCTTTCCGAACCACCTCCTTTCCCTCCTGACCACCCAGCAGAGGGCCCACAGGAAGCTAATGTCTTAGTTTCATACAGTGCAGTTTCTATTAATGTTTCATTAAAATTTACTTCTATTGATTCCAGAGAGGAAGGGAGAGAAATAGAGACAGAGACAGAGACAGAGACAGAGAGAGAGAGAGAGAGAGAAAACGAACATCAATGGCGAGTGAGAGAGAGAATCACGGATCAGCTGCCTCCTGCACGTCCCTTACTGGGGATTGCCCGCAACCTGCGCGTGTGCTCTGATTGGGATCAAACGTGGGACCCTTCAGTCCATGGGCTGATGCTCTATCCCCTGAGCCACACCAGCTAGGGCCAGTGTGATTTCTCTTTAGAGGAGGCATTTGAGATTCAGTTCACAATTAACTTGTGGAAGTCAAGAGATGCAAGGCTAGTAAAGCAAGAATGCAAACAAATTAGTTGTATCACGGTAAGTTACTCAAGCAGGGCTATGATATTTTATTAAGATTAAAATTAATAACTGAAGAGCAAATATGGACCATGAGTTAACAATCGTTTCCTACATAGTTTGAAAACCATAAAATTAAAATGCATCTACCTACAAATGAATACCTTATACAGAAAGATAAAGCTCAGATGTTATCTCAAAAAGTTCAAGCCATATCTCTCTCCCCCCCAATTTATTATTTTTTTTGGAGGCAACCAAAATTTTGGGTGGCCTTAAAAAAAAAAAGGTCAAGCCAATTAACTTCACACTGTTATTTTTTCCATAAAGTTTTTAAAAAATATATTTGTACTGGTTTTAGAGGGAAAGAGAAAGGGAGAGAGAGAAGCGGGGGAAAGGGGGTGATGAAGAGGGGGTGGAGAGAAACATTGATGACAGAGAACCACTGATTAGCTGCCCCCTGCACACCTTCCACTAGGGATCAAGTCTGTGCTCTGGGCGGCACTGCCCTGACTGGGAATAGACCCAGCGACCTTTCAGTGCATGGGACGATGCTCAAGCAACTGAGCCACACCAGGGCCATAAACAGTATTAATATAAAAAGACTTCAATATGAAAGTAATTTTCAGAGAACTCAGATGAAAGCCAAATAAAAAAAAAAAGAACCTCTTAAGACACTAACCTTCTGAAACGAAGAGCTAAAGCCACCCACCTACTTTTAGGTATTTAAGGCCACATGACATTTCTAAACACAATACAAATCATCCTTTAATGCTTATCCCCAGCTCCATCTTCCACAAAGAGCCGGGAAACTCCACCGGCCTGGGAACGCTGGTGGTTCGCCGCAGACATACCACAGACGTGTAGTTCCCTTGGTCCATCTTCTTCTTGACCCCTTCCAGATCCACAGGCTGCGGCTCCTCCTGCTTGCTGACCTCGGTGAGCACGGGCGGGTCCGGGCCCTCCGGGGAGCTGCGGGAAGGTATGCTCTCCTCCGTCTCGGGGTTTAAGTCTGGGGGCTTGGCAGCCTGTGTCCAGAAAGGCAGGCTTCACTTATCTGACACCGAATAGGCATCTAGGCAAATGCTATTAAAGTTAATACAGATGGGACTGAGTGATTCATACTACAAAACTGAAAGAACACGGAAATAAGAGATTTCTCCAATTATAGAAAAGGAAAAGTTAAAATGAGCCAGCTATCTTGGCTAATTTAAGATTTTGCTTGGTAAATTCCAAGCCTAGCATGAAGAAATAGAAACTGCCCGGCCAGTGTGGCTCAGAGGTTGAGTGTTGACCTATAAACCAGGAGGTCAGAGGTTCAATTCCTGGTCAGAGCACATGTTCAGGCTGTGGGCTTGATCCTCAGTAGAGGCCGTACAAGAAAAAGCCGATTAACGATTCTTTCTCATCACTGATGTTTCTCTCTCTTCCCCTCTCTTCCTCCTAAAATCAATAAAAATATATTTAAAAAAACCCTCCACAAACTGTCCAGTTGCTTTTAAGTAAGACATAAATGGCAGCTAATTTTCTTTCATTTATTTATTTATTTGTTAATTAAATTATTTTATTGAGTTTTTTACAGCGAGGAAGAGGGGGGGATAGAGAGTTAGAAAGATCGATGAGAGAGAATCATTTGCCCCTTGCACACTCCCCACTGGGTACATGCTCTTGACCAGAATCGAACCTGGAACCTTTCAGTCTGCAGACCGAAGCTCTATCCACTGAGCCAAACCGGTTTCGGCTAATTTTCTTTTTAAATATACATTTTTTTGTTAATCCTCACCTGGAGATATTTTTCCATTGATTTTTAGAGTAGAAGAGACAGAGAGACACATTGATGTGAGACAGATACATTGACTGGCTGCCTCCCACGCAAGCCCCAACCAGAGCCAAACCTGCAACCGAGGTGCACGCCCTTATCCACATCGAACTTGGACCAACAGTCTGAGGGCCAACACTACCCACTGAGCCAAACCAGCTAGGGCACAGCTAACCTCCTATTTAAAAAAACTAAGCTCTCTTAAAGAGAAAGCAGCAGCCTAGCTCTGTGTTAACATTACCCACGTGGTTCTGTCAACCAATCACTCCTGGGTTCCTGATGACTAGTAGAGACGCAGTCCACAGCTTGTGCGGCTCCGTAGCAGCAGTTTTCAAACTGTACCCTGAGGAGCCCCAGGGGTTCCCCAGTGCTACGCCGTCTCTGGCCCTTCCCACCTGAGGAGGCACTGTGCTCTCGCTCACCTCAGTGACAGGCTGTCTCTGAACCCTGTTCTGCTGAGGCTCAGGCGTCTCCAACCCTTCCCCTCTCTCCAATCAGAAACATGCTTTTTCTAAAAAGCAACTCTGATCAGGCTACTCTTTTTATTTTTAATCCGCAGCATAGGATATGTATTTTTATTGATTTCAGAGGGAGAAAACCAGAGGAAGAGGGAGGGAGGGGCAGAGGGAGGAATGGGGAGGGAAAAAGAAACCATGAGAGGGAAAGAGAGAGAAACACTAATCGGCTGCCTCCTGAACTTGCCTCAACTGGGGATCAAATCTGCAACCTGGGCATGTGCCCTGACTGGGTATCGAACCTACCACCTTTTGGTGTGTGGGATGCTGCTCCATGGCCACCCGGCCAGGCTAGGTTCCTCTTTTGGGTGAAGGCCTTCACTGACTCCTCACAGCCTTTAGAGTATACTAGTAAAGTCCAAACTTCTTATAACAGTAAGGCCTTTGAAATATGCCTCCTTCCTATTTCTTATCCCAAAGAAGGACCCATTCTTCTTCTTTTTCAAAAGTTTTTATTTATTTCAGAGAGAGGAAGGGAGAGGGAGAGAATGATAGAAACATCAGTGATGAGAATCATCAATTGGCTGCCTCCTGCATGCTTCTCACTGAGAACAGCGCCCGAAACCCTAGCATGTGCCCTGACCGGGAATCAAACGGTGACCTCCTGCTTCATGGGTTGGGGCTCAGCTACCGAGCAACGCTGATTGGGCTAGAAGGTTTTATTCTTGGCTCAAAAAATGTTTTAATGGCCGAAGCCGGCTTGACTCAGTGGTAGAGCATCGGTCTGCAGACTGAAAGGTCCCAGGTTCGATTCCGGTCAAGGGCATGTAACTTGGTTGCGGGCATATCCCCAGTGGGGGGTGTGCAAGAGGCAGCTGGTCGATGTTTCTCTCTCATCGACGTTTCTAGCCCTCTATCTCTCTTCCTTTCTCTCTGTTAAAAGTCAATAAAATATATTTAAAAAAAAAATGTTTTAATGATTTTAAGGTTAAAACAAGTCACCTACATGACTAAGTGAAGCAAAACTAAATGAAGCAAAATTTAAAAAAAAGAAAAAAGAAAAAAAGAAAAAACACCCACCCAACCAAAAACCATTCTGGAAGTAAAAACCACTGAAGGATAAACTCTGAGAACCCAAAGGAGACGGGGCCTACCTGTCGGTAGCGTAGCAAGTGGCTGGTGGTCCGAGAATTCAGCAAGGCCGTCAGCACCTGCTTGAGGGAGGCCTGCAGCGCCGTGGCCAGGGCCAGCCGCCACTCTGCAGGGTGCCGCACGGTGCAGTTCACACACGTATAGGCCACACTTTCCGGCAGATTCGACAGGATCTCATACATCTCATCTAGGAAAGCAAAAACCTACAATCATAAGGTGCTTTGAAGAGCGGGAGAGGGAAGACTACACCACTGAGCTTCAGAGAAAGCCGTCTTACCGAAACAGCACTGAGACTAACATCCCCTGGGAGCTCGCACCTATGGATCTTCCAGGAGACGTTAATACTAGTCCGGACTTTGGTTATTGGGGGATCAATAGGTCATGGTACCCGCAAAGGACAGCAAGTAGGTATTTCAGAGGGACATGTTCAAGATAAATGGGCACAAACTTCACACTATGTTGTTGATTCTAAAGACAAGTTAATTATAAAAAATTCACGTAACACTGCCACAGTTTTTACATTGGGAGGACTGAGGGGCTTGTCAGGGTAGCTATCAGAAAAGAAAATGGTAATAAAAAGACTCCAACCTTCTGTACCTGAAAGATTCTCACATTTGGAATGGACCCAGCGATCACACTTCCCACACTGCATCATCTTACTCTCATAGTCGTCATCGTCATAACACTTATCACAGAGCGGGCAGAAGTTTCCTGAAAGCAAAGCAACGTGCTCAGCTAAGTGCTTTGGTTCCCACACCACTGAACCCCCGGCCTGGACTTCTGTATGTGAACCTGATCTAACATGCAGGAACAGCTGGCTGGCACGCTTCAGTGATGGAGTGTCAACCTATGAACCGGGAGGTGGCAGTTTGATACCGGTCAGGGCACATGCCCAGGTTGCCGGCTCCATCCCCCGTAGGGGGCGTGCAGCAGGCAGACAATCAATGATTCTCTCATCATTGATGTTTCTATCTCTCTCCTGCTCCCTTCCTCTCTGAAGTCAATAAAAATGTATTTTTAAAATAAAATAAACAAATAAAATGCAGAAGCTACTTAACACATGTCAGCACGGCCCTGCCAGGGAATGCGCACACACCTGGAAAGCAGCGGGATCACTCTGGGCTCTTGAACAGGCTGCTCGCTCGCTCTCCAGGCTCATGATTAAAGGCCCCGAGACAGATTTAAGATAACATAACAGAAAAAGCATGGAAGAGAGAACTTTCTCTTAAACGTTCCAAAGAAATGTTTAAATCTTACAAAGAGATGAGGGGATGAGAATAAAGAACAGTTAATTTACACTTTTCTTTATTCTCACTGCTTTTATAGAATGCTTCTAAATTCCAGCACAATGAAGTACCTCCGCATATCTCCTATTTTTTACTGAATAGACTTAGCACTGATTTGCCTATTTTAAATAGCTTCAAAGAGTGAGTGACCTTTTACATCATATTTATTCTAAGTGAATAAAATGATGAGTTCAATGAATTACTTAGATATGTTTTTTCTAGCATTAACTATTTTTAAAAATATGTTTTCATTGATTTTAGAGAGGAAGGGGGAGGGAGAGAGAAATGGAAACATCAATGATGAGAGAATCACTGATAGGCCGCCTCCTATACGCCCCTCACTGGGGATTGAGGGCACAACCCGGGCATGTGCCTTGATGGGAAATCAAACCATAACTTCCTGGTTCAACCACTGAGCCACGCTGGCTGGTCTCCGGTGTAACTATTGAGGGAAAATGTTTGAATATTTGAAATGACATCAGAGGAGTGGCAGCATGACAGCTCACCCAGTCCTCTCCCCTGAACTTTCACAAGCTAACCAAGTCTAACTCAACAAAGAAAGCCCTGCTCAGTGCAGAGGCACACTGAGTCCTGCCCGGAAGCCCGCAGGTGGGCCACCGGGAACAAACCCGGGACGAGCAGGGAGGGAAGCACAGACGGCCCCGCGATGCGGCCCTGCAGCTGGGGGCTTCCTTCCGAGTGGCATGGGAGCAACCGGTCTGAGCCAGCAAATGCCTGACAGACGCGGGTTCTCCGTGCAGCTCTCTGCTGCTGCTGGTGTTTCAGACAAAAAGCCCCCTCGGGATCACAGAGCCCGCTGCCGCGTGGACTCCCCAGACGAGACCCTTGGGCCCTTGGGCCAGGAGACTGTCTGTATCCTAGAGCTATCACAGAACTGACGTCTCCCTCTGTGACTATCCCAGGAGGGCGCTTGGGGCGGGACCCAGAGGTGGAGGCCAAGGATTGCAGTTACGGTGAGGGCAAACATACCCACTCCCAAGCAGCAGGCTGTACTGTGTTAAGGAAGCGATAGAGATTCAAGATTGGGAGATCACAGAGCTAAAACATCTGGCAATTCAGAGACATGTAAACAAATGAAACTAGATTAATTTGTCTCCATGTACAAAAATTAATTCAAAATGGCCGAAACCGGTTTGGCTCAGTGGTAGAGTGTCGATCTGCGGACTGAGAGGCCCCAGGTTCGAGTCCGTCAGGGGCATGTACGCTGGTTGCGGGCACATCCCTGGTGGGGGGTGTGCAAGAGGCAACTGGTCGGTGTTTCTCTCTCATTGATGTTTCTAGCTCTCTGTCTCTCTCTCTTCCTCTCTGTAAAAAAATCATTAAAAAAGAAAAGAAAAAAAAATTCAAAATGGATCAAAGACCTAAATATAAGACCCAAAACAATAAGCTACGTAGAAGAAAATATAGGCACTAAACTTAAGGATCTTGGTCACAGAGAATATTTTATGAACTTGACCTTAAAGGGAGATAAAGGCAAAAATAAATGAATGGGATTACATCAAACTAAAAAGCCTCTCCACAGCAAAAGAAACTGACAATAAAACAGAGGCAGCCAACCTGATGGGAGATATTTGCAAACAGTAGTTCCTACAAAGGTTTAATCTCCAAAATATATACAGAACTCATGAAGTCAATAGCAAACAAATAATCCAATCAAACAGTGGGCAGAGGACCTGAAAACACACTCCTCCCGAGAAGACAAACAGCCAATAGACACATGAAAAGGTGTTCCACCTCACTGGCAGTTAGGGAAATGCAGATCAAAACTACAGTGAAAAAAAAAAAAGAAAAAAAAAAAAAAACTACAGTGAGATGCCACCTCACACCTGTAGAGGGGCCATAATCAACCAGACAAGCAACGAGTGTTGGAGAGGCTGTGGGAAAAAGGGAGCCCTCATTCTCTGCTGGTGGGAATGCAGACCTGTGCAGCCACAATGGAAAGCAGTCCGGTGATTCCTCAAAAAATTAACCCTTTGCACTCCGAACCATTCTGGACATTGGCTATCAGCTACTTGACGCTACTTTGCGGCGGACACGTGCGTTGAATTAATTCAATTCCCCGTAATCACTAGTAAACTGCAATGTCCCCCCTGAGAGGGGACATCCGAGTGATATGCTAGAATTCTGATGTCCCCTGAGAGGGGACAGCGGAGTGCAAAGGGTTAAGAACTGAGGGACCCAGCAATCCCTCTCCTGGGTATGTACCCGAAAACTCAAATCATGTGTTCACAATGAACATGCCCGTGTTCACGGCAGCACTGCTCACGGTGGCCAGGAAGCAGCCGAAGTGCCCTCAGAAGAGGACTGGCTAAAGACGACGTGGTCCTCAGTGGAATACCGCTCAGCCACGAGAAAGGGGGAGACAGCGCCATCTGCACCAGCACGGATGGCCCTGAGAGCGTGATGCTAAGTGAAATGTCAGAAAAAGCTAAGAACCATATGATTTTTCACTCTATATGGGATATAAAACTGAAACCCGTGAACACAAACTGCAGTGTGGTGATTGCCGGGGAGAAGGGGGTGGAGGAGAAGGGGAACCTAATACGTGGTGACAGAGGATGTGACTCTGGGTGGCGGGCACACAGTGCATAAGACAGAATATGCCACAAAGAAGCCCACACCTGACACCTGTGTGTTCATGTGGACCAATGGCCCCCCAATCATCTTAACAAGTTAACTAAACATAAAAGAAAATCAGGTGAAATGGTTGCCTCAATACCACATAAAATAATTTCTGAAACAATCAAATATCTATGTACCTCACTTTGAGAAATACTGGCTCAGAGAACTTCTTTGTGGTTAGTTAACTCTTATAAAAAATAAAACTACTTAATTCTTCTCATAACCTAATAAAGCATGCCTAGTGGCTATAATTCTGTATAAAAGAAAGCAAGACTAGAAACTTAGCAAATGTGTCTAAATGGAAACCTTACAAAGACGTGTAAGACATTTATCTTATTCCACGTGAGTGTTCAGTTCACCTCCAAACACCAAGAACAACATCTAAAATGCGACAAAACCCTCTGGGCGGCACCTTTAGCAAAGAGTTTGGCACAGTCGTGGCACAGTGAGAAGTCGTGGGACCACTGCGCGTCCCAGCCTTTGCCTGGGGTGGTGGATCCACAGCTCTTGCAGCGCACACACTTGGTGCAGATCTGGAAGGAAGGAAACAAACGCAGTCGAGTTTCTTCTCTGTAGTGTCTCCTCTGATTTAAAAAGGTCACAAATATCTAGAGTTGACTTGTCTCCTGGGATGGCTTTTTCTAATAACAAGGCCAAAGTAACTGTCACCCTGACATCTTCAAGCAAGGACACTGCTAAGGTGAGCCCCCAGCCCAGCTGCATGACAGTCCTGGAACATGCGGTGGCGCACTCACCCAGACTTTCTTTTTCTTGGTAGGTTTGGTGGGGTAGTTAGGTCCTAGGCACTCGGGGTGATAGCTGTTTCGGCACTTATTACATTCCAGCAGCTGCTGTAAGACAGACACGAAGGCACAGCATGGGCATCGCCTCCCCTCGGCGAACAGCGTCGCTGCACACCTCACTTCCTGCTTCTCTTCAGTAAGCACAGCACAGCCGCCCAGCGGCACATTTCCTCACAAATTACGTACTCCCCATTAAAACCCACGAAATTACTTCCTGCCAAAGGCACCCAGGGGTGAGTCTGCTTATCAGGTAGACTCGACTTATTTGGGGGATTTTATCCAATGCCACGTCTTGTGCAATATCCCCAAAATTAAAACACAGAAATAGGCAACTGATTATATCCAATCAAATAGTCAAACAGCCTAAGTCAAGAGAAAAAACAGATGCAAACTCCTAAAGGCAAAGGCAGGAATGAAGAAAGTCATCCTCCAAGCAGTTCTATTGCTTAGCCGTGTACCTTTGTGGCTTGGTGCTGCCTTCCACAAACGTGACAGAACTTGCAGCGACGGCAACACCAGTTTTCCAGCTGGTCCTCCAGGGGGCGCTCGTTCTCCTCTAAACAGAACCTGTGGAAGGGCTCACAGCAGACTTGGCAATACACAAACTGGGGAAAGATGAAGAAAAAGTCACGGAATAGTATGCAGATATACCAGCCAAATCCTACACACATCCTTTGGGAGTTAGGAATATAGTGCTCTCTATATTTTATTCAGTATATAGTCAGTATGCAATGAGTATATTTTTTCTTTTTTCAACAGCACAATACAGGGCATTGCAGAAGATTCAGGGAACTAATGTGGGAGTAATAAAATTATAAAGTAACAAAATAAACACAACCCAAGATTTCACATGATGTGCTAAGTGACATAAGATAGCTATAAACAAAGAGCTATGGGGATGTAAAGAAACGGGGTAGGGGAAAACAGGGAGGATTTTAAAGATTTTATACAATATTCTAAACAGTTGTAAGCTCTGGTTTATCCTTTCCATGTCTAATTTTAGAAATAAATTATTTTCATAACGGTATTTTTAAAAATTCCAATGAGAGTGACCCAGAATGTTTTTTCTTTTTTAAAAATATATTTGTATTAATTTTATTGATTTCAGAGAGGAAGGCAGGAGAGAGAGATAGAAATATCAGTGATGAGAGAGAATCATTGATCGGCTGCCTCCTGCATGTCCCACACTGGGGATTGAGCCCACAACCCAGGCATGTGCCCTGACCAGGAATCGAACTATGACATCCTGATTCATAGGTTGATGCTCAACCATTGAGTCTTGCCGGCTGGACCAGAATTTTCTTTTGCCTAAAATAATTACTGGGACAACTGGTCAAACCTAAATAAGGTCCATAGATTAGCTAATAATAATGTACTAATGTTATTTCCTGCTTTTCTTTTTTTAATAAATATTTTATTGATTTCAAAGAGGGAGGGGGAGAGAGATATAGAAACTTCAATGATGAGAGAGAATCACTGATTGGCTGGGGATTGAGCCCGCAACCCGGGCACGTGTTCTGATCAGGAATTGAACCGTGAGCTCTTGGTTCATAAGACACCAGACAGGCCTTATTTCTGATTTTGATAATTAGAGGTAAAATTGCACATGTCTGGAACGTGCTCTCAATTTTTTAGGAAAAATATGTCTACGTATATAAAAATGTGTGTATATTTTATTTCTTATTTTGTAAAATATAAATACAAAGAAAAAAAGTAAATGAAAACTATTATTGTTTGGGGACTCCAGGTGAAGGGGAGATGGGGGCTCTTTGTGCTACCCCTGTAACATTTCTGAAAATCTGAAATCATGTCAACATAAACCCCTTTTACAACGTGCTGGTGGGAGACCCGCAGGCCCTGGTTGTCCTGTCGGAGGCAGAGGGCGCGCGCATCCGTCCTCCAGTCTGGCTTTAGGATTCTGTGGGGACTGTGCACAGCCGGGCCATTTAAATGAGAGCAACCACACTTTGGACAAACTGTTTTATCCCAGAAGCTGAAGTCCTGGTGCATAGGTGCTTCCTCTGTGGGTGGCATGTGTGTGAATACAAAGCACTCGATTAAGTAGGAAAAGAAGGACAGTGCCCCCTGGCACTTGCAGGCTGGATGTTCTCAGTTTCAATGTCATCTAAAGCAGCCCTAGCATAAACAATACTGAAGGAAACCCTTCGGTTCATGATGTGTATAGAGATACACTGAGTGGCCAGATTATTATGATCTCTGAACGCATAATGATCTGGCCACTCAGTATATATCCTATATAATAAAAGGCTAATATGCAAATTGTTCCCTTGACCAGGAGTTCAAACAGCAGGCAGGCCGGCTAACCGCCCATGTCCCTCCCCGTGGCCAGGCTGGCCGGACCCCACCCTTGCACAAATTCATGCACCAGGTCTCTAATACACACACACACACACACACACACACACACACACACACAGAGTGGCCAGATTATTATACGTTCAGAGATTATAATAATCTGGCCACTCAGTGTATATGGAAAGGTTTGTTTTTATATGTATTGTATCAATACATACACATATACGTGTATATACATTTACACATTTCCCCATTTATCCAGTTACATTCATGAGATAAATGCCTACAGCACAACTGCTGGCTTAGAGGGTATACCCATCTAAAACGGAGTACATACTTCCAAAGAGCCCTCAGAAAGAAAGACTGTGACTGATTTAGCTCCACCGGAGAGAGTGCCCATTCTCACATTCCTTTTTATATCATGTGGTTCCCCCTTTATATCATGCTTTCACTCCCATCAAAAGGCTCACCACCTCCGCCCACACTGTTTTATTTCCCATTTCATGCGTTTTATATTCCTGTCCTTAAACCTCTTTCTTACTGGGTGGTACTCCTTTTCCTTACTAATTGTTAAAAAGCTCTTCAGAGACAGGGGTTTGAATATTCAATATTAAACCATCAAAAGTGTCTCTTTTCCTAGAGGAACTCGTATTATTTTTCTCCCTGTTTAAGCATCTAGCAGAAAAACCAGGCCTCAGTAAAGAGTTCACTTTTCTCACTCAATACACCTTGTGGCCCTACTATGAAGCAGATGGCTTCCTAAAATCTCTAAAACATTTCAAAGGTATTTCATAAGCTGGTTTAGTTATTTTTTAATCTCCACCCGAGAATTTTCCCATTGATTTTTAGAGAGAGTGGAAGAGAGCAGGAAAGAGAGAAACATCGATGTGATAGAAACACACTGATTGGTTGCCTCCTGCATGTGCCCCAACCAGGGCCCTGAGCCAGGGAGGAGCCTGCAACTGAATCAAACGTGACCTGGCCCAGAATCAAACCCAGGATATGGTCTGCAGGCCAGCGCTCTATCACTGCGTCAAACCAGAGGGTGCACAGTACCTGCTGCCTGCTAACAAAACAGAATACTAGATACTAAAAGCCAGCAACCATAACAGCATAACGACCAGAATGACCGATCAACCAGTCACTATGAGGGACACTGACACCATCAGTCCCTCCCCGCAGCGCGCATGCTCTGATAGCTGGGTGGCCAACGGGGAACCAGGATGGGTGACAGCAGGGCAGGACTGGGGACTGGCAAGCAGGCGGAAGGCAGACCTTTCGGTCCCCCCCCCCCCCGGCCCACAGGCTCCAATCGCTGAATGGTGAATGGGGAACCACAGGGAACTGGGGTGGGCAGCGGCAGGGAGGGACTGGGGACTAGTGAGCAGGTGCAAGATGGCCAATCGTAGGTTAGGCCTAGGGACCCCACTCTGCACAATTTCGTGCATTGGGCCTCTAGTACAATGATATTTTCATCAATGAAAACTAATCTACATTACCCTTGCTAGGGCACCAAAAGGCAGTCTCTCACCTCCACGTGCCCACTGCTGGCACAGAGGAAGCACACCACCCTGGGCGTGATGGGGAGGGAGGTCAGGATGCCCAAGCCGCCCATCTCCCACACGTTCTCGGCTTCACAATCCTCCTGTGGAGAGAAAAACCATGTATGAAAGTTTTACATGACACAGCAACACCAAGCATATCTCCTTTAATGAGTTCAAAAACAACTGCTGCTTTAAAAACATTTACTATCGGATACTAGTACAACTGTTAAAATGGTCACCTCTTTATAGGTTTAATTCACGCTAACTACAATGCAAAGTAACACTGGGACTGAATTCCTGTTAGTTTTACTGATCCAAGTTATTGTCATCCTTTGATAATTCCCTTGGGAAAGGATGATTTCCTCAGACACTATATTGATGTAAATGTACTTTATTACTCACACGAACCCTCTGCTGATGGTAGTTCATGTTCATTTCCCCGCTCTGTGCTGAATTTCCTTGCTTTCAGCACCTCTGCTAACATTATTATCTTGATTGAGTCAAGGACACTGGCTTCTGATGAAGGTCCCATAGCCATGTGTGGTGGTTACAAATCGGGAGGGGATCTTGGCTGCGAGGGGAGTCCCAGCCCCACAGGAGGCACCCAGCCCAGGGTTCGGGGCTGCAAAGAGGTCCCCATGACTTATGCTCCAGCTCATTTCCCTCTGAGTACCATATCTGAGTCTCAATCATCTTGGCTAACAAGTTTGCCTGCCCCAGTGACTCCGAGACCCTTACCCATCCAACGTGCAGGCCCACCTAAGATGATCCCAGTGGCTTTTCCATACAAATGGCCTGCCCTTGCTCATGCTGCAGACTTTCCTAAAATCTCTCAAAGGGTCCACAAACCCCAAACAAGCAGCATCTAGCCTCAGCAGGCCCCATACTTGCTGCTAAGCAGCCCCAACCCCAGCAACAGTAGCAACTGAACTCAGTTTTCAGTTTAGCCTTCTCCCAGGCACCTCCACGCCAGACACAGGTAGCAGCCACTGCAGATCATCTTGTAGCTCATGCCAGATGACTCCAAGGCAGCAGCTGACCTTGGCTAGCTCCTCCCTGGAGACCCAACACCAGCACATCCAGGAACCACCTCAGACCACATAGACCTCAGACCACCCAACCATCACTACACTCAGGGATAGGCTGGGCAGGCACCAGAGCCCTGCTGAAGGGAGTCCTGTTCCGTGAGGTGGGCGACTGCACAGCAGCTCCTCCGCTGTGGTCTCTGCAGCCCTACTGGTCAATCAGCATGGGGTACCTCCCTCCCACTGAGGTACCGACAGCAACCCAGGCTCAACTACAGCAGGCGGTGCACACAGCCCACACTGGGGGCACAGCCGGATGCCTGGCTCTGGTGACCAGGGAGGCAGCCCCACCAGGACACCTACCACATTAGGCTGTACTACCAAGACCAGGAGACGCAGCAGCTCTACCTAATCCATAGCAACAAGGCGGGAGGCTGCCAAAGTGAGAAAACAAAGAAGCATGTCCCAAGTGAAAGAACAGAAAACTCCAGGTAAAGAACTAAACAAATGGAGGCAAGGAATCTACCAGATGCAGAGTTCAGAACACTGGTTATAAGGGTGCTCCATGAACTTAGGGGAGGAGTAGAGGAACTCAGTGAGAAACAAAGAGACAGGAGACAGTAAATGTGAATGAGATAGAAAACATAAAAAAAAATACCACACAGCAAGAAATGTAGGATACACTGACTGAAATGAAGAATACATTACAGGAAACCAATGGTACTAGTGGAGTAGATGAGGCAAAGAATCAAATCAGAGGTTTGGAAGATAAGGAAGCAGAAAACACCCAATCAGAACAGCAACAAGGACAAGAAAAATGCCCCCAAATGCAGACAGTGTAAGGAGCCTCTGGGACAACTTCAAGTGCAGCAACGTTTGCACCACAGAGGCACCAGAAGAAGACAGAGAACAAGGAATTGAAAAGCTATTGGGAAAATGACAGAAATTGGGCAACATCTGTAACACTGTAACAATAAAAAAGAAAAAATTGACAGAAAACTTTCCTAACCTGGTGAAGGAAACAGACATAAAGTCCCAGAGGCACAGAGAGTCTCAAATTAGTTTAATGCAATGAGGCCCACACCAAGACACATCGTAATTAAAATGACAAAGGTTAAAGACAAAGACAGAATCTTAAAAGCAGCCAGAGAAAAGCAGTTACCTACAAGGAGCGCCCATATGACTGTCAGCTGATTTCTCAACAGAAACTTCATAGGCCAGAAGGGAGTGATAAGAAACATTCAAAGTGATGAAAAGCAAGAACCCCTCAACCAAGATTACTCTCTACAGCAAAGCAGAATTGAAGGATAGAAAAAGAACTTTCCAGAAAAGAAAAAGCTAAAGGAGTTCACCACCACGAATTAGTATTATAGGAAATGTTAAAAGGTCTTCTTTAAGAAGAAGAAGAAAAAGATCAGAATTTGAATAATAAAATGGCAATAACTATGTATCTATCAACAATAACTTTAAATACCAAGGGCTTAAATGCTCCAATCAAAAGACACAAGGAAGCTGAATGGATAAGACGCTGACATATGCTGTCAAAACAAGACTCCTGTCAGATGGAAAGACACAGAGAAAATAAAGCAATAAAAAAAGAAATTTCATGAAAATGGAGCAAACAAAAAAAGCTAAGCTAGCAATACTTATACCAGACAAAACAGACTTTAAAACAAAGATTGTAACAAGACACAAAGGATTCAACAATTCCTATTCTGGGTATTTTTCTGAAAAAACACAAAAACTAAATAAAAAAGACATTCATCCATGTTCACGGTGGCATTATTTACAATAGCCAAAGTGTGGAAGCAACTTAAGTGCCATCAACAGACAAATGGATAAAGAAGTGGGGCATTACCCAGTGAAACACGACTCAGCCATAAAAAGAAATAAAATCTTGCTAATTACAACAACATGGATGGACCCAGAGGGTATTGTGCTGAGTGAAATAAGTCACAGCCAAATGCCAGATGCTCTCACTTGTATGTGGAGTCAAGGAACAAAGTACACAAACAAAACGGAACAGACTCCTAGATACAGAGAATATTTTGATGGTTGCCAGAGAAGGGGGTTAAGGGAATAAGTAAAAAAAAAAAAAAAAGTGAAGGGATGAAGAAGCACAAACTGGTAGTTACAAAATTGGCATAGGAATATTGGAATAACTATATGGTGCCAGATGGGTACTAGATAATTTTCTAATCACATGGTAGTACACCTGAAGCTAACATAATATTGAAAGTCAACTGTAAATGAAACATAAAAAATTTATTTTAAAAATATGAAGTCCACGACTCAATATACTACGTGGTCACTGAACACTTTTACCTTAAAGTCCACTCTGATCCTGTGGACGCCGTCTGCGGGGACCTTCTGCTTGGAGCTGCCGCCGCTGGAAAGAGTGCTGAGGGTGTTCAGAGTACCTGCGTTCTCCTGCTTGCTGACGGGAGGTGGTTTTTCCTGCAGGGACAGAAAACAAGGAACAAAACCACACTTTACTTGCCTTCACTTTTTAAAAAATACTTTTTTAATGTGACTTTTAGAGAGAGAGGAAGGGAGAGAGAGAAACATCGACTGGCTGCCTCCTGCATGCCCCACAGTGGGGACGGAGCCTGCAACCTTTTGTGCACAGGCGGACACTCAATGAAGTAAGCCCCGGCGGCCAGGCTTCCTTCGCTTTGCAATAGAAAATAATGCAAATGACAAATCTAATTAACAGAAGGGAAAACATGTTTCCAACACAACTATCCTATAGAAATAGTGAAATACTTTTTTTTTTTCATTAAGGCCTTTTATTTGCATGTATGTAATTACAGTCCCAGAAAAGAACCCCAATGTTTTTCCTCCTGTGTGTTTTCCTCTTGCTTCTCTGTGGTCCATGACGCCAGCATAATGAAACCAAACTCGCGGCAGGCGCAGGTTACTCTGCAATGTTTCTGGATCTTCCAGTTCAAATTTGGGCTGATTACTCCACATTTGTTTAACCTGCCCATGAGGTCCACAGCAATTTTCCCAGCTCTGTGATCACCGATGATTTCAAATTTGCCAGTGGAATCACGCTTCATCATCACAGCCAGAAACCGGGCGATGACTCTGGAGCGTGGCCTAATAAAAACCTAGCATCTGCTGCCCTTCTTTGCATCATGGATGCTCTTTAGAGCATCAGCCAGAACATACATGTGTACCATTATGATGGCATGGAAAGAGGGCAAAAAGAGCCAGAAGAATCTTAAAGATCTCTGTCTATCCACATCCTAAAAACAGTGCACACAGGGAAGGATGGGGATTACAGACAGATATTGCTAAAGGATGCTAAGCAGCCTACAGCATACGCTTGTAGGGCCACAAGGAACAGAAAACAAGGTGAAAGAGACAAAAAAGGGTTTGAGCTAACACCTAAATCCCACTGCCACCTACAAAGAAGAAAAATGCAGTTTCATCCACTCGACTACATCACGAACAAGGCTCTTTTCCTATAGAACAGAGCACACCCCTGAGAGATGGCAAAGAAACACAGCTCTCACCTTTTCTTTTGGTTTTTGTTTTACAGGAATACTTGGGCGAGGAGCCACCTTTTTCTGCTTGCTTTGCTCTGGACCTGAAGGATTCAAAATAAATCGCAGTCAGAGGCTACCACACTCACAGCTAATGGTAAAGAGCAACGACTCCGCCAGGACTGATTGGCCTGGGAAGAAGAGGCTGCTGGAAAATGAAAACGACTTAAACTCTAGGCATGGAACAGGAAATTAAGACAGTAACTCCAACTTAACTGTGTTTTGGCTTCTATTTCTTTATTACTGTGGACGGTTAAAAGCTAATTTTCTTACATGGAAGACTGAAACATCTATTGCAGGTTTTCAAATACTGTGTAAGACATCGGTGCTTTTTGCAAGTCCTCCTGGCTCAGCAGCTCCCTCACTCACCTGGGTCCGGCGGCAGGGGCTGCTTCTTCTTGGGCTCGCTGGGAGCTGCCTTGGGGGCGTCTTTCCTGGGGGGCGCCGTGCTGGGTGGCTGAGGGGGGGGCGCGGGCGCGGGTGCTGGCTGGGAGGCCTGCTTGCTGGACTTCCTGGAGGCTGGAGTGGGAGCCTGTTTGGGTTCGGGCGCCGGAGCAGAGGCGGGCCCCTCTTCGCTCTTCTCTTCTGTGTGCTTCCGAGGGGGAGGCTCACTGCTGCTTTTCTTGGGGACAGGGTCCTCGCGTGCCGACGGGAGGGGCTTCTGACTGGCGTCCACTACGCTCTTCACAACACTGTTCTCTTTACTCTCTTTCTTTTCACTGCTCTTGGACTTCTTCTCTTTCTTTTTCACAGCTAGGGGGAAAACATGATTATCTATAAGCAAGAAAAATTTTATTTAAAATAGAAGTATAGGAATGTAACCATCTTATGCTCAGTTTCCTGCAGCTAATGTTGACAAGAAAGTTAAGCTGTTCAGGTAGAATAGCTATACTCTCATTGTTCTAGGAAATGGAAGAAACTGTAATCCTTATATAATTTTAAAAATGTGTGGTTTTTTTTAAAATGGAAATTTCAAACATACTCTACTTAAAAAGAAACCTAACCAGTGTTCTCGTTACACCAGACGTGCACAGTTACACGGCATTAACACGAGAAGCATGTTGGGGAAGAGTGCTGGACAACATCACCTTTTGCTTGCTTCTGAAGATAGGCTTTCGAAGGCATCCACTGTAGATTCTGGCATTTTCTCATCCTAGGAGAACAAAGGGTATCACAAAGTGAGTGGCGCTTAGAAGAGAAGCAATTCGGACAAGTGTTAATCTGCCTGCAGTAACCAGGGAATCTTTATCCGGGCCATTCTGAGAACTGGAAAAAGTACGGCTCATTATACAGGTGAAACCAGAGCCTTCAATCAGTGTCCCTATCTTTAAGTCCTAAAAGGAGCAAATACCACATTATCTTTTAAACGAGACTCAAATTTCTTATAACCTAGTACAAAACCATCGGTTGATATTTTTTATTCTCAAATCAGTTCTGTTCTGAGATTAATATTCATTTAGAGCAACCTGATTATAAAATAGACTAAAGTTATCCAGCAAGTCCTCTCTCTGCCACCACAGTGCTACAGATCTATGTCAGGACTTTGATATATACCTATGTGTGTGCACACACACATACACACACACACACTAATATATTAGAAGCCCAATGCATGAAATTCATGCAAAAGTAGGCCTTCCTTCCCCTGGCAGTTGGCACTGGCTTCCCTCTGTCACCTGGGTCCTTGGCTTCCCTCGAAGCGCTGGCTTCGTCTGGAACAGTGGTCGGCAAACTCATTAGTCGACAGAGCCAAATAATAATACAACGATTGAAATTTCTTTTGAGAGCCAAATTTTTTAAGCTTAAACTCCTTCTAATGCCAGTTCTTCAAAATATAGACTCACCCAGGCCATGGTATTTTGCGGAAGAGCCACACTCAAGGGGCCAAAGAGCCGCAGTTTGTCGACCATGGGTAACATATTAACATATGTATAATAAATACTACCCCTCAATTTAACAAAAGTCAAACGTAATCTGAAGTGTAAAATGTAACCGAGTCCATTTCTACCCCAAAATTCAGTATGACTTTACCTTTTTGCTGAGCTGTGAGTTCTCCCTCCTTTACATGAATGAGACAGAGAAAAGATTCTTGCTTAACCGCCAGAATGACTAAACCAAAGCACAGGACTACCTGCTGTTTCCTGGGAACTGCCTCCCCGGAGTAACGCAGAATTGCTCCCATTGGTTTTACATAAGTCACTTCCACGTCATTCATTCATTCATTCATTCATTCATTCATAAAATATCTACTGATAAAATCTACTCCTGATTCCAGGCACTTTCTGATATGCTCAATTCCCAAAAAGTCTATCTGTGCAATTCTTCTGATCAACTTTAGACAAATTACCCATAGGGTCAAAGTGCATCCACAAACTGACTAAGAAAGGGAGAAGAGATAAGCGCAACGTCCGTATCACAAATCCCACGGCATGAAACTACCCCGAGAGACAGCAGAGACATAAGCAGATATCACCAATGCTTCTCGAAAGTCATAAAGATAAAGGGAATTTCGATTGACCTGATAAATATGCCTGAATCTGTCAGTTTTCAAGCAGAAAGCCCCTCCAGCTTAGTTGATATGGTAACCCCAAAGCACACGTGATACATACATTTAAATTAACTAAAATGTGACAAAAATGTAATTCCTCACCATTCACCACATTGCAATCGCTCCACAGCTGCATTGGACTCCTGGCCACCAGGTGCACTGAGCAGCTCAAAGCATTCCCAGCGCTGCCGAATGTTAGACAGCCCTGCCCCAAGGAACGTGTTTAAAGCACAGCTCACCCTGGCTGGTGTGGCTCAGTGGACAGAGCATCGGCCTGAGGACTGAACAGTCTCAGGCTCGATTCCCGTCAAGGGCACATGCCCAGCTTACGGGCTTGATTCCCAGGGTGGGGCATGCAGTAGGCAGCTGATCAATGATTCTCTCTCATCGTTGATGTTTCTAGCTCTCTCCCTTTTCCTTCCTCTCTGAAACCAATAAAAATATATTTTAAAACATAAAATAAAAACGAAGCACAACTCACACCTAGTCACGCTGTGCAGCTAACCTTGAAACCCAAGAACTGAGTACAACCACGTTCAGTTTTCCGATTCATCTTTGCAACGAACCGAGCACAGTCACCCTCCTTCCCGGAGGGAGGCCGCTCCGAGGAGCCACTCACTTGCAGCACTGCTTCTTTATGTTGCGGCCTCCGAACTTGGGCTTGTCCAGGCAGTTAGTGCAGACACCACAGTCCTCGGGCACCTGGCAGCCAGGGCACTGCCCACACCGCCTGGAACGCCGGCCCTTCTTCACAGGGGGCTCCTGGGGCACCTTGTTCCTGGTGACGGGTTTGATCGGCTTGATGGGCGGAGCAAGAGGCTCAGCATCTTCTGAGCCAGCGATGGAGGACTTGTCTGTTGGAGAAACGCATTGTTATCTTTGAAGGAAGATCTGGTTCCTTCCTGGGAGCAAAGGTGGAAAGCTTCAAAATCCATTTATACCACTAGCAACATTCAAACTTTGTTTTCACTGGGACTCCAAAAATGAAATGGAATACGTTAAAAACCATCATATGTGGAACTGAAAGCCTGTTTAAATAGTTATTTAAATGTTATTAAATGCCTATAAACGTGAGGCTTAAAGAAAGCAGAAACCTAAATACTGAAAACAAAACATAGTCTAACCCCAAGTTCAAGAAAATGAACTGACTGTCCCAGAGGACTGCCTACACTCTACATTCTAATGAGCATTTACCCATCACCTGAGTGCTATCGGGTGACCATGAGCCTCACTAACCCCCAAATACATGACTGGCCCCAAGCCCCGCTGCTGAGCTCTGAAAACCATGGCACCGGGCCCACCAGCGCGGGAGGGCTCCCAGGCAGTGAGCATGTGCGAATGCTAAGACAGACCTGCTCCTGAGGGACACAGACCCCTCCGGCGGTCACCTTTTCCTCAAGGACTGTCTTGCCAAACCTTTTAGCCTGCAGGGCTGTCTAGGAAGGCTGTGCCCGAAGATTCCCTCCCTCCTTCATTGACTGACAGCTCTCCCAGCCTTCCCTGGCTCCCTCCATGAGAGGGCCTCACATGAGAGGGCCTCTAATGAGAATCCTTATTCACTGAGCGCCCCCTTGCCACCTGTTTTTAGAGGATCCAGACGAATACATGATGCTGTCGAGAGCCTACGAGGCATCCCAGAAGGATCAGCAGCAGATCACCCGGTGCTAGGACTTGAAAGCTGACACCCTGACTTACCATCATTCCCCATGGAAGACAAAATCTTCTCTCGTTCTTCCCACGGTAAGGCACTCAGGGTGGGCATGTCGTCAGGAAACACAGCGCGTTTCCGGCCAAGGGCCACGGCAGCTCTTCTGCAGACGTGTTTAATCCGGGGTCCTCGCACAGAAGTCTCTGATGAGTCACTTTCTTGACCCTAAGTAGGAGGGAAGCCAAAACAAACAACAACCACACATGTTGACAATATATGTTAAATGAAACCAGCACATTTTTGGCTAACTTATTATAATCTAGACTCACTCTAGTTATTTCCAGCTGATAGGCCATATCAATTTGCAGGAATCAACTACTTCTGCATCCTAACATCGGCAGGAAAAAGACAGAAATCAACTAAGTTCCTATTCCTAATTATACTACTTTTTGAAAATTCCCCTAAAAATTCAAGCTGCCAGTATATTATCAAGAAGTTCAGGCTAACCACAATTTCCTGTATTTCCCTGGTCAACAGGGAAGTAGGAGGACATAACCTATGAATGAAGTACAAAAGACTCCAAACCAAAAAGTCTCATCTTAAAGTCCTACTGCTCATCACTGGGAGGCTAACCAAAAAACACCCCAAATCGTGTCCGAGGAAGTCCCTGCTTGAACTCCCATCTCGAAGAATTAGTAGAAAATGGCCCAGGCTGAGGAACATTAAAAACCCAGGTGTGTGTTCACTGCGCCCTGACTGAGATGTTGGCATAAATGTGCATTTACTGTATGACAAACTTTTATAAAGAACCTAAAGATCGGTATGCTTTCTCAGAAAAGACCAGTGCCTAGTTTACCATGTAAAAAGGAAAAACAAACACAAAAACAAAAACAAAACAAAACCACAATGGTAAAAATATGTTTGTCTTCATCTTACTAACTCTTCAACAGCTTCTCTGTCCCAACCTGAGGCCAACGGCTTCTCCGGTGTATCTGCACACACCCTCTATCTATCTATCTATCTATCTATCTATCTACTTATCTATCTATCACCTATTTATTTCTCTCATCAGCACCCCTTGCAGGGGTCCTCAAACTTTTTAAAGTGGGGGCCAGATCACGGTCCCTCAGAGAGCTGGAGGGCCGGACTATATGAACTACTAATTCCTACTGTAACACCTCGGCTGCGCTCACTGCCCAAAAAACCTGGCGGGCTGGATCAGACTCCTCTGCGGGCCGCATGTGGCCCTCGGGCCGTAGTTTGAAGACGCCTGCCTTAGAGGATGAGAATCCGCCCCCATCCCGTTTTCTATAGTAAACAACTTTACAGAATTGCACCTTCAAAACTGTCACAGGTTCTAACTAAAAAACCCATTAAGTACAAACTTCTGTCACGTGGCCCCAACCTGCCTGTGGGCCTTAGCTCACCCCTTTCCTGCCTACGGCCTAGCTACTCACCGCCCTCACACGTGTCTCTACCTCCCGTTCCTCTCCTCGCCATGCTCTCCCCTATCACTGTCCACCTATCACAGGTCACTGCAGATGTCCCTCCTTCCTCCGCCTTTCCCGACTCCCGCGACCGGACAGAACTGAGCCCTCAGCTAACGCTGCCCTGGAAGGGGCTGGCGGGACGGAGGTCACCAGGCAACACGGAAAGGAGTACCTGTGCTTTGGGCTGGTCGGTTTGCTTAAGACTCTTACTCTTCTCGATCTTGCAGAGCTGGGCCTTGGCCTTCTTGAGGAGGCTGGCGACCCTCTTGTCGGTCATGGGGAGCTTGTCCGCCTGCGCCAGCATGGAGCCGATGGAGGGCGCGGAGTGCTTGACGCCGGGCGCGGGCAGGCACAGGGCCTTCTCCTTCTCGGGCGGCGGGGCGGCGGCGCCGAGGTCCAGGCCGGCCTTGTCCAGGCTCCCTCGCCCTTTCTTGATCAGTATTTTGGTTTTGACAGCGGCCGAGTCCCCCAGAGTCACGGCAGCAACCTCGGGCCCAGGATCGAGGGACGAAGACTTCTTCCGCCCCGTGACCTTCTTGGCGGAGGACGACGCGGCCGCCTCTTCCCCCCCAGCCTTGTCCTTGGCCGCCCTGCCTGCGGGGAACAGGGCGGCGGCTTGGATCTCGGACCCCTTTCTGCGCTTCTCTTTGCGGGACTCCCTCTTGTTCTCCTTCTCCCGCTCGCGGTCGCGCTCTCGGCCCTTGTCCTTCTCCACGGGCTTGTCGGCGGCCGCATCGCGGTCGCGGGCCGGCTCCTCGGGGGCGCGGTCGCGGGCGCGGCCCCGGTCGGCCTGGGCGCCGGGCGTGAACCAGGGGAAGAGCGGCGCGGGGCCGCCGGCCGCGAAGGGCTCGGCGGGGGCGCCGGGCCTCCGGGGCCGCGGGGCCTTCTCGGTGGCCTCCCCGGGCGCCAGCGGGTGCGCGGGGAAGGTGAAGGCGGGGCTTAAGGCACTGGCGGCGTGGGGGCTGGCGGCGAGGCTCAGCGAGGCGGCCCCGGGCGGCGGCGTGAGCGGCGACAGCTCGGCGGCGCTGAGGCGGCCGCTGCGCGTGCGCATGGAGTGCGAGGGCGAGCGCGGCTCGGCGCGCAGCGGGCTGAACACGCGGCGCTTGCGCTTGCGGCTGGGCGCGGCGGGGGCGCGGCCGCCGGGCAGCGTGACGGACTCGAAGATGCGGGAGTGCGCCTCGCTGGGCGTGAAGCGCGGCGCGCGCAGCAGCGGGCTCCGCTTGTGCACGTCGAACCGCGGCCCCGCGTGCAGCGGCGCGAAGAGCCGCGCGGCGCCGGGCGCCGAGAAGCCCGCGGCGAAGCCCACGTCCTCCGGCGTGAGCGGCGGCGGCCGGAAGTTGTCGAATACGGGCTTGCGGATGAGGCCCTCCTTGGCGTACTTGGCGGAGGAGAAGAAGGGCGGCTCGGCGCGCGAGTGCTTCAGCGACGTCCAGCGGAAGGTGGGCTCGCGCAGGATGGACTTGCGCTTGCCCTGCAGCGGCGCGGTGGGCGCGGGCAGGAATGGCGACGCCAGCGGGATGGTGGGCGGCAGCAGCCAGGGCGTGGCGTCCGCCAGGCCGGCGGCCGGCTGCAGGGGCGGCGGCGGCGACAGCAGCGGCGGCGGGGGCGAGGCGGGGGCCGCGGGCGGCGGCGGCGCGCTCGGCAGCGCTGACAGCTTCTTGGCTGCCTTGGCCCCGAAGCTCCGCTCCGACGCCGAGTAGCGCCGGCCCCGCCGGTCGCTCCGGTCGCTCTCCGGGGCCTGGGCAGCGGGCAGTGGCGCGTGCGCCTCGGGGGTGTGGCCCTGCTCCTCGGGGAGCCCCGGCATCTCCTCCGAGGCCTGCGAGTCGGTGGAGGTGTCCACGCTGGGGCTGCTGGAGCGCGACGAGTCGGAGGACAGCTGCGAGGAGTGCTGCGAGGCGGCGCTCGACTTGTCGGAGGAGCCGCAGGACGCGGCGCCGAAGCGGCCGCCGGGCGCGGGCTCCAGGCGCGCGATCTTGATGGGCGGGTCGTAGTCCTCGTCCTCGATGAAGCGGCGGGGCGTCTTGATGATGCGCGAGGAGATGGCGCTGACCACGGGCATGATGAACTGCCGGATGTTCTTGACCTGCGTCTTCGCCTTGCGGCCCTGCAGCTGGGCCGCCTCCTTCTCGATCTTCTTCTGCGCCCCCTTCTTGGCGCGCTGCAGCAGCTGCTTGGCGATGGCGGCGTCCGTCCTTTTGGAGGACGGGATGATCCGCACGGGCTTCACCCTCCGAGGGCTCTGCCTCACCGTCTTGTCGTCCTTGGCGGCGGCCGGCGCCCCGTCCGCGTCCCTGCGGGCCTTCGGGGGCTTGTCCGGGGGCGAGCCGAGCAGGAGGCCCGCCGGCGCCTTGACTCTCTCGGTGGAGGGCGGCCGGCCGCGCCGCCGGACAATCTGCACCCCCTTCCTTCCGATCTGCAGCTTCCCCGCCTTGAACTTGGACTTGAGGGGGGAGAGCTTGCCTGCTCGCAGCTTTTTAATCTTGGTGGCTTGCTGGAACGTGGCGGACGGGGTCCGTTTGATCTTTTTCAGGCTGTCTTCTTTGCTTCCCTTTGGTAACTCGGAAACGTCCTTGCCGTGCGTTATTTTGATTTTCACTCCAGGGAAGGTGGGAGGTCTTCCTCTCTTCTTTTCTAAACTTTTAGAGTCTTTCTTCCTGATCTTATCTGCGGGCTTGGTCTCTGGCTTGCCGAGAGGGGGGAAGGCCGGCGGGTCGGAGAGGAGGGCGGGGCTCCGGTCGCAGCCGCTGCGAGGCCTCCCGCGGGGCTTGCGAGGACTGCTCTTGGCTGTGCGACAGACAGACAGACAGACAGCGGGTTAGCTTTGGGTCAGGCTGTAACAAGCCGAACATCACAGCACAAGCCCGTGGGACTGCACTCCACTGCGCCTTATGTGTCAGCATCACATTTTAATTGTGCTTAGTCTCTTTTCCCCAAAAACTTGCCTCAGAAATGGCTTAGAAATCAGCTAAATAACTTTCCACCTAAAAGAACACTTACGTGCCGAAACCGGTTTGGCTCAATGGATAGAGCGTCCCGGGTTCGATTTCGGTCAAGGGCATGTACCTTGGTTGCGGGCATATCCCCAGTAGGGGGTGTGCAGGAGGCAGCTGATCGATGACTCTCTCTCATCGATGTTTCTAACACTCTATCTCTCTCCCTTCCTCTCTGTACAAAATCAATAAAATTATAAAGAAAAAAAAAAGAGAGAAGCAAACGTGACTATTAAAAAAAAAGAAAGAAAAAAAACACGTGCTTTTTTTATTAAAAAACAAACCCTAACATAGTAAAAGGCTCTCAAATGAGCAATTTATAACATACAAAACTGATGTTACTACAACTTTAGGCGAGCAAGGTTTTCTTCTGAATACAAAAACATGGTAAAAAGAAACCTGTCTGCCTGTTCCTCATCTTCACCACCAAGATTAACACCTGAGAGCATGTTCACCGCAACCCGTTCCGTCCTTTCAGTGTCGGTCTTCAGCTGCAGTGGGTGTGAGCAGAGTGCTCTTCTCTCACCTTCATGGGAAAGGCCCGGGAGGCTCAGCCCTGAGCTGCCGGTCGGTTTTGCCGCAGTAAAACATCCACTGAGGACGTCAGACTGTGCTCACTGCATCGGCAGCAGGTGGGTGGACTAGCCACAGCGGTGACATGACCGTGTGTCCATTAATGACCCCCACGTACCGCTTCTTGAACTAATTAGTCTCAAATTACACACACACACAATTAACCTTAACTGATTTAAGAGCAAATTAACAATTTATTAAATCAGATTTCTAAATAAAAGGAATTTGCCAGTTTATAAATCAGCTCAATCTGCTATTTATCAAGAGACTCAAGAAAACAACATTCTTTTCCTAAAATGCTTTGTATAAACCTGTATTTCCTAAATGTCTTGAGTTCCCTAGTCTATCAGATCTTCTCTTTCCACATGAAACCACAGCTCTGCTTACAGGCATCAAGGAGATGCATGCCATGGGGAGGAACGTTTGGACCATGGAACCAACTTTCTTTTTTTCTTTTTTTAAATTTTTTAAATATATTTTTTATTGATTTTTTTTTTACAGAGAGGAAGGGAGAGAGATAGAGAGCTAGAAACATCGATGAGAGAGAAACATCGACCAGCTGCCTCTTGCACACCCCCTACCGGGTATGTGTCCGCAACCAACGTACATGCCCTTGACCGGAATCGAACCTGGGACCTTTCAGTCCGCAGACCGACGCTCTACCACTGAGCCAAACCAGCTTCGGCAATGGAACCAACTTTCTAACAACAGAAACCAACAAAGAGTTTATTGTTGAGCTTTTGAAATATAGAGGCTTCCCTTAATGGAGCCAGGGTTCACAAACCCATTCTCACTGTACACCAGTGACAACAGAGTGAAGAATATCCACGTGGCTTTCAACAACAAGACGACACCAGGAGCCCGTCCAAGGAAGCCACGGACAGGTGAGCTCCCCCGAGAGGGCCCACACGATGCCTGACCTACCGGGTGACTCAGCCCGGCCACCCAGCCTGGGTAACTCTGAAGGCTGCTTCCACCCAGCTTTTCACAGAAGCGGAAAAGGCAGACAGAGCAGAGCCTCGCTCTGCCGCCAGCTCCCACACCACAGTCACAGAACTCAGACCACTCACAGTAACTGCGCATGTATCTTCTGGGCCTCGTTTTGGCATTTACTGATGAAGGGCTAGACCACATGATCTGTAAAATCACATTATGACCCCTAGTCGGTTGGCTCAGTGGATAGGGCTTCGACCTGCGGACTAAAGGGTCCTGGGTTCAATTCAAGGGCACATGCCTGGGTTACAGGCTTGAAACCCAGCGGGGGAGGGGGGCGGTGCATGCAGGAGGCAGCCACCCAATGATTCTTTCTCACCATTGATGTTTCTATCTCTCTGCCTCTCCCTCCCTCTAAAACCAATAAAAATATTTTTAAAAATCACTTTATGATATGAAGGTTCAAGATTTCACCACATATTAATGAAAATATTCTACTATCTGAATGGCACAGACACTGGGATCTTACTGGCTAATCCCCCCAACTATAATGGCAATACCACCCTCATTTGGGAAAGGAAAAATTGTCTACTTATGTGTCTGAATCAGATTACTATATAGCACATGACTCTTAAACAACCCAACTGCTAGCAAACCTTACAAACTGTGTCAACGGCAAAGAGCAAAAACAGCCTATGACATCACATTTACCCAGATTGTCTATCCACATAGAATCAGAGAATCTGCAAGAGTTCAGAATGGCAGCAGACAGGGAACGTTTTCTCCAGCAAAAGATCCACAGCCACTCTGCCTGGTGTTACTGTGCACGCTGGGGGGGGTCGAGGGTTCACTTCCTGGTCAAGGCACACACCTCTGTGTGGGTTTGCTCCCCACATCCGGAAGGCAACCAGTCAATGATGTGTCTCACACTGATGTTTCTCTCTTCTTCCTTCTCCTTCCTTTCCCTCCCTCCCTCTCTAAAAAGCAATGGAAAAAATATCCTCAGGTGAAGATTAAAAAAATATATATATCTATGGCTATCTCCTATTAGAATGGCATTCTGCAAGGCATTGAATGTTTTTCCACTAATATCTGTCTATCAGAAAACTGTCAGTCTAGAACCTCAAGACAGTCTAGGTATTTTCTTGGTGAAAACAATGACAAAAACATTGCTTACAAGTGAAGATACACCATATCGTTTTTGTTTTATTTTAATACTGCCTTTCAAGAATCAGATAAAACATTCACATTCACACAGTGCTAATATTTTGTTTTTAGTTCTTTGACAATAATAGACCAAACTTCATCTGTAAAAAATAATGACCAAATTATTCCCAAAGTCATAGATAGGGTGGGACAAAAGTAGGTTTACAGTGTTCATATGGAAAATGATGTAATTATTACTAAAGAATAATATGAGAATAAACTGTTTCATGGACTCATAACTGTAAACCTACCCTGTATCATTCAAACACACGAATCTGAGGTGCTGTGCCAGGCCCACCACACGGGCATCTACCTCCCAGGCCTCGGGTTCCCCAGAGAAAGAGGTGGTTACACAGCCTGTTACTGAGGGGGAGGGAAGAGGAAGGTTTACCTCCGAACCCTCGTATTAAGGCCATCCTTTCCATGCACAGAAGGCTAGGGAAGCCACAGTCTCTTCACAAACAAAACGCACAGGCGCCATGCGCATGCTCCGCCGTACCTGAAGGAGACCTGGTGGGACTTCGTACTCTGACTTCTTCATCTGAGCCAAAACCTAAGAACTGCTCATCCTACAACAAAGGAAAATTATTTTAAAGTCAGAAACCAAAACATGAATGTGAACAAACCTTACAAGAAATGCCCAGAGGAGACAAAAACAATTTTGAAAGTTAGCCTTTATATATTAATCATCATCATTCACATGGATATTTAAAATAGCTGTTGTTGCAATAAATGGACCCAGGCATTTCAGCTTCATTACAGACCAATGGGAGCTGCGTGAACTGAGCAATGCCGGGACATACCAGCTCTGTGCACAGGACCCAAGAGACAGTCCTACATTTCAAACTATAGATGCAGCCCAAAACAATTAAAGATCTATTTAAATTTGAGTAATCAAGTCAATACAATGGCAGAAATAGCCCCAATAAGACAAATATCTTCAACAAGTAGTTAAATCTACAAACATAGAAGGAGTAACATAATGTCACACTCTCTGGTTTACTCAATATTAATAGAGACTGAAGTTGCCACAATCGTCAGTTCCTTAACTCAGGAACGGACTCCAGCTGTGCTTTCTGTTCACGTGAGATCCAGTGATTCTCAGCGTGCACTTGTGCATCGTTTTAAATGTCCTGTGATGAGAGACGTAATGGTGGGCAGCAGCATCTAGGAGAGCGATCTGAAGTGACCACATGGTGGTGAGATTCATTCAGAAAGAATGCAGGAAAGCATCTTACTCTCAGTTCTACCTAGAAATGGCAAAAACTTCTCACTTCCAATTTTTAACTTGCCTTTAAGAAAATAAATACCAAGGATTGAATCTATTTTGAACTAGTTCTCACAAAAGATGATCTATTTAGACATACTAATGAATAGAAATTCACTGATTCCGAGAATAAGAGTTCCTTCTAGAGAGAAATGAGAAAGAATTTCTAATTCCAGAAACAAAATCCACACAAAACAAGAGCAAAATCAGGACTGAAAGGCAGATATTCTTGAAACTCCAATGTATATTGATAAGCCCCAAAGGAAGTCCCAACCATGAGCACCCAAACTGTCCTCTCCGGAGCAGAGACCACACGCACGTGGCCACACCTGGCGGTTCTCTGAAGCTGGTTCCCTGTGTCCAATGCAAGTCTGTTTACCACTTACTAACCAGGAGCAGAGGAAAAGATACACCAACCTTTAGGCAAATTAGCAGGTTTGGTTCTTAAATTTAAAAGCTTTTTTAAAGAACAAAAGTTTGCCAAAACCGGTTTGGTTCAGTGGATAGAGCGTTTGCCTGTGGACTGAAAGGTCCCCGGTTCAATTCCGATCAAGGGCATGTACATTGGTTGCGGGCGCATCCCTAGTAGGGGGTGTGCAGGAGGCAGCTGATTGATGATTCTCTCTCATCGATATTTCTAACTCTCTATCCTTCTCCCTTCCTCTCTGTAAAAAATCAATAAAAATATATATTTAAAAAATAAAGAGCAAACGTTTGAGGTTAAGACTTGAGATATAATGCAACAGAGAGACCATTCTCTTTAGAATCGTAAAAGGTTCTTGCTCTTAGACTGTTAAAATTATTGAAGTATTTATTTAAGAAAAAACGACAATTATCCTCTTCAAAGAGATTTCTTTGTACAGTATCAATATTATAATTCTAAGAAACCTCAATTTAAGGCATACTAAAGTACTTTTTACACAATCTCTTCTTTAATCTTTAAAATTTAAAGTAAACTCTTATTTAAACATCATTTGTGAATAAGAAAAAACCCCCTCTGTTTTCATCTTAAAACAAGTTAGGGCAATCTAGGCTTCATCCCAAAAGCATTTCTTGAATGATTTTAAGATTACCCTTGTAAGATACAACATTATAAAAAAAAAGTCCAAACTCACAAAACAATCAATCCAAAAATCTCTTCACAATTATGGAAGTTCCATATTGTTAATTTTTAAAATGTATTTTTGGGCCCCGTGCAGTGTGGCATCATCTCATGTCCTGAAAGATTGCCGGTTCGGTTTCCTGTCAGGAACATGGCAGGGTTACAGGCGTTATTCTGGGTATCGGGCATGCAGGAGGCAGCCAGTCAATGCTTCAATCGCTCACATCAAAGTTTCTCTCTCCCTCTCTCTCTTAAAAAAAAAAAATCAACAAAAAATATTTTTAAAAGTACTATTTAAAATAGTAATCCTAACATGTACTTTGAGAAAAAAAAGACAAATAAAATAGGCCATGGTAAATTGCCTCAGATGCAGTAAAAAAACAAAACAAACCAAAACACCAAAACAGCAGTGTGTGAGATTTGGAGGGGCAGCCCCATCTGCCGGCTATTGCACAGGACACCTGAGAGTGAAGGCCTGCCTGCGGCCTTAGTCTGCGCTCGCAGGTTCAGTGACATCAGTCACGTCACTCACTACTTCCACATCTTAATTTCATCATTGGAGTGCAGTCCTGAGTAAATATAACGAATTAGGGAAATTACATGATTGATGTAAACTCATGTAGGAAACTAAGAAACTATCCACACTGCCGTCCTATGAACTCAAGTCCTGAGGGCCAAAGGGCTCCCCTGAGATCAGGTCCGAATGGACTTCCTTCCACAATAGTTACAGCTTAAAACTATTGATACAGCCATTTAAAATAATCAAATAAACCGCCTGCAGTTCAAACTCTGCTATTCTTTCGGCTACCGTTAAAGAAAGATGATGTCTGTCTTCAGACCCTTAAAATATCTGCTTTGATTCATTCTTTCCCTGCATCATCCTATCCTCATGGAACACCTGCTAAGGCATGCATTTCGGAGACATCTGAGGACCTCCCACCTCTTTCCAGGGGGCTGCACTGCTGAGCGCACGAACTTCCTGCTCCAAGTGCTGCAACGAGAGACAGTCCTATCAGCCATGCTCACGGTGACCAATAGCGAGGCAGTAAAAGACCAGTCTGGCTCAGTGAGGTGGAGTGTGATCACCGACACCAAAAAGCTGCAGGTTTGGTCCCCGGTTGGGCACTTGTGGTGTATGTTTTCTCTTAATGTTTCTCTCTCTCCCTCTCTCTTTCTAAAATCAATGAAAACCTATCCTCGGGTGAGAATTTAAAGAAAAAAATCATAATCTGTAAAGGAAATAGAAGAGGTCCATGTGGCTGTGTTTATCATCAGCGACCACAGTGAGTACCTTTCTCTCGTTCACTGTCACTGGCTGTCACTCACTCCATGGTCCTGATTGCGTGCGCTCCAGAGCAGCCATCGCTGAGCTGCCCACAGTAACCTAGCCCACGCCGCCAGCGTGTCGAGTTCACCAGTTCTCTGCTTTCCAAACAGCACGCCAGGAGCGCGTTCCCTATGGTCTTGCACTTAAATAAGAGTAAGCAGTCAACAAAGACGGTGTTTCCACCCAAGAACTTTCTTTTCACTCTAAACATTATCAGGTGACTTACTGAAACATGCTTAAAATAATAAGTGCCCACTGCTCACACAACCAGATGGGTTAGCCAAACTCAGAGCCTCACAGAGCTGCGAGCCTTCCCTCTCCTAGCGCAGAACTCCCATCGCCAGAGGTAAGAGCCCTACCACTGTCACGAAGAGCCAGGGAGTGGCGCTGGGAACGCAGTGCTGGGAGAGGTGCTGACGCTGAAGCCTTCCCTGCCTCTCCATCACCCCCTTTATTTTTTAATATATTTTTATTGATTTTTTACAGAGAGGAAGGGAGAGGGATAGAATTAGAAACATTGATGAGAGAGAAACATCAATCAGCTGCCTCCTGCACCCCCGTCCTCCCACTGGTGATGCACCTGCAACCAAGGTACATGCCCCTCACCAAAATCAAACCTGGGACCTCCCAGTCCACAGGCAGACGCTCTATCCACTGAGCCCAACCGGTTAGGGCCCATCACCCACTTGAAACACTGGAAAGACTTAGTAACAAGGCACCAGTTCTGGATTGCAGAGGACTTACAGACTTTCCTAGAAATCAAAGACGACTGCAAAATGTCTACCGAAAACAACAGAAAGAACCCCAATTAAAGCATGTCTGGTGCTGTGCGCACATCACGGCCCCGGCGCCCTGAGGCGGCAGGTGCTGCACATCTAACTCCTCCTAAGAACTGGCCCACACCGCCACTGACCGCACACCTTCCCTCACAGCACTGCCCGACGAGCACAGCGTTCCACGACAGAGCGTAAGCAAGAATATTCTATGGGCTCCAAAGAACTGGACAACGTGACTGTCACTGTGAAGAATGCACAGAGCATGCTCCGGCTGGACAGACCAGACCCATTCACTCACGTAGTCTGTGACTCTGCCTCAGGGTGAAGGGACAAACAGATAAAAGGCTGTTTCTGCCTTACGGACCTGGTGGTCTATCAGCAACAGGTGAATAAATCACATATGACATATGTCTTATGATAGCTGCTATGCCAGAGGAATGGATGCAGAAGCACAGCAGAGCTAACTGACCCAGCTAAGGAAAAGGGCCAGGAGAGCCACTGCAGAAAAAAAAGCCCCCATGGAAGTGTGAAGGGTGGCAGGTCGGTGCTTCCCTCCTGGAGGAACAGTTGCTGTGAGAAGAGCCATTAGAGGTAAGAACACAGCAGACGCCCAGGAGCCAAGAGATGCTCCCGCTAAGCCTGGGGCGGTGGACAGGGGCGGTGGGCGCGTAGAAACACTGCTGACGGGCTATTCGGAATGTGAATGAGAAATCAAGGATGACGCTTCAATTTCCTCCTGAGCAACTGGGTAAGCAGCAAAGTGGTTCCAAAATAAGGAGTGAGCGGAAGACGAGGCTGTGAAGGCGCGCAGCCTGACGCCTACTGCTGTCCAGGCGCTTCCCGGCGCTCCTGTGCCCGGCCCGGGAAGAGCAGCGGCCGCCGCGGAGGGCGGTCAGATCAGGTGAATACGCCACGGGAAGGACTCAGAATACTGCCTGGCCCACAATAATCTCAGTACCCGCTGACCCGTCACCATCGGCCAAATGGAAATGTCAGGCAGCCACTGGGTTCCCGAGCCCGGGCCTACAAGCAGCCGCCAGGGCCAGAGTGACAGTCCTCGGCGGCCACTGCGAGGACCTGCGCAGCAGCAAGCAGGG